TTCTAGCTAGCTTGCCACTCCAGTAACCCCGCCTACATCTTCCGAGGTCCCTAGATATTTCTAGCTACTATGCCACTCCTTTATGACGTTTATGCATAGTAAAATTTCTACCAGTGCATCTTTTACACCCCCAATCTTATCCTTATCTGTAGCAGAAGCCGAAGCCCTGTGCTCTCTTCCGTGATTGACAGCTTCCACATCCACAATACCATTCTCTAAACCTCTAGCTCAGTGAAGATAAAATCTGTACTACGTATCAATCTGGTGCATATGAAACCAGCCAATAATACCTTCTACGTCTCCTCTGAACCAGAGACAAGAAAACGCCTCCTGTCACTACCCGATACGTATCAAAGTTCGCTTGCACCACCAATGGCTCCTGACTATCGTCTCCTCGTGCGAAGATGCTGGTCCCACTAAAAATTAGTACGACGGCTCGCGGACTCTCCCGCCGCAGCGACGACTCTGGTACTGGCGCGCGGCACCATTCGCCAACTCACAAACTCCTAGAGAGCCACCTCTCCACCCTCTAGCCCCCCTGTAGTCGCCAAAACAATTTCACATTGTCATACGGAATCCCCATACGGAATCCCCATCCGTAAATCTCAACATTACATCTCTAATCTCGCTATCTAATCTCGCTATTCTCTTGTCCCCATAGTCCCCCTCATCTCGTATATCCACTAGACTATTCTACCGCGCCCTCGCTTCGCTGAGAAATCCCCGCGCCCCCATTGGCCCCTTCTCCCCCTGCGCACGTGTGACTCCCGCTGTCTGACTAACCGTCGCTTGTCATTGGCCCTAGATCGGGTGGCTTCCGCCAGATCTGCCACCATCTACCGCCTAGTCTGCCACTGCTCATCCACTCCACATTACGTAACTTCCGAGCCCGCATCCGTTCGCTCCACTATTATCTTTCCAATCTGCTGCCACTATATAAGCACTGTCTGCCGCTTTAGTAGTACTGTTTGCCACCATATACTACCATTTGCCACTACCGCTTATAGACTCTGCATCACATCCATGGCTTCATGAACTCCCGCACCATGATGGCCCCTACCAAAGATGTCCTACGTACGCTGACGCCGTCCTCTACTACGTCCACGCCTACCACCACCACGCCTAACACCACCACGCCTAACACCACCGCCTCCTCGACCTCCACCGCCACCACGGCTCCAGCGTCTCGTCCCAGTCCGACTACTGCCTCCAAGGCAGCAGCGCCCCGCGTGATGCCTGTGCTGAAGCCAGGCCCAGAGTCCACTCCTGATGGCCAGCAGTGCTCCAACTGTGGAACCACCAAGACGCCACTCTGGAGAAGAGCTCCCGATGGAACCCTCATCTGCAACGCCTGTGGCCTCTACCTCCGCTCCAACAACACCCACCGTCCCGTCAACTTGAAAAGACCTCCCAACACCATTCCCATGACCAAGAACGAGGAAGGCTCATGCAAGGGCGATGGCAGGTGCAACGGCACAGGTGGCAGTGCTGCTTGCAAGGGCTGCCCCGCCTACAACAACAGGGTGGTAATGACCAAGCGTGACAAGTTGGTGTCACCCAAAGACGACGCTGGCTCTCCAGACACCTCGGGTCAGTACCTGCATGAAGACGACAGCGACCTCGGGGTGAAACGTCCCGCAGAAGACACAGACTCGGCCGACCTCGACTCCGACTCGTTGGTGGTGGCCTGCTTCAACTGCGGCACCACCATCACGCCTTTGTGGCGTCGAGATGACGCTGGAAACACTATCTGCAACGCCTGTGGCCTCTACTACCGACTCCACGGCTCCCACAGACCCATTAAGATGAAGCGTACCACCATCAAGCGGAGAAAGAGAAACATGCCTGCCACCAAGCTCTCGTCACCCTCGGCCCAAACCCCGCCAAACCAGCCCAACTCCCAGGCCACCTCGCCATCGCCAGTCCCAAAAGTACAGCCCAAGAAGGAGGACGTGCTGCCGCGCCTTGTGCAAACAGCGTCTACCCAGCCAGTCTCGTTCGGCTCGCCTCTTGCTCAAAGCCACCTTCCCCCCATCGCACACCCCAACCCATACTTTGCACTAAGAAATACCCCAGCATCCTTCCCATTCCCTCCTCGAGCATATTCTCCGTCATACTACCCGCCATACTCCGGCGGGGGAAGAATCCCCAACGGCCCTGGCCCCGTACCAGGACCCCCTCCTCCTCCTGCTCCTGTGGCTGCACGGTACCCCTACTACCCTCCATACAATGAGTTCGGTGGAGACATCAAGTTGCCCCTGTTGAAGATCAGTCCGGCCCAGGGGCACCAGTCCCCTCCTAGAGACGTCTCTCCGCCTCAGGAGTCTCTCAAGCAGCCACTGACTCAACCAGTCACACCAGCTCCAGTTTCCGAAACGAAAGAGCCATCCGTGGAGCCCGATTCCGAAAAGAAAATCCCTGAAAAGAAGTGCAAGTGTTGTCTGAAGGCTCGTCCTGCTCCCATGGCCATTGACTTCACGGCCTCTTTCAGTAAATCCACTACTCCTACGGACAAATACTCCGATGACGAGGACAAGCCCCGCCATGCACTTTCCATTGGTGGTCTTCTCAACGGATAACTGCATTTTCAAAATCTATAGCATAGACAGACATGTAAAATAGTGATATAATATCAATCAAAAGATAAACGATAAAATTACTCAACAGACTTCATACGAGCCTAGCCTACTGGGGAAACCTGCATCAAGTGTAATTGGACTGAGAGCCAGCTCCAGAAATTCACTTCCGTATTCATGAAAGCTCCTACTATCCAAGAATTTATGAAAGGTGCCTTGCGTGCTCAAGAATCTACTATGGCTGGTACTGGCTTATCCGATTTGTGTGAAATGCTAATCTGATACTTCTATCCATGTTATTACTTTTGCTAGCTCCAGAGTTGTCTATCAACTGTTCTGAAACTGGATCACCTTACCAGCAATATTTTTTGACCAGTGTAGGAAGAGTGCTGTGATAAATTAATCAGTTTAATCATGTCTGGTTTGAAATCTCACTGCACTTAGAAATAGGACACTACAGGTGTATGTGCTGAATGAAATTTAGATATTTAGTGAATTGATACTGAATGGCTGGGCAAGCAGTTGTTAAGATCGAAATTGAATTTCTCGTAGTTGACAAGATTTATCGACGGGTGGATTTCAGAGATATGGTCTGTACCTTATTATAACTGGTCCTTTATCTGACCAATTTGGATCCAATTTCATTTTTGTCATTTGAACCGTTATGCTATAATTTTACAAATATTTTACCAAAACGAGCACTAAAAAATGGGTGCGAAATAGATTTTTGAGGCATATATCTTTCTAGGCATAACTGGTTTGAGCTCAAGATAACCAGTACTACTCTGCTTCCCTTATTGGGTACGTTCAAGTCACTGTAGTAAGGATGTACCTGTGTCAATTTTTCACAACGTTTTTTGCGTTCTCCTGGCCCACTTCTGTACCCGGAATCGTAACCGATGAAGTCAGTCAAGGGTAGTGAATCCTAACTGATTATGAACAATTTCAGGGCCAAGGAACACAATATCGTGGTCAATTTTGGCCACGCTTTCTGGCCCACAAATTGGAGTAGCTGGTGCTAATGCACTCCTTAGCCATAACCTAAGTAATTTAACCCCAACTAGACCGGCACTGCCTAGCCTCTCATTCTTGCCCTCACAGACTCTTCTCCTGACCGCCTATATCCAGCATCAGCCGTTTCCACTCCAGCTGAGAGTCAGAAAGCTCAGAATAATCAAAAAGAGTATTAATACCACTGCCCATATCTTATCGTTTTGCACCCGATACACACGTGATCTGGTGCAATAGCCAGTCCATATCACTGAAGTATCCAACACCAATCCACTGTTACTACCCACAATGGCTGACTCTACCATCGACAACTCCATCAGCAGAAAGGCCAAGGACATCGCTGCAGGGTTCATTGGCGGTGCCACCCAAGTTTTGATTGGTCAGCCTGCAGACTTGGTCAAAGTCAGATTGCAGACATCAAGTGAAACGTCGTCTTTGTCGATCATCAAACACGTTATCAAGAATGAAGGGTTGTTTGCATTCTACAAGGGGACTTTGGCACCGTTGTTTGGTGTTGGTGTGTGTGTTTCTTTGCAATTCTACGGGTTTCACGAGACCAAGAGACAGATCTTGAAGAGCACTGGAGGCTCCGAACTCAATCTCTGGCCCCAGACATACATCGCTGGGGCAGTCGCAGGTATTGTCAACAGTCCTGTGACAGCACCAGTGGAACAACTCCGTATTTTAAGCCAGTCGAACACCTCGTCCTCTGCCAGCTCCTTGACTGACACCGTGAAAAAAATCTACCGCGAGCACGGATTGACCCGAGGCATCTACCGTGGGTTCAACATTACCGTGTTGCGTGAGTTACAGGCGTACGGGGTGTGGTTTTTGACCTACGAGGCGTTGATCCAACAGATCATCGACTTGCAGCATTACCACTCGAGAAACGACATTTCCACACCCGAATTACTCGCTAGCGGGGCGTTAGCCGGAAACGCGTTGTGGCTCTCGTCGTACCCCATTGATGTGATCAAGTCCAACATTCAAAGTGAACCGTTTGGACCTGGGGCCACTATCAAAGGTAGCATCAGAAAGGCCACCAAACACATCTACCAGGCCCACGGCTTGAGGGGGTTCTGGAGAGGCATTGTGCCGTGCTTGATCAGGGCCGTGCCGTGCAGTGCAGGCACGTTTGCCAGCGTGGAGTTGGCCCTTAGGGTAATGGGGTAGCTGGATACTGGATCACGTGCATATAGGCACGTGACGGCATGCCACCATGCGAGCGTGAGGCAATCAGTAGATACAATAGACATATATGGATAGCGCAGCCTGTAGGGGTGTGTGACACACTCAGCACCGGCGTGGCTCAGCGTGGTCACTCGTAGCAGGCGTTGGCCATTTCAGCGTTGCTGGAAGGGACGGCAATGCACTTACTGTTCCCTGTAATCCACGTTACTTCTCGCTAGCTCGCACGAGCTCTCACTAATCTCTCCCCAGCCCCTCCCTAACATTTTCCCTAGCTTCCCCTAACCTCCCCAACCTCTCCCTATCGCCTCCTTACTCTCCCTACCCGCGCACCTCCCCGGTCCTGCACTCGCCTCCAGCCAATCGCAGCAACGCATTTTTTTCTGACCATAGCTAACAGAAAAAACTTGTAGAGCTCACCAACTTCAGCTCCCTCTTCAGCATCAACACACAGAGACCATCGAGTTCACACTAGGCAAGCCCATTTGGTCCTCCTGCTCATATCATATCATAATCGATCGAAATGTTGAGACAAATAACAGCACAAGGCCTCAACCGCAGGTTGTTTTCCATGAGCTCCACCGTGATGAAACCAGCAGCCGCATCGGTTGAATCGTCCGGATACCTCACCACTGCTGGATCGACCCAATCCGTCTGGCCCAAGGGCTTCAGACTCCCCAAGCCAAAAACCTGGGAAGAAAGCCACGAAAGTGCATTGAGCAAGGCCACCAAGTTCTTCTTCTTGAGTGAAATTGCCCGTGGTATGTACATCTGTATGGAAATGTACTTCCGTGCTCCATACACCATCTACTACCCATACGAAAAGGGTCCTATTTCCCCAAGATTCAGAGGTGAACACGCATTAAGAAGATACCCTAGTGGTGAAGAAAGATGCATTGCATGTAAGTTGTGTGAGGCCATTTGCCCTGCCCAAGCCATCACCATCGAAGCCGAAGAAAGAATTGACGGTTCTAGAAGAACCTACAAGTACGATATCGACATGACCAAGTGTATCTACTGTGGTTACTGTCAGGAATCTTGTCCCGTGGATGCCATTGTTGAATCTCCAAACGTGGAATACTCTACTGCCACCAGAGAAGAATTATTGTACAATAAGGAGAAGTTGTTGGAAAATGGTGACAAGTGGGAGCAAGAATTACAATACTGTATTGACGCTGATGCTCCATACCGTTAATAGAACCGTTGCATAATAAATTGATTTCTGGCACATTGTAGTCTTACGAAGTTAGAGGGGCCGCTAGTTGCAGACACCTGGGGTTGCTTGGCTGATAAAGCATTATCCGATAAAAGTAAACCTAAAGAAACAGCTGCTAATGTTATTGGTTTACTAGTATTACTTTCAGTAATGAATTGCATTGTATACGATGATGTTTATGAAACACGTAAATAATGAATCACTTATTTCAAAGGGTAATTAATTCATTTTATGGCAAAACTAGAATGCAATCAGTTACAGATGAACATCCCTGGCCCTACTCTACATTAGTTCGTATTATTCGTTTTTATTCGTTTTATCAAAAGAGTAGTTGTAGCCTATGCACAAGACATGAGACTTGAATGCGGAATATCTCTGAATTGATGCAAGTTAACAATAAAGAATTGATTAAAATCATTGAATTTGAGAATAACCAGTGAAAGGGTTGGCATTCTTGGACTTCAAGTATTCGTCGGAAGCTTCTTGCCAGTTTCTTTCCAAAGTGTGAGGTTGCTTGGCACCCAAGGATCTGATACCGGCAAACACGACGACGGAGGCAGCGATACCACCGACAACACCCCAGAAAACCTTTGATGCGTCACCTGGACCGTGCAATGGCTTTCTTGGACCCCATTCACCGAAAGAGATGTAGTAGGCGGCCTTCTTTTCGGCAACGGATAACTCGCTCCATGGTAATTCCATTCTGGTCTTCAATTCTTCTATCAAAGCGGTTTGGTCTTCCTTTGGCAAGCTGCCCCATCTTCCCTCTAAGTTGCTAACATGAGCGTTGGACAATGGTCTTGGAGCAGCCTTGGTGACGGTGGACTGACTACGGACAGCTATTCTTTGCAAGGTTTGACGGAACATTCTGGCTAGTTAGTACTGACTATGACTTGATTTTTTTCACTCTTCACTCTTTATGAAATTTTGATTGGACGGAAAAATTAGGCGGCGGACGACCCAAACCCCGGGAACACCATGACAGCCTCCAGGCCCAGAAAGCCAGCCAAATTGGCGGCAATCCAATAGCAGGCCACGTAGATGTCTGGATATGGGTGGGTTAGGTGGAGGAGCATGCTGTGAGTGGTTTTTATGTGCTCTAAAGCGGTGAATTCTCGGCTTCTCATCGAGGGTCCGAGGCACTGTCAACAGCGGCAGGTGTCGCCCAAGACCAGGGAAACACGCCGGTAGTGGATTCCTACCTCTGTGGCAGTTCCTCTGCCTCTCTGTTGCCTCCAATCTGCTTATCTGCTGGACTTTTTATATCTCCACTGTATCTGTCGCACTTCTGTTCATGGGTAACATATTTGCTCAATTCGACAATAGCACAAGATGTTGCTAGAAGCCTCGTTGGTGGCAGCGATCCCCGCTGCTACCGCCTGCCCCTGTTCCGTCCGTTGTTTGCAGTACATACCTGATACTGGTTGATTAATGTCTATGGTAAGAGTGCAAGTGTTTTTTTTTTCCATATTATTGTACGAGAGATTATTGGGGGAGGCGGTCGTGCAGGGGCCAACGGAATCAGGCCATTGCTGCGAAATGGGACAGGTAGCAGGGAATCGGCTAGGGGTCTGTGGGGCCGATGGGGATGTCAGGCGTTGGGTGAGGTCTAGTGGGGAAATTGCTGGTTTCGTCGCATTTAGGTGGTGGTGTTACGGGTTTTTACTTTAAGTGCTATTGTAAATGTAAGTGCAATTTACCAACTGTGAAAAGTCACTACTGCACTGGTTGGTAAAACCGAGTGAACGAAGGTATCACAGTAGGTGCAAGACTTACACCTGGTATTGGTGATATGTAGTCTTGCAAGAGTAAAGAAACGGACTTTAAGCAGTAGTTAGCTCAAGAGTATGGATGGAAAGAAGGCAGTTTCGCATTAGGGATTTCCATGGAGGCTAACAAAATAGCTATAGGGTCTGCGGATATAAGATGGTCTAATCCATCCTAAAAAATTACAAGAATTATCTAGTCCCTCAGCAGTAAGGACCCCAGTTTCGAAATAGGGATTTACACAGAGGCTACCCTAACAAGCTAATTAATAATATGGTGTATGGTGTTATCAGATGGTCTAATACTTCCTAACTAATTGTATTCATAATAAATCTGTAATATGGTGTATATGTTGACTGGTCTTTTTATTGACTAAGATTTGGAAAATGACAAATTCTGGTTATATATCACCTTATTAAGCATGATGGATTGGTTATAACGATTTATTAATTATATTCGAATAAATAACCCTTCACCATTCTAGTTATTTGGTGAAAATTGTTTATGGACGTCGCAGACTGGGCCAGGTCCAGGATGGGCTTGCTCCCATGAACTAACTTTATACTATCAACAGGGAGGTCCAAAAGCAAGAAGTAGAGCTAGTAATGATGTGAAACACAATATCCAGGTCTAGCCTACTAATGACGTGGAAAATTAATCAGATCTAGCTCTGAATGATGCAAAATACAATAATCCCCCATTTATCGCCCTAAACCTAGCGGATTTGGCCAGATATTTATGTCTAGCTGGACATCATTGCTAGTTATTACACCCTTCAATACTACCGCGAGTACATAATGAGCGATCTCTTCAACTCGCCCACCTCCTCCACGTCGACGGTGCCCAGCGGATGGATACGTTTTAAGTAGTTCAAGAACTCGATCACCGAGCCACCCACGCCGAAGTAGATGTTTTTTGCTGCTACCAATGCATGGTCTGCGAGCTCCACCACCGACTCGGCCACCACTGGCAAGGTGTCCAAGGAGTAGATGGTTTCGGACGAGATCAAGAACTCGACTGGACCCACCAACTGGTTGAACTGAGGGCCCCAGGACCCGGAAACGAGTCTGAGGGTGATCCCAGAGGCTTTCATGGCGATTGTAAATGCCTGGAGCAACGCTGGAGTGCACAACAACTCGTCGTTGTTGTACAAGGGCCGTTCCTCCAGCGAGGTGAGAGCCACCAACTGGTCCACTGGGAGTGTGGATGCCCAGTGGATCAAGAGGTTGGGTACTGTCACCAACCGCAACACCTGGTAGTTGAAGTCAGAGAGGATGTAGGTGACGGGATCGGTGTTGTGGGACTCGAGCTTGTGTCTCAAGAGATAGCACGTAGGCAAGGAGGTTCCGCAGCCAAACTCGAGGAACGAGCGATGGTTCAAGCTGTCCTTGTCTAAGAGCTCGCGGAGCTTGTCAACTGCGTCGTACGAGCACTCCCAGCTCTTGAAGCCTCCCTCGTACACGTTCTTCTCCAAGTCGCGGTCGTTATTGACCACCAACAGAGGCTCTTCTGAGTCCTCACACATCACCTGGTGCCTGACGTCAAAGAGCTCGCGTCTGTATACCAAGGTCTTGCCCACAGGCGTGGTGTAGTTGTCGAAGGTGAGTTTGACGTCCTTTAGGGTGTCCAATACCGAATCAAGCGAGTGTTCCTGGGGCATGTTTTCAGGGGCGATGGAGAGCGAGGATAAGGCAGAGGGTGGGGGAGGAGTGGCAGGCGTGGGAGCCTCGCCTTCGTCGTCACTGACGTTGAAACCGAACGTGAAGCCCATACTGTGACGGAGGATGGTTGGTGGATGGTGATGATTGATGCGATGAGATGTGCGAGTGCGACCTAGCTAGTTAGAAAAGTGACATAGTGAAGCGAGTAGTAAAGTAAAATCAGAGATAGTAAAGTACGTGTGGGCGAAAGTGTGCAGGAGATGGATTTTAAGTGGATGGTAGTACAGATGATTTCTTGAAGCAGGTTTAGGGCAGTTATGCTGAGAAAGAGAAGTACTTAATGGTGAGTCTGGGAATTATTGTTAATATTGTACGGTTTCAGTGTTTATTGGAGTAGGAACAATGGATGGGAAGTGGCAAAGCAGCTATCGGTCACATATCCAGGGCACCTACTAAAATAATTCATTTGGTATGTAAAGTTTGTCCTTGGTCAAGCAATGGTTCACCAGTGCGACGGAGCTCCTGGACAGTTAGTATGATCCTGCTGCACATCGGCCATTGACCACTCCCGAACGATATTTGATATTTTGCATCAAATATCAGAATTATTCTTCTTTATTTGAAAAAGAATTGAGCTTGTAGTTTGGGTTATTGATCTTAATTAAGCTGAAGCTTTCACTTTCATATCCTTCCATAGATCTTAGATGAATTTTCCCTAGGAATTGCTTCTAACCAACAGCCGATATGGCTCTACACTGCTCAACCCACGCATACAAAGATAGACTTTATCACCTCAACAAGAAGGTTTACAAACTCGTGCAATGTATAGAATATGAGCTTGATTCTGGCTCAGCATCAACGAATATCTTTATGTGATTCCTGAGTATCCCACCAGCTATTAAACAGAATCCGAAGGATATCAAAAAACAGTGTATGTGTTCAATACTCTCTATCTGGTGCCCCAAAGCACCTTTCTGCTCCTCCGAGTCTATTCTCGTTTGCTTTCCTATACCTGAGTTTTGATGCAGGAGTTCGGAGGTATTTCTACATGCCCGAACACGAGCTGCTACACTTGACTAGGGCAATGCATTTTCTGGCTGTCCTTGCACCCGAACACCCGCAGCACTCGGAACAGCACCAAAGTGTGTGTCGTGATGAATTACTCGTGTGCCGCAGAATTACGGTTACGTTTTTACACGACGCACCAGTGGTGCCAACCTAGACGTGACATGCTTGGCTACCGATCACTATACGACTGATAACACCGACCAGCAATTGCGATCAGCAGTGGGGAGCAGCCCAACAAACATCACGTGCAGCGAGTCACGTGCCCACTCACATCACTCACCCCCCGCCTCGTTCTCGAGCCATCGGCACCCAACCGGCCCCTGGATGCATGGATCCGAGACGAGTCCATGCGGCCCCGTCGTAGACGATGCTATTGGTCTTCCTGGGCTCGCGTTGGCTCCGCATCTGGAAGTTTGCTTTTCCGCCAGCTTACCGTGCGGATCCGCGCACCTGTCACTAATGGCAGGGAGTGTGGTACCACGACGTCCCGCCCGGCTGTCTAGCCATCGCTAGTGTCTTAGCGAGACTAGCCTCTCTATCTCGATAGATCTCTCCCTGGCCTTCTTACTCTTCCTAATCTCGCTCTCTACCAGCCCCACTCTCCCTAGCCTTTCCCTCTACCGGCCCCACTCTCCCTAGCCTTTCCCTCTGCCCTCTCTACCCTCACCACCCCCCTCCCTACCACCACCGCACCGCGTCCCAGCAATCTATTTTTCCCAAACCTTACTACCCCAGTCACACTAATAAATTTTCACACTAGGCCCCTAGGCACCATCTCCATCTGCCACGTCGTCCGGCTCCGCTGCTTCCCCTTCCCGCTCCTTCCAGCTTGCCGCCACCATGGCCGACTCGCCTGCCTCCCCTGTCAAGAGCAGGCCCCAAAACCTCAGAAATCTCTCGTTGCCAGCAGACACTCCCGACAGACCCAGCAAGAACGATGCCAAAACCAAGCCAGAACACACTGCGCCCAGTACCCCGTCGCTGGGAGCTCCCAACGCCAGTGCTGGCCAGATCCCCAGCCTAAACTCCCCACAACCTACCGATACCGCCCAAACGTCCTCCTCGTCGTCTGGCGTATTCAAAGTCCCCAAGAAGATACTTGTTTCCGACAACAGGGAGCTCAATCTCCGGCTTAACTCGATCTCCACTCCGTCTGTGGCCAGCGTTCCGGCGTCAGAAAACCCCGTGCCCGCCAATCCACAGGCTGCTCTGTCTACCCCTTCCAACGACAACAATGGCGCTGCCACCGCCACCAACGGCACCAACGGTGCTGCTGGTGCCACTGGATCTGCTCTCTCGGCGCCACAACCCACACGCTTGAACCAGACCACAATCTCCAACCTCAACAAGTCGTTGAAGGCCAAGCAGAAGATCATCAACTCCAAGGAGCCCCATCCCAAGAACACCACCCTCATCTCCGAGATCATCAACACCTCGCCGTTGTCTACCGTGTTCCCCAACAACATCTCCAGCAACCACGAGCCTGACAACGACACATTGGTGGCTCCCTCGAATACCAACCCTCCCAATGCTCCTGTGCAAAATCCACCGCCAGCCACTGTCAACCCTTCGTCCAACCAGTTGAACAACGTCAACTTGGCCCTCCTCAACACCTCAAACCAGCCATCCTCCGCAGGAGCAACGCTGGCTGGCACCGTACCTCCCAACGCCTCGTCTGGCAATGTCGACACCATCAACAGCGTGGACTTGAACAAGGAGTCTGCGCCCCCTACAAAGGGCAAGCAACGAAGAATCACCAAGCAGAGCTCCACCAGAACCGATTTCTTTGCGGCTAAGTTGGCCAGTGCTGTGGACGATATCGAAAGCAGCGACAGTGACGAGACGTTTGTGTACGAGAACAACAACTTGAACGACATCGACACCATCAGTAACGCCGCCAACATCGCAGGGGACAACAATAGCATCCACGGGAGCATGATAGGTGGAGGGTTACTCCCTGGCGCTGTCTCCAGCGGCGTGGTCACCCAGGCAGGCACCTCGATGAATTCTCCATTGGCAGACGGATTGATAACCAACGAGCAGTATGCTGCTCTCAACTCTCCAAACACTCACCCTACCGAGTCCATTCATTCACACACTTCAAAGCACCCCACCCGGAATACCCACCAAAATAATAGACCTCCTTCGCTAGCAAATTCCTTTAATAGTAATCATTATTTTGATAGTGTGATGAATAATGGCAAGGACAAAAAGTTGAGCTACCAGAGATCTTTTTCGTCATATTCAAATCAAGACGAATCGCAGGCGAAAACTCCTGGCAATGGAGAAAGATCATCCAATTTCCAGACTACCTTGGCTGGACTAAACGATGGCAATAACTCAGGAAACCATGGCTTGGGAATATTGAATAATTATCATCGACCTCGCTCCCAGAGGACCCACAGCATTAATGACGCTTACAACGATGAGCATTATTCCTACGATGAAGTAGACGACAATGATGAAAATTTAATGGACGATGACATCTCTACCGACGGGGAATATTATTGCCAAAGAATGCCAGACTCTTCAAATACCACAGTACAACAGCAACCATCCAAGAGTCTTGGCTCTCCTAACGAGTCATCTGGGAAGGGCGCAAGCAATGGAGGAGATCAGGATGCCTCCAGAACAGGAACCCAAGATGAACCACTTGGTGCTACCCAACAAAATGAACTTGCTCCATCGATAGTCAGCAAAAATACTTCCAAGCGCTATAAGTCATCCAATTCTTCCTCCAAGTTGAGATCAACTACCTCCAAATTGTTTGACAAGAAAGGTTCGCAGCCTAGAAGGTATAGTTTGATTCCAGATGATATTGATATCGAGGATTTCGATGACGAGTTGATTTATTATGACAACAACATCAGATTCCCCTATTCCAACAACAAAAACTCCAACGAGACTACCTCTTTGTTGAATCAAAATCATCGTCTTCCTCACTACAGATCGTTGAATCTTAACTTCCCACACTCCAAGAAGCCACAGGGGCTAAAATCCAAGAGATACTTATCGACCGGCCAACCGTTGTTACCAAATAATAATGATAATACAGCGTCTCCACGGTCTCAGGTGGACATGTTCGGAGGATATCCATTTCAGGATCAGAACCAACACCCTAACCAACAACCCAATCAACAGCAAGGCTTTTACTATGACATAGATGAGTATGACGAAGAATTGGGACCCGACCACGGCCTTAACAAAAAGTCTTCAAGAAAATGGGGCAATGGAAGATACACTCATCCAAGATTATCACCAAATAGCAATCATTTCTTGCTACCAAGGAAGTCATCTTTTAGTGACTTCAGGAGTCATAAGGCAAACTGTCTTAAATCATTCATCTATACTTTGATAAGTATTTTGGCAATTTTGACAGTTGGTTTCGTGATGGGTTTCATTTTAGCCACAACAAAGGATTTGACTAATGTATCCATCACCTCCCTTGAAAACCCTGTGGTCAGTCAGGATGAGTTGATTGTCAATATTGTTGTGGAGGCATTGAACCCAGGTTGGTTCACAGTGACAATTGAAGAGGTAGAGTTAGACCTTTTTGCGAAAAGTGGATATCTACCAGATTTCATAGGCGCTACTGATAATATGGGCCCTCAAGACGAATCGATGGAAGTCCAGCTTTCACAGAGCGTCGAGAATGTTTTACTAGGCTCAGTATACAAACTTGAATCATTAATGAGCTTCAATGGGGGCCTTTTCAACCGTGACCCTATTGACCAGACTGCTGAAATAAAGCTTTTATCACCAGGTCGAAATTTGACGAGTGCTTTGTCTAAGAACAATGATACCGAAGAACCAGATAACTCCAAGAAATGGGAAATCATTTCTAAGAATCCGTTTGACTTGATTATTCGAGGCGTCTTGAAATACAATTTGCCCATGAGTAAAGGCACAAAATCTGTTGTTGTGAATAAGGTTGGTTATATTGATCCGAACAATGTGAACGGTCTCAGATTTGAAACACTCGAAGACATCGTTGACGAATAGAGGCTTTGGGCATACGATAAGGCTACTGAGTTACGCACATCTTCGTTCATTGGAGCTATTATGATGCTTGAGGACATAGAACTCACTCCTTAGACAGGGTTCAAATTTGGAGTGCTATTGTCGCATTAACCTATAATATAGAGTGTCGCTTCCCGACCACACCCTTGGTTCTAGTCTCACCTTAAATGGCTTTGGCTCAAATGATGTTCCACCAGAATTCCGATTGTTTCGAAAAGGATCCAACACCATCAACAGTGGACCTGTGGGGGCCTTAATTTTGAACATCAAAATCATGCGGCACGTGAGCGTATACATTTCTGCCATTGCCAAATGATTACCAGAGCACATCCTGGTGCCCAACCCGAATGTGAGATGAAACTTGTTCAGATTGTGCAATAAATTTCCATTAGTGTCGAGCCACCTGTTGGGATTAAATTGATAGGGGTTTTCGAAAACATTCTCGTCATGATTAGCTGCATAGGCATTCATTACCAAAGTGGTTCCAGCAGGAATCGTTACATCTTTGTAAGTGATATCCTTTGTGGTCACTCTGGGTAGACCCAATGGCAATACAGAAAAACTCCTCAACGCCTCATAAACTAAAGCTGTGATGTAATCACAGTTTTGTTCAGTTGCGGCTGCTTCCCATGCCGAGATCAACCTGTTTCCCGAGATTCTCATGAGTTCGTTGAAGGCGCGTTCTTGCTGCTTTTCCCCATGAGGATGGGACAACTGCCCCATCAAATAATTCATGGTCAATGGCGTATTATCCAAACCTGCACTTACCATGGTCAAACAGATGGACTTGAGCTCCAGATCGGTCAATAGGCAGTTTTTGCTAGCTATTTTTGCCACCAAATTAGTTTTGATCGGATGTTCCTCTCTAGCGTATCTCCGCTTCATTGAATCCATTAGATCCTCCATATAGAAATCCCTTCTGCCTCTAATATATTCGGGATACTTTGAGACCCCCGGCAAATACCTCAATGGAATTATGTAGTCCGCCAAGTTGGACGTGGTGGAACGATACCTCATTATTTGTGCCTCGATGTCGATAATATCCTGACAGAATGGACCATCTCTCCTGTAGCAGTCGAGGTGCAAACCGTAGGTGATATAGACTGAACTTCTCAACGCAAAAAGCTGGAAATACCGATAAAGGTCGATATCGCACGATTCATTCCTGAAGTTTCGGTAGATATTGCACGAAGGAGGCCCCAGGAGTTCTCTATTGTCTAGAATTAAGTTCCTGATGGTGTAGTTCACTTCTTTGTCAAATACGCCCGATAATTCAGAGACAGCCTTTTTGTTGAGATTTGAAGCAAGAGTCTTCTTTTTCAAGACATACGAAGGACAGAATGGGGTGGAGCCCACTGTGAAGCCTTGGGTGGCCGACACGATGTCGTGGAACGTATACAGCACAGGACGAGAAGCGGTTGCAAAAGAGTGCTTCACCCATAGATTATAGACATCCTGGTACTTGTTGACCACCACCATACGTTGAGCCCCAAGCTGGACCTGGAAGAGAGATGCCTCGTGCTTGTCGCTCCATTTCATGTATACTTCTGCTGGATTGGAGAGCACCTGTAGGAGATTGCCTACTATTGGGTACCCGGGAATGGAGAGAATCCCAGGAATTTTGGGAGGGTTGTATAGTCCAAGCCAGTCCAATAGTAGCCAGAGCAGTGCTGCCAGTAGCAACGAAAAGAGTAGATAGGTTAGCATACCAGAAACCCTAGCAAAAAGATAGTACATGGTTATTTGCACCCAACCACAAATGCGAAAAATCTCAAATATTCACAATTTGCAAGGGACGCTGCTTCGCAAGAGAATTGATCTGGATGTGTATATAATTACTGTTGCAGACCTGCCGTCAGGCATGCAACACCATTATTGGCTGGGTATACTATTGATGTGCTACATTTGAATATCAGTGGACTTGAGGATGAATTAAGTGGCTATAGAATGGAATCTGCCACGATCTCTGTTTTTGATGTAATTCGATGATAATGGGGAAGGGACGTTTTTAGAGGGTATGTTCGACCAACCCACTAAACCTGGTCTTCCTTGGTCCCACCCAACTTTTCATTCTTGTAGAACTCTCTGTCTCTTTCGAGCTTTGCTGCCTGTGCTTCCTCCTCTATCAATTCGTCGATATCGTAGTCGTAGCTGTTTGGATCACGGTTGATGTCCAACTTGTCCTTTCTCTTTCTCAAGCCTGACGATTCGTGGTCCAATCTGATTCTGAGAGGAATGTCTCCTGAGGTTACGTTCATCCTGTCTCTCATCGAGGTATGTGGCTTGTTCTCGCTTCTTGCAACCTGCTCATCTGGTGGAATGTACCCTTGATACTCATCCACGGCAGGTTCTTCTTGCTTGTGGGAAATGTTCTTGGGCTTTCTTTCGATTTTCACCTTGGTCAACCCGCTGGCGTAAGGTAAGTACAAGATCACGGCCACAAGGACCACGCTGATGATGATCAAGGTGAAGAACATTGCTGGCGACTGACTGGAACCAGGTGTTGAGATGCCCCGAAACGTCCGAATCACTGACAGACTCGCGCGTGATTTGCGGCACGTGCCTTGTCATGCTCGGAAACCACAAATTTTCAAACTCCATAACCACTGTGGGACCACCAACCATGAGCTTTAGACAGATTGTTACCGCTGCCAGTAGGTGCAGAGCACTTGCTCGTGGCGCTCCCGCACGCAGTATTGTTGCTGCTGTCGGCAGCCGCCAATTTGGCCTCCGTGTGCAGCATATCGCTACCAGAAACTACTCGGTAACCACCGAGGGAGAGAACATCAGTGACAAAATCGACCAATTGACCCCCAACCAGTACAGTACTGTGGCAGACCATTACCTCGAGGCCATGGCCGACTCTTTGGAGGAATTGTCGGAAGACCACCCCGAGGTTGACTGCGAGTTGTCGCAGGGTGTTATGACATTGACCATTCCTGCCAATGGAACCTATGTGATTAATAAGCAGCCTCCCAACAAGCAGATATGGCTCAGCAGTCCTATCAGTGGTCCTAAGAGGTACGACTTGATCCAGGGCAAGTGGATAACCCTCAGAGACAACACGTCGTTGACGGAGTTGCTTGAACGGGAGGTGGGCGAAGCTTTGGGGCAGACAGTCGAGTTGGGGTTGGAACAGTAGCACAAAGTGCCATTGTGATGCTGCCGAGGGATTTGGGTGTTGAATGAAGAGCTTCCCGTGTAAGAATGGGATCCATAGCTACCTTATAGAACCCGCGTGGTAGCAGCCAACTGCTGGAGCGCTGCTGGTTTCTAGTTTCTGTAAATAAATAATGTCTTATGAGCGTGGTGTAGTATGGTAAGGGTGCAGCGTTTTAATTGTATCTAATTGAAATACTTTTGATTAATTTTCAATTTCATCTAGTTAATTGAAATAATATTAAAAGTCGTCTGTAATTTGACTTAGGCTGTTATAGTGGTGGGAACTATTCCAGTGATTTCACGGTAGTCTGGAGTCTCTTCCTAGTCAGTCATGCCCCCATTGGAAAGTGCCAGCAACTGAACGCCTCTGTCATTACTGCCGTTATCCGACTATCATCCCCTTGTACGTCCTGAAACTGTTGACTTCAGTAGAGATCGCGCAAAATGGGTGCGAAATTCTGATGGTTATCACCAAAAACAGAAACAGGACAAAAGAGCTGAAGTCGCTTTAGAACTGCACTCTACCAGTCGTTCAACACTTAGCGATGAGAGGATGAAATACTGTTAATAGAGCGGACCTAAACGTCACCATAGTCATTTTCTTCACCCGCATTCATGTGATGCTTATCGTCGAACTGGAAATTGATTCCTCCTATGGTGACTATTGCACATAGAAACGGTAGATCTTCAGCATCGAGCTTACTGCAGGATTTTCCGCCTCGGGCAGAGTCAATCAACCTTCCATGGGGCAATGATAATAGATTCCGTGCGGAAATGGCCACCCTCGACTGCATTATTGTGTAATTCGCCTACATTTTGTACCAGGCGATCTTGACCATTCAGAAAATTGCTGGCTTTTCTGCCATTTGTGCAAAATTACCAGCACCACTCCATTACCCCCAGAAGTCTGCATCAGAAACCTCTATCCAGTACATTCCCACCAATTTTCGCCCGTTCCCTCCTCTAGAGTATCTGCACCTGCGCACACAAGTGGTATTTTCTGGCTATTTGTGGCTATTTTCTGACTATTTGTGGCTATATTCTGCAACCACTACTACTACGCAGGTAACGCTTACGTAACTGCATCAGCAAGATCGCAAATCTGGCGGAGCTACCAGGGACTGGCCACACAAATTATATGGCCAATTCATACCACCACAGCAATGAGCACCAGTGAAAAGCGCTATCTGAAGCCCTCCAGACCCCCTCCACCTCCTTTGCCTCCAGGCTGGGTCGCCCAATGGGACGACGAGTACCAACGGTACTTTTTTGTAGACACTGCAACTGGCAAATCACAATGGGAGCCCCCCAAAATCACCCATTCCCAGCACCCTCCTTCGTACGAGGAGTCATATCGACAGCCATCCCAAAGGCAAACCCAACAGCCAGTCCAGCAGTCGTCGAGGAGCCAGGGCCAGCAGGTGCAGCACGGATCCATTCCTCAGCAGAGTCAACGAAGAAGCAGCGGAATGGGAACTGCCATAGCCACGGGTGCAGCCATTGGAGGCACAGCACTAGTTGCCAGATCACTTCTAGGGTACGTATAATCATTTTTCCATTTTATAGAATGAAAGGAATGGGATAGGAGAGTCATACTCGTATGCAGTGGTAATACGGAATATGGTGGGAATACAAGCCGGAGTGGAGTTTAATTCTCACTCTCTTCCTTGGCACCAATTCATGGTATTTGGCAGGATATTTGTTTCCGCTATTTTGCTAATAGGGAATTATAGAAAGTCATATTCATGCTATAATCATGGTACTTCGGGGGGCTGGATACTCAGTTCATACTAACACACCAGGGGAAGCAGAAGACACCAGGTACACCATGTGCACCACGTCCACCATGGAGTGCACGGACGTCGCTCCATCTATCTGAGACCTGGTTTTGGGCCTGGTTTTGGTGCTATGGGGGGCGGTTTTGGCGGTCCTTCGATCGGTGGTTTTGGTTCCCGTATGGGAGGGGGGTTTGGTGGCCGTCGCTGCTAGAACCACATGACACTTGTTAAAATACTTCGATTGAATGGATATGGACTGTATATGTAATAGTGCTTCACTCATCTATCAGCCAAACATCTTCTATGTTCCGTTGTCTCTCTTCTATATTCTATCTTCTATATTCCATCTCCTCGTTGGTGTCCTATTTTTCCCCAAAAAAACTTGTTAAGACAATCGCCTCAAGACTCAATTATATGCTAAAAGAGATCATCTGTAGGAAGAATTCCACACCTGCGTGTTGTCCTGAAGGGCATAAATGCATTCTCACTGGCTGCAACCCATTATACATCACGTGCTTTATGTCACCTGACCAATACTCGTTAATCACTCGAGCCTCCACCAGGAGTCAGCGGCGACTGCCTTCTTCGTTGTGCACTATATGGCCTGTGATAGAGCCTACAACCTGGTCTGTTTGAATCCTCTTCCATATCAAGACCTTCACTACACCACTTAGCTTTCACGAGCCAGAGAATCCCAAGAATTCGCCACGAAACCATACCTGGAACTTCAAACTCCGTCTGCATCACTCTGCATCACTTCATCTTGAATAATCACCTATCAAAGTCTACTTATATAAAGACATCACACAGCATCCAGCATCGTCGTACTCGTCACCCTTCATCACACTTCAATACGACTATTTCTTTCCTACTACTATCCCTGACCACCTTCGATTGATCCAATGACATGATTCCCAAAATTCGGTTACGAGGATACACCGAACATTCCAACGTATCCATCTTATCATCACAAGGAGGCTCACAAGGACCAGTGTTCAAGGTCACCATACGGCTCCCCCAGCATGTGTTGGAGGAATTGGAGGAGGAGACAGAACTGTTCAACTACGACTTAGAGCCTCCCAGAACACCCAAGATACGACCGAAGCCCAGCATCGCAAGTCACGAAGATGATGAGGATACAATATTTGCACGCAGAACCACCCCCAAAATCCATCCCAGTAGTCACGAGGACGAGGACGATGTAAACTATAAGGAGTTGTTGCGTCTCGACCAGGAGTTGAACAAAGTACTCCAGCAACCCATCAAAAAAGAGCCAGCCAGCCAAAAGGAGAAATACCACGGGTACCGTCCAATTCCCAAGAACATCATTCCCCTAATCGAGAAAGAGCTCGCCCGATTAAATCCTGACGATAGCGACGAATTGGGCATTATCGACAAAATCGTGTTCTCGTTGAAGGACCCTTTGGCTGCAAGCAAGATCAGGCTCCCAGTAAAGTCTTCTAAGTGCATCCATTTCGAGTGCTTCGACTTTGAGAATTTCTGTGTGTTCAACAAGATCCCGAAAGGCATCCAGAACTTGTTGAAAAAGGACATAGCCAAGCGTAACTACCAGAAGCTAGCATTCGAAAAGAGGCGTGGACTCCGCCAAACCACCCGGAACCAAAATCAAGATTCTGACGTGGTTAAGATAATTCTGAGTCCTAAGAGCTTCCATCAAAATGCTCCCAAGTACAAGTGTCCGCTATGCGATAGACAATTTGCATTACACGAGCTCATAGTTGACGATTCGTACAACTACTTCGTCCGGAACACCCCGCAGGAGACAGAAAGAATTGAAATATTGGATATGAAGCAGTATAAGATCGTGGATGAGATGAGGTCCAAGTCTGTCACCGCCGACGAGGAGGTTATTGTGCTATCTTCAGACGAAGATGACATGGTGCCCACTTACCCGAGACTGTCTACAACTCCTGCTGCGGAAACAACATTTGAGGATAGTGAAAACGAGCTTTTCAATGATGGCTTAGACGAGGAGTTGCTTAATCTAGGTAGTAATGACAATGCCTACTTTAAGGGGAGTGGAAGCTGGGAAGATCCATTAACTTTGGATTAATGTATAGTATGTAAAATAGAGGAATAATACGAGGATTAATGCTTAGGATATTTGTGATCAGACAACTGTAGAATTTATCAAATAATCATCATATTGAAAAGACAGCATTTATACGCAGTTCTGTTTATGAAAGATAATTTTCATATTGAGAAGATTAGACTGAGCTTGCAGTACCATAGAAGGATGCGAGATTGATGAGTTTGTTTCCTGAATCTCTAAATTAATATGAGTCTATTAAATATTGTATGAAATAAATTCATAGATGACTTTCCTGGGAAATAGTCTAAAACAGTATTTCCCTGCTACTTACAATTCACGTCAATAAGGTTATCGTAATAATTTCGTCACTATAAAATCGAGACATATTTCGTCAGCCTCAGTTTGCTGGAGCAATACCAACTTCCTTGACATATTCTTGAAGGTTCAAATGCTGGAACTTGACACCCAAGCCGTCAGCGATCTTCTTACCCAAATCGGCATCAAGCAAGCCGAAGTAAAGTGGCACTCTTTCCTTGATGCGTGGAATGGAAATACTTGAAGCGTGCCCAACTACAGCTTCCACGAACTCCTTCTTCTCATCGCTAGTGAACACATCTTGGTACAATTTTCTTGGCTGTTCAAAGTCAAGTTCATCAATACCAGAAATGTAGTCGTAAGACTTCAACCAAATGGCTTCTTCGTGCGCTCTCTTGGCTCTTTCCTTCTGCAAGATGGTATACTTGTCAGTATCCTTGGCTTGAACGACACCGACGTACTTAGCGTCCTCAACCTGAGGCAATCCGTTGGTGAAAGTTTTTGGATCATTTGAAACCGAGTTAAGTGGAAGAATTGAGCTCAAGTAGTTGGGTCTAAAGCCCTGGCCGTCGATTGATGCGGCACCGTCCCTCTGGAAATTACCAGCTAAGAAAGGACATCCCGAGTTTTGCTCGAATGTACGGGGCTTATTCACCGGCAATTGCTGGTAGTTAGCACCCAATCTGTGACGATGAGTGTCGGAGTATGAATATAATCTGGACTGCAACACTGGGTCATTAGAAGCCTCCACACCTGGAACCAAATGGGCAGGAGAGAACGCGAGCTGCTCGATTTCATCGTGGTAGTTGACTGGGTTCTTGTCCAAGACGATTCTTCCGAACTTTCTTAATGGAAACTGGTCGTGGGGCCAGACCTTGGTCAAATCGTTGATGGAGTACTTGAACTCTTCAGCCTGCTTGGCTGTCATCGTTTGCACGTAGGTGGTGTAGCCAGGATACTTTCCAGCGGCGATTCTGTCGTAGAGGTCCTTGATGTTGTGTTCTGGCGAGGAACCAGCCAACTTAGCACCTTCATCGTTGGAGAGCGTGGGGAACCCGCCATCAGCCTTGATGTGGATCTGCACGTAAGTAAGCTCATCTTTGTCGTTGATGAATTTGAAGGTGTGGCCAGAATAGCCGTGCATTTCAGCCCAACTCTTAGGAATGCCTCTTCTGCCGAACATGTAGGTGACCTGGTGGATACTTTCCGGGTTCAACACATAGTAGTCCCAGGTGTGGGTAGAGTCTGTGTTCTGGTTCAAGTGGGTGGAGGGGTCTCTCTTCTGAGTGTGGATGAACTTGGGGAACTTGATGGGGTCTCTGATGAAGAACACGGGGGTGTTGTTGAACACCCAGTCCATGTTTCCGATGTCAGTCTTGAACTTGATCGAGAAACCACGGGGATCACGGAGGGTGTCAGGAGTCCCACGTTCTCCTCCAACTGTGGAGAATCTGATGGAAATAGGGCATTTGTAGCCCACAGACTGGAAGGGACGAGCGTAGGTGAGGTCCGACAACGAGTCTGTCAACTCGAAGTAACCGTGGGCACCTCCACCCTTGGCATGGACCACTCTTTCTGGGATTCTTTCCCTGTCAAAGTGGGAGAGATCGTCGATCAAGTTGAAGTCCTGGAGCAACAAGGGCCCTCCAGGACCAGCGGTCTGCGATCCGTAGGGGTGGTTGGGGTATGGCACACCGTTGGAGGTGGCATAGACGGCAGGGTCTTTCTGGGTGTTGTGCAAGTGTTCTGAAACCATGCTGGAGTAGGTGTACGAGTCGAAGTATCCACCACTAGTCCAGAATGGTGGCTCTTATATATGCCAGCCACGGAGATGCCGGATCTGGACGCAAGCCTTGTTGGGCAACCTTGACGCTGGCCAATTGTGCCAGAGCAATTAGCAACTGTGATGGCTGCGGCGGTTCTTTTTTGCAACTGCCATGGTTGCTGTAAGGCGCGAAACCACACTTGGGAGGCTGGGAAACTTGCCCCACGGGACTAAGCCTGGTAGGAGTGGTAGAGGGGAGGAGGGGTGGTTTAAGTGGTGGTTTTAGTGGTGGTTTGAGTGGTAGTTTGAGTGGGAGTGGAGTTGGCAGGGCCGTTTTCGCTGACGGTAGTGGGTGCTTTTGGTGGCGCTGGCTGGTGCTTTGTGTGCCGTTTGGTTGTGCCGTTTGGGGGCTGTTGGTGCCTGTTGGTGCCTGTTGGGTTCACGCCGTGGCTGGAGTTATCGGAGCAACTCGCGGAGTACGCAATGCCAGGCTTAGAACACGAGGGGAAGTCCGTGACGGTTAATTGTAGCGTGAGCCAGACTATGAGCGTTTGTCACCCATTGAGAGACTAGACCAAATGATTAGATATCGCTCAAAAGTCGGAACCTTTTGCCCTATGCCAGAGACACGGCCCAATGTCAGCCAATCTAATGGCTCCAGAAGTGGCTAGATCTGGAGGGTATTTGTAATGAAGTGTTTGTTGGTCCAATTTCGCATTTGCGCATTTCCGCCAATTCCATGCTTTCAACCACTACGCCGGCCAATGCCCCAGGCTCGCTCATAAGAAGCTCCAGAATGCTCATGACTGGATGAAGCTCCCGTCCACTGTTTCTGTTCTGTGCATCCACCAGTCACGATATGCTTCTCACGTGCTGCCGCACGTGTGTGCCAGTTCCAGTCGTCCCCGTACCGTGAAAAACACATCACCAGTTACTCCTTCTTATCAGTCCAGTATGCTTCGGGTAATCGCCACAAGAAACTGTGCCGCAAGGCAGCTCCACAGCTCCTGCCTCTTGAGAAAGCCGCTTGACTTTGCCACCAGCGAAACAACCCGCTCTAAAAGCAAGCCATTCAGTTTGGACAATGTTTTCATCGATAAGGCTGCGACCAATGGCGACAAGTCTAATCGGTTTGCCACCATGTTCCGCAACGATGACAAGCCCAGACCAAAGAACAACGCCGGACCCCGTGGTGGATCCTATTCTGGTAATAGGTTTAACAAGGCCGATGCCAAAAAACACGATGTGGAAAGAAAGCCTCACAGAAGAATAGTGCGTTTTGAATTCAACACCGGGACCTTGCAGTCCCAAACCGCGTTGAAGGCCTTGATCTCCAAAGTTCACGAGCAGAATAGCCACTACAAAGTCAAGTATGTTGATCCTGAATCGAGCAGAGTTGTCTCCAAGTTTTTGGTGGATATCACCAACAACCTCGATCTCAAGCAGCACGGGTTGTCGTTGATCGTCAAGGAAGGCGATTTGCCCATGTTGAAGAGAGTCAAGGTGGAGGAGATGGTCAAGAACTATTCGCAGCAGTTGGCTCTTGAAAAGGAGAATGAATTGTTACAAAAGGGAAGCATAGTAGCTCAGAAGGTTGTCAAACAAAGATTGAGAGCAGAGAAGAAAAAATCAGCTGCAAAGACGTTAACTCTTTTCTGGAAAATCAGCATCGGTGACTTGAGAAATCAAAAGAAGCTCGAAATCGAAAGAAAGTTGAGTAAGGGAGAAAAATTCACATTGTATCTTAAGAGCAAACTGCATTTTGTCGAGGAGGTTGAAGACGGTGAAGTGGAAGAGACGGCTCCTCACAGAAGCGAAAACATTTTGCATTCAAACAAGTTCAAGGATGAACAGGAATTAAACATCGAATTGAAAAGAAGACAGATGATTTACGAAGGGCTTGTTTCTATCTTGGATGATTTGCCATGCACATATAAGGTTGAGGGTAAAAGTGAAACTAGGTATATTATATCTATAGCTCCAAAGGAGACGGAGAGTCCAAAAGCTGTGGAAGCCAAAGATTCAGACAAGGAATTGAAAAAGCAAAAGAAATTAATGAAGCAAAGAGAACGGGAGCAAAAATCCAAACCAAAGACCAAGGTGGAAGACTTGGACTCGTTGTACTCTTTCAAGTTGGACGATTAAGTCGAACCAAGTCTAAACCAAAACCAAGGTAGAAGGGCTTGCACCCGCTGTACTCTTTCAAATTGAACGATCAAGTTAAAACAACTCATCGCACACATAAATAGAAAACCATCCCGAGGGCCATGCCTCGGTGTTGGAACGTCCTTGAAGGACACTGGTATTTAGGATCTCATGTACATATTTATACAACGCTACCGTAGCGATTGGACTCCGTATTAGCTTGCAAGATCGACTCTTCCAGGCCTCGAGCCAAGTTCTTGAGTCTGTCTCTTCTCAACTTCTGCACCTTGAAACCATAGGCATGTCCATGGATTAGTTCGTCCACAATAGGATAGTTCAACAATCTCTTGACTTCGTTCAGGTTGAGATTGTAGTTGTTGATGTCCACTGTAGCTATTTGGTAGAGCTGTTCGTCTTCGTCGAAACGTTCGTCCTCGTAGTCGATCGAAGCTAGGAGAGGATCGGACTTGATGATATCAGTTATTGTTTGTGGAGGCACCTCGGGCTCGGCAAGAAATTCTGTGGATGGCGAGGGAGAATTCTGGCTCCTGGTCGATGCCGAGTAAAGTCCTCTGGTGGAGGCACCAGAGGACTTGAGTGAAGGAGCGTAGTCTTTGCTTTGGTAGTGGATGTGAGGGAGCTGAGATGAGTTCGAAACAGCTGTTTCCGAGGTGCTCCGCACGTCCCCAGCGATGCTCTTCGTCGAGAGAGTGTCGCTGGGAAGCCAGTGCTTCTGCTTGCCGTCGAAGTGGTATCGCAACCCCTGGTTGATTTTGCTCATTCTTCCCTTAGAGTCCGGATGCGCAATAAGGGCCTCTACCGAGTCAAACTGCTTGTAGTCCTTATAGTAATCGCCATAGAACGTCAATCTGAAGTCGTACCAGAGGTCCTTGACTCCAATCATGTCCTTGAAGGCGTAGCGGAAGATAAGTCTGCCATTGGGAATGTGTGCAATGGTGTAGGGCACGTAGGAGAAGGAATACCAGTGGCCAATGGCGAAAGCGATCAACTCAACACACAATAACGCGTTCTGGATGCACAAGCCGATGCTCTCGTCCGAGCTTTCCTCGCCTTTGGCTGGCAATAAGTGGAACGCACTCAAGATGGCCAATATGACTCCCTGCCAGTAGGAGGCAAAAATGATCAATTTCACACACAAGAACTTTCCCACCGGGTTGAACGGCTTCAAGTCGTTCCACAAGATCTTCCAGAAGATGGCCAAGCAGTAGAGCGACAACGTGACGCTGGCGTTGTAGAGGAGGGTCATCCAGAAGTAGAGCGACCCTGGGCCGATGTGCTTGACGTCGTAGACCCCCCAGAGCTCCAATGCCACTGTGGCAAAGCAGATGAATGGCTTCAACCACACGTACTGCAAGATACCTCTCTTGATGCCCAAAAACGTGAACGAGTCCGAGATGTCCAATGGAGGCAACACGTACCGCAACAACCCCGGATGCGCCACAGGCTCACGTCCGCTGGTCTTGATGATGATGCTGCGCTCGCCTCCCAACATGTCTGTCAAGAGCGAGAAGAAGGTGTAGATGACGAAGGCCTCGTACACCTCGCGGACGGGCTCAAGCACGATACGGTTGAAGAGCGACGTCTGGTTGGTGAGCATCGAGTAGCATGACAACGCAAACAACGGCACGATCAACTGGATGCGGATCATGAGACGCTGCTCGAACGGCTTTCTGTAGTTGCGGAGGTGCATGTATATGCTGAGGAAGATGATGAGGGTAGAGATGATGGATGCAAAGAGGGAGAGCGAGATGATCCACGAGGGAAGGATGTTGGATGCGGATGCCATGGTGGGATGGTTGGCGTGATGGTTGGGTGCAAGGGTAGACTGGCGTGGTGCTGGTGTGAATATGGTCGTATAAAGGTGGTTGTGAAGTTTGGGTGCTTAAGGGGATATTATCCGTATTAATACACTCTTGGGGGGTGCTGTGGGGTTGGCAGATGAGAGGAGGCCAATTGACGGAGCAGCCACTTGGTAGAGGGGCGGGACGAAGAAGTGCTGGTGGTGGTCTCAGACAGTCTTCTCGGTCGTTACGGTGGGTTAGTTGATATCATCGTTAGTGCGCTTACGTAAGCAGAGAGCAATGTTGGGGTAGTGATAACAAATAGTAGAATATCAGTTTGGACAGGAGGTAGGAAGATACTGCGGTAGCCATGCCATGAGGGTACACAGCATAGTCTTGCGAAGAATTCCGTTTAGCCGATTGGTATTATATCTATTTGTAAGAGTGTAATACCGGAATTAATCTCTTACTAATGCAGATAGAATAAAGGATATAATGCCACGAAGCTAGAATGCCCTATAGGTCTAACTAAATCTAATTAAAGAGAAAACTATCGAGTTAAGCACTTACTAGGAATAGGTAATCTAATAAAGGAAAACCGAGTTATTGTTTATAATGAACTTAAACTTATTTTGTAAAGAGATACTCCACCAAGTTATTGTTCGCTTGCAATAAATTGTACCTAAATTATAAGGAATATCTTGCTAGAACTATAACTGAACTAATGCTCGCTTGTTATCGTCCAGCTCCAGCGATGTTTCCCCAGACCATCAACGTGACAGAAGAGTGATATTTACTAAATGATTACTAATAAAGCAACTATAGCAGTGAGAAGGTTCAGATGGCAAAGCCCTTCTGGGCCATAATCGTGATACACTTGTTCATGTCTAGCCTCACCTTAGTTGTCATAATTAAATCTGTACTGTCATAACCTGCCTACGATCCATCATAATAGAGCTTTATCCTTACTGGCAGATTTTCTCCGTGTTTCATCATCATTGATTTAACCCCTTACCGGACGTTCATTCCACGTTCATCATAATTGTCGTAAATTTAATCTACTTACTGCATATTCAGTCGGCACGTTTCATCATAATTGTCGTAAATTTACTTACTAGCATCTGCTGTCCGACTAAATGGATTCGTTATCTCATGCGACACCCGCATCCTTTAGCTTCTTCTGTCTCTCTTTTTCCATGGTTAACTGCTGTAACTCATCCTCGGTGACCAAATGGTGCTTATGGTTGTCGGGCTTGAACACACTGGCCTTGCCATGCAGATCGTGGACGGTGTGACAATGCTTGATGGACTTGAAGAACTCATCCTCCACCACTTCATCCATGAGGTAACGCTTGGTCGGATCAATAGTTAACATATTTCTGATTAACTCCCGAGATTCTGCTGGTAACAACCGCAAGAGTCTGTCTGGGCCCCGAGCAACCTTCTTGACCGAGCTGGACGAAGTGGTAAGACTCAAATCGCTCAAACTCTCGTGTACGGGTTTTTTATCTTGAATGTCCTCAATTCCTGCAAAAGACCGGTAGGAGGGATCACTGACCTTGGGGATCTTCCAAGGGAACCGCTTTAGTATCATACACGAGAATACCACTGCAACCGACCATACGTCAGCATGTCTTGGGTCGTAGCCAAAATTGGAAGGTTCCATGACCTCAGGGGCCAAGTATGGGTCAGATCCGACCACACCTCTCGCACGGACGAGTTTGTGATTCTCATCCACCAACTCGTCATAAGAGGGATTGAACGAGGTGGTCAGTCCGATTTCTTTTTTGAATTGCACAGCTGAGCCGTAATCGATCAACTTAAGTATTCCGTCACGACTGACAACGCAATTGTCTAGTTTCAAGTCACGGTGGGCCAAGCCGTTCTTGTGTAAGAATGCCACTCCGTTGACAATATGCTTGAAGTAGCAGAGGGTTTCTTCTGTCAGCATTAAGCCGGACATCACCAAGTTGAAGAAATCAAACGGGCAGTACTCCATGACCATGTAGTATTCTGGATCGCTGATGAGCTTGGACGAGCGTGCGCCACCATGGCCGGGGTAATCCTTGATGAGCTCGAAGGTGTGGATCAAGTTTTCGTGTTTGGCAAACTCACCAATTTTGAATTCATTCTTGACTCTGACCTTGTAGTCGGCCTCGCTTTCGGTGGGTAACTTGGATCTGAACTTTTTCACGGCGTAGATCTTGTGGGGGTCACTGGCAGACGTCACCAAGTTGACGGAGCCACTGGCTCCTGTTCCCAAGAGCTTTCCCACGGAACCGTACTTCTTGTACAATTCCGACGAAGTGTTGGACGGAGGTGTGGATGTTCTGTCCTTGGATGAGCCACCATGCGAGTCCGAGTTCTTGAGCTTGTTGAGGAACCTGCGCAACGATAGGTGATGGTGGTGGTGGTGACGAGAACGGTGCTCGGGGTGTTTTCCGCGTTTCCTGTCATCTGAGGAGTCTTTGGCGGCCTTGGGAGGTTGCGGGTGGTTTGGAGATGGCTCTGCGGGATGTTCGTGAGGGCGTTCTTCAGGGTGCTCTTGAGGGCGTTCTTCAGGGTGATGAGCATCTGCAATGCTGGAGTCGTTGTGCGAGCCATCGATGCTGTTGGAGGCCGAAACGAAGCGCTGGTTCACCGATCCAAGTGAAGTGGAGCTCGAAGTAGCAGCACTTTTCTTGTCCTTTCTGATGGAGCCTGACGAGCTGGGACTGGTCTGGGGGGTGATGGAGCCACGGGACGACTTCTTTCTCAAGAAGAACCGATGGGAGTTGGACGGCGCCAACGGAGTGCCGGAAGAGTGTGGTTTGAGGTTGTGGGTGGTGTTGGTGGTGGTAGACGATGACGAAGACGGCGTGTCTTGGGGAGGGATGTTAGAGGCATGGTGGTTGTCGTCGTGGTGCTTGGACTTGTCGCTTCTGAGAGAGGTGGACGAGCCCGAGAAGAACTCTCGGAGCACCATTGCAGCTGGGAGAGACGAGGGTGGTGGTGGCAGGATCCAGCAGGAAGAAAGTGGTTGCCGTGGTGGAAAAGTCCTGGTGCGAGGTTGTAGTGAGGGTGGGGTGGTAGCGAGGAGGTTCGGCCGGGGGCACGGGGCAGGCTCGCGGGGGCTCCCGCGAGCTGGCGAGGGTCCGGTGGTGCGCAGAGAAGGTCAGTGGCAGGAAGAAACTGGCAGCGCTAGAGAGTGGCTAGACAATAGTTGGGGGAATCAACTAGCTAGCACCATCACCAGCTACTGCTAGTACTTGTTAGTCCAACGCTTGCTGGTATCCCTGGCCCACGGCTATAGTGTCGATAACACCGGCCTCGGCAACCAGATCAACTGGCGTCTCGGTGGTACCGCCCGTTCGGGGCTCGCCACGAGCCCGGGCGCGGGTTCCAGGGCCTTTTAGGGAATGGCACACGAGCGACGTTTCAGGGCACTGTGCCAGGCGCTGGGGCACATGGCGTGGTGGTTCAGCAAGTGGAACATGAAATATGGTGATTTTCACTCGGACTCGGAGCTCCGGCTGGTGTCATTTCGGTGCCAGGGTGAATTACGTGACAGTATCGAAATACTGTCTACACTCGCTATGCTCCAGAGAGACCAGTAGAATTGGGAGCCAAACAATGGAAGGAAGAGAGTAGCTGTGGCTGGAGGCAATGGGTCTGCTGGATCTGGCACTGCGCATATTGGAGTATACTAATCCAAGTGAACTTCTTCCAATTTCGCATCCAAGGATCTGTACTATCTTGGTGCAATTCCTGATACGGGTATATGACATATCAGGCAATTCCAAGAGGGATTCGGGAAATCTTGACAGTAGCCACCGTTAGTTTGCTCGGATGAGTGCTACCCACAGATGGCCCAAGGATCTTTGTAGCGTGACTCGTTAAACGGAGAGAGAACGCGGAGCTTCAATCTCAGATGACTAGCATCGATGTGTGCTTTAGGTGAAATATTGCCTGATATCTTGACCACCTTCCCATATCCTTGAACAAGTTTTAATCTAGTTCCAGAGTACTGAAGTCGGATACTAGAGAGTGTTGACCTATATGAAGTAGAAGAAGAACCAATTGAGATTAAGATAATTCACGGAAACACCTTTTCAAGTACTTGCAATTAAATAATACGAAGTTAACGATGGACTGACATTCGTTATTGATTTACTGCAATTGCATATTACCAGGAGGTAATCGAAATGGACTGACATAGATTTAATCGTGGTCCTTATAATCTTTACCTCACTGGGCCTTATACTACGCTTTTAAACTTATAATGGTTTGTATCAACAATATTTAGAGTATTTAAGAATCGTTATCATTAACGAGCAGCTTATGACAAGAGCGAGTCATCCTCCTTACCCCCGGCATCGTTGGCAGACCCGTTGCCGTGGTAGCTGTTCATGTTGAACAGTTGGCTTCTCTTCTTCTTGCGCTTGCTGCTGGTGTTGGTGGATGAAGACGCCGACAGGTGCTTGCTTGCGTTTTCGAGCTGGTCAATATCGAGTACATCGTGTTCTTCATCACTGACGTGTTCGATAATAGTCTTGTGGACACCCTGGACATTGACAACGGACTCGATAATACCACCAGTTCTGTAGGAACGGGCTTCCTGGTACTCGGGAACCTCGAGGGCTTCCGCAGCCAGGAGCAACTCATTCTTGTGGGCATCCTTGATGTCCGAAATATCAGCTTCTCTTTCATCAGGCAACAAGAACTTGTGAGAAGACAGACGACGGCGTTGTCTCTCACCAGCGACATTGCCGTTGAGAATAAGCTCGGCTTCATTCACGTTTTCCTCCATGGATTGCGAGTTTCTTCTGGCAGCCTCAAGAATGGCGCCTTGCTCACTGGTGTGGATGTCTCCATAGTTTTTAGCACCCGTACCATTCGGCACTTGTCTCTTAGGTCCGGGCAACACAGAATTTATGGTCTCGGCGGTAGTTCTTTTAATGGTGACAAAAGGCTTGTTAATATCCAATGGGTTCAATGCAGGGTTTTTGGGCTTCCAGTTCTTTGCCGAATCCACAGCTCCAGTAAGTCCATTGGACTCAGGTTCAGCTTTAGCTTCGGCGGGAGCGGTAGGAGCAGCACTGGCTTCAGGCACTTCCTCCCGGTTGATGGAGAACGCTGGCCCATCAATGGAATTTCTTTTGGAGTTGTTGGTGGACTGGTACAAATTTCTCAAGTAAACGGTCAAATTTCTCTTCGACAAAGGACCTGGTTGAGTTCTTTTGATATTCTTGTTGATGTCAATGTAAACGTCAGACTCGTCGACAATTTCCTCGCCGATCAATTCTTCGATGACGTCCTCTAAAGTCAACACACCAATGGCACCAGAGGCACCTCCAGGAGTTTCACTAACGACAATCATGTGGGATTTACCTTCTTGGAAGTAGTTCAAGATGTTCAAACAGGAGGTGTTCAAACCAGTCTCAGGTAAAGTGGCTAACGGGAATGAAGCGACAGGCAAAGCATCTTCAGGGTCGTAACTAATCAACACACGCACGAGCAACATTCCGATGAAGTTCAAGGGCTCGTTTGGCAAGTGAATAGGAATTCTTGAGAATCCAGCGTTGAAGATCTCCTCCACCGTTTTCTCGTCCAAAATGGTGTCAGCACTCATGGTGTAGACACGGTCGATAGGAGTCATGATATGGCTGACAGGTTTTTCCTTCAAATCCAAAACAGCACTGATGATGGTGACTTCGTCCTGATTCAACCGTTCCACACCCATAGTTTTGTGTAAGGTCACTAAAGTTTTAAGCCCCGATTTCTTGTAGACAGTACCGTGGTCCTCTCCCAAAATGTGGTCTAGCAAAAGGGCACAAGGGTAGGCCACAGGGTACATGATGTACATCAAGACCAACACGAATGGCGCAAACATGGCGCCCACCTGTAAGCCGTATCTGACACAGATGGACTGGGGAATGATTTCTCCGAAAACAACAATAGAGGCGGTGGAGGCCACCACTGCAGGCCAGCCACCACCCAAACAACGGTCCAACACAATAGGCAATGTCTCGTTGGTGATAACATTGGAGAGCAAGAGGGTCACCAACACCCAGTGCTTACCACGGCCAATGAGCTTCAACACCTTGCGAGCGTACTTACGCTCGTGGGGTTCACCCGAGGTCATGATGACCTTCAAATAGACTTCGTCCTGACCCATCAAACCAAGGGTCAAACCGGCAAAAACACCTCCTGCTAGCACGAGTACGATGGAGATGAGGAGGTTCAGGTAGAACTGCTCGGTGGTCATGCTTTGGGCCAGGATGTCGTTGTGGCTAAGGGGTGCCTCGGCCTCGCGGGCAAAGATCGGTATAGCCCCAACCAACTTGGTCAAGTTGGAGAAAATAAATGCCAATTTGGCAAGAGCACTGCCACTAGTTAGTGAAATCGCATTTCTTCGTGAGGGTAAGCTTTTAGTCATATAGGGTCTGGAGTTAGTATTGTTCTTGAAGATGGAGGACGACGCAATGGCGTTGGCGATGTTGGTACAACCGTGACACTGTAGCACCGATGCCGCAATGAGGAATTACCGTCGTCGTGTCGCCTGTTGTCGCAATTGGTGGCGTCTAGCCGTGGATATAAACACCACGGGATGTCTGGCAGACGGCCATTCAGCCACCAGCGCGGCCAGCAACGCCACCAGCGACGCTCTTTGTCATACTCACAAGTAGAAAGTGTCGCTTAAAGACAGTTAACGATTCGGTAGTAGGCGATAACAGTCAATAGTTTCACGAATTCCACCAACACGGGTTTATATTTTCGTCATGGCTGCGAGGGATAGAACGGTCGTGCGCGCACCCCACGGACCCCCATCACATAAACCGACCAGCACCGGACGGATATTTGGCACCAAAGCTTCGGGAAAACACGGCAGATGCGGCGGATTCGCCGCCGTTGGGCCGCCTCACCGTAGAAGCCACCATTGAAAGGGCCAAATTGAGGAAACGGGGCGTAAGTAGCGTGAGGGGTGAAGTTGACAGCAATTAAGGACCAGGTCAGGTGACCAGTTGGTGCTGAGCACGGATGAATGACAGCCCGGAACCGAGGATCGGCAGTCACGTGCAAGGTGGCTATGGGGGCCACTAATCGAATTATTTTCCAGTTGGTTCAATTTTGGGGCGTGCAGAGGAGTTAGTGCACGAGGTACCAGTTACCGGCATTAAATTCCCAGTGAAGGGGGTACTAGTTTTATTTTTGACACTCGTCATGGGGAAGAGCATTTCTCATTTTTGACTGAATAAATAAAACTCGACATTGGAGACATAGACATTTTCCTTATTCTGGCATTTGATGTCGATTGGAGAAGGCACTAGTTTTTTCATTTTGACTCAATGAATAAAATCGTCATTGGAGAAGGCACTAGTTTATTCATTTTTGATTCGATGAATAAAGTCGACAAACAATTCCCTGATTTTTACTACAAGAATTAAGTTATTGGGGTACTGGTTTTTTCTTTCTAACTAAAATAGCACCGCTCTTGATAGACTTCTCATCATTTTACACAAAATTAGGACCGTCCTTGAAATCTACTGTAGCTTATTTTCGACTGAACTAATTATTAATCGCTTAGTGACAGCATCTGCCCGAAGTACAACGAAATTCTTCTGAGAATCAACTTTGCATGTACACTTAATGGACATGTACGTGTCAGCTCCGAGTTGAAATCCCACTTATGCGAAAGTCGCTTCTACTCGAATAATCATTTTCGTCAAGAATGAATGCAGACCAGAAGCTGCGAAAAACAGTGGTTAGCAGCTTGGGTCTTGGCATCCGAACAATAACTTCTGCCAGCCGAAGCATTTTTATTCTCTATTATACAGTCCTATTAAACCTAGATATTGATTTGACCGTTCCCTGTTGGAGGCAACAATATTTTAAAAGGTGAGTCCAATGCTGATGTTAAATTAGACCGTAGCACTCGGCCACAAATTCTTGCATCAAGTAACCAGGGATTATTGACGTCAGTTTATGCCGCGTTGAATGCAGAAAACATCGTCTTTCACCTCATTCAAGGCTGTTCCAGATAGAATAGATCCTTGCTGTTCCCATGTCCTATTGTCTATAATTACCACTTTGCCCCGAGCAAAATAGATCCCTGGTCAGTAGGCTTTTCCACCTCGTTGAAATGGGTGGTGAGCAACCGTTGCTGGGGCACTCCGAATTCGGTACAGAATGATTCGCTCCATTGCAACAACTCCTGGATGAGGTTGTCCTGGTGGTTGATATCGTGCAAGGGAATGCTGTTGTAGTTTTGTAATGCTGATTGGAGCCACTCCTTCTCTCCTGTTTCTGGTGGGGGGTTGATTTGTCCTCCTCCATTTATACACCCATTGGGACAAGCCATGATCTCCACGTAGTCACACTTGGAGGCGTCGGCACTCTCATCCGTTCCTGCAGCTGAGGCTGGGTCGGCGTCCTTTTTTTGGGCCATTCTGGCTCTTCTCCGTGCAACCAAAGGGTTGGACTTGGTGGCTGCTGGGCCCTTAGCTCCCGGCTTCAATTTTCTCACCAAGTTTTGGATATTCCTGAACCCGTTTACTATGGCTGACGACGCAACAACCGTGCTATTGTGCATGAGTCTCAATTCGTAAATGTCCGAGTTCCGTCCCCCCACGGTTTGCATGGTGAAGGAGTCGCTGCTGTAAACGGCAGGATCCTTCAACATCAAGTGTTTCTGGTACATTTGGAGGTAGTTGTAGCCATATCCACCCGACGCAGACCCACTGTCGTTGGACCACGAATTTTCCACGAGGGGCCAGCTGGGAGGTGCACATTTAGCATAGGCTTCACGGATCCCTCCCGCGTGCAAGATTGCCTTGGTGTTGGGAGGCATCAACTGGAACTGTGGATACTGTTCCAAGAGGCCCACCAACTCTTTGGCGGTCAACACACAGTCTACGTCGGGAGACAAGCCCTCCACTTGCTCGGGACGGGCACTTTCAAGCTTCTTGTCGAAGCACGGCATGATCGACAAGTGGTAAACGTCCTCACGACGCACTCCCAAGTCGTGGGCAGTCAAGCTCTTCAAGATACACCCGGTGATCTGTTGGGGGGACTTGACTGTGGACACCCGAGGCAACACGTAGGGGTGGGTCTTTTCCGCGTACAACACCCATCCAGGACAGATCGACGACAAGAGAGGCCCCTGAAAGCCTGTCTCCTTCTTGTGGATGATATTCTGGGCCTCCTGAATCAATGAGAGCTTTCTGCCCACTGCTGTGCCTACCACGTAGGCAAATCCCATCTGGTGGACAAAGAGGTTAATGAGGAGCTTGTCGACGCTCTCCACTGACAAGTCAAATGCCGTGGCAATGGAAGCTCTTGACTGGTGGGACACACTGGCCACAAACACCTTGGTGGAGTCGGGATTCTCCCTGCTGTCCGTGAGAGCACGGATCAACTCGTCGTGGGAATGTTGGGCCACCAAGATCTCCTCGGCTGAAGTGATACATCCGGAACATGCAAGACAGTCCGACAACGAGATCTGGGCCGGACTCAACGTCTTTTGCTTGCCATCAATCTTGGAGATCTCGAGCGGGTTTCCGAGACTATCGAGCTGGATTTCGACCTCGCCATGCTCGTTGAGCTCGCTGTTTTGGGGCAGGACGTCAGGCACGAGCGGCTTGATGCACGCCACGCCTGGCGAGATGAAATCGTTCAAGTCGTCTGCTGATAAGATGGCACTCATGGTGAGTAGATAGTCCAATCGTGAGCTGCGATTAGAAATCATCGAGGGTCAGGTGACTGGGTCATCGGAGTGCAGATAAGGCGGAGGTAGGTATGGGGAGGGGTGGAATATTCTGAATTTACTGCGATGCAGGCATGGAGAAGGATGTGAAGACGCTAAAAGGCACTTTTGGTACAGGTTCGGGTGCTTTGATGATGCTCAAAGCATTCAGGGAATAATTTTTTGATCTATGAAATCGACATTTTAATAGAAATGATAAAGAAATAATCAGTTACCGAGTAGATCATTCGTACTAGAGGTCTGATAGGAATAAAACAAAAGATTTTCTTTCATATTAGCTCAAAGTGATAAAGCGATCGATATAGAGATTAATCATCTTGTGTGTTACGTAACATAATCTATGTAAGAATGCCAGTGTCTAGGTGCAGGATGATTTTGCAACCGTCCCCCCCACTTCAACCCCACTAAATCACAGGGCCATGAGCTGGCCTTCGTTAAAAGGGTTTAGATTCACTGGGGCTGTACATTGAAGGATATTCCTACTCTTTATCTGGCCATTACATGGATTTTTGGGGAAGAGAAATCTTTAGTAGACTCACGATTGTAAGCCTCTAATAGGCTCACGATTATGATAGATCAGGCATCAATAACGCATTAGCTATTTTCTCGCCTTTCGACTTTCAAAACTTCCAAATTGCCGTCCCTGACATTATTCAACACGCTTCAAAGTACTCTATTGTGAGTATTTGGAGCCTGACTGGATTATTTCTATTTATAGAGCTGGTAAATCCATTCAAATTTCGATAATTTGAAATGTTACTAATTATATTCACTGGTCTTCAATTAAATTACCACCTCCCTTAATTACACAGGACCAACTCCCCAAGTATCATAGATCCTCTTGCCATTTGGTTGATGAGATATCCCATTCACTCGTGGAAGATATTGACCAACAGAGGGTTCTCGAATTCGTAGGCTTAAGAGACTGAACAACGATCGTTTGATGCTCACAAATTTCTAGTGACTTGATGAAATGGGTATTTTACTAAACTTATTCTACTGGGGGTTCCCTGGCCTAAGTGACTAACCCAACATTGCGATCTGGTGGATTTCGCTCGATTTATCAACTTTTTTTCAAATTTAGATTCCCCTGGGGTATCTACCAACTTAATTCCCCGTTCTTACTATTTGAACATAAGGCATTCTACTATTTATTCCCTAGAATTTACCCACTAGGACCAATTTATTCCTGGGACCAATTAATTTATCCCTGATTTATTCCTAATTTATTCACCTTATTTACATCACCTACCCCTTCACGCCTCCGGCGTCTCGTCGCTCAACTCGCCCAACTCAAACTCCTCCACATCCATGTGCTGGTACCCCAGAACCTCGCCATCCTCATTGTACCCCACCAACTTCAAGTACAACGCAAGCAACAAAAGAATCCAGAGAAACACCACGAACGCTGCCGAGCTGGCCACCAAGATGTACGCTGAATGGTCTGCCCCCAAGTCGTGCACCAAGTGCAACTGTTCCTCGTTGGCAGCCATGAAGAGAATGCCTGCCAATGCAAGGCAGAACGGAGGGAAGTACTGGAACGACACGATGCGTCCGTCCGGCGTGCACGGCTTGTCGTTGAGCACAAATGAGATTTCGATGATCCTGCTGGCGCCTGCCCCCATCAACGCCAACCCAAAAACTCCGTGCACCTTAGTGGAAATGGCCAAGTGCTGAGCATGTTGCGACATAGAGTATCCCGTGAAAATTAAGAGCAAAGCTGGCACGAATGTCCGACGATTGTTGCGGGCCAAAAACATGCCCACGAGCCCACCAGCCCACCAGATGATGCCCATGGCCGTGTGCTGGTAGTCACCCATGGACCAGGCCTCCCTACCCCAGCGATGTTCTGTGAAGGTGTTGACAATGCCCCATGCACACATGAGAGTCGAATCGTAGAACTCCTGGGACCGTCCAGGGACGGCTCCCGTGGCAGGAGCGTGCAACTGGTGGAGTCTGATCCAGGGAATCACGAGCACGAAGCACAACACGAAAGCATAGCCCACGAACGCCAGTCCCATGATGCCGTGGGCAATGCACTGGCCAGTATGGACCCCGTAGCAGAACCCAAACAACGCTACTGGCGCCAAACAGACCCGCACCCACCCTGTGAGCACCACCAACACCGAGAGCGTCTTGTACGCCTTGTAGGAGAAGCCGTACTCGCCGCTGGACCTGACATGGGGGTAGAACCGGTTGATGACCCAGTTGGACCCGTTGATAAAGCTGCCCACGAACACAGTGGCCCCCAACAACGCGCTGAGGAACCAGCTGGTGCCCTTGGACGTCCTGTTCTCGTGGCCCTGGGGGTCCGGGAAGTCGAGGAACATCGACTCAAACACCGAGAAGCCGGTGGCCACGAACTGGAGGAACAATGACCAGTGGAGCTTGTTGGCAAACGCCAACACCAGCGACAACGAGGGCACAATCAAGAGGAGCGCAAGCGTGAGGAGCCAGTGGAACGTCTTGGAGCCGGGATTGACGGGATGGAACTCAACCCGGTCGCCGTCCATGTCCATGTCCATGCCATCCGCAAGAGTCGAGGCCAAACATAAGAAGATTGCGTACTTCATGTGGTTAGTGGTGATTTTGGAGTGTATATGAATTGCGGATTCCAAATGGGTGCCAGTGGTGTGAATCTGGGAGGCCAGGGAGATGATAGAAATGATGGAATGGTGCTACGCAAGGCTAGCAATCACTTTATGATTTTCATCATCATATATTCTACAACAATTCCATTCTCTTCATTAGGCAAGACTTATCGAATTCCATAATTTTATTAGACCTTTCTTTTTGTTCAACTTTTATCTAATCAGGCATTTGGTACATGTTCATCTATTGATGGTGCCCTGGAGTGCTACTCTGGGGTTCTACTCCGGAATTGGTCTGATCCGGAATCGCTACTCTCGTGTGTCTTTGCTTTAGTTTTCGTGGAAATATAGGAAATTTAAAGATCACGGACATATCACATTGATTCGATCCCTGGTGTAGCCTATTGTCACAAAGAGATAACCACAACGGGAATTGAACCCGTAGTGGAGAGGTTTTAACCGAAATATTTGGAGTATCGTGAAGCTGATGCTCCACCAGCTTCATCTTTTCGTATTTCAACAATATTGTGCAAAATCTCAATATTTATTGAATAGTCATCTATCCCCTCGAACCATTACCTAAATCCGCTGGCAACTGTGATTCGTAATAGCCATCGAGAACTCATTTCGCCGAATAATAGTTCCAATGTATCATGCCACATTAGACCACTATTTCGCTGGATATTGGGTCCATATTCTTGATAGCACCATAATATTTAATTATCTGCTACACCAATTTGTCTATTCTACTCGAATGTTATTGCCCACTACGCTGTGTTCTTGGACTTATTATGCAATCAACTCAGCTTTGATTCTGCTCTTGAGATCCTCTACCTCCCTTCTACACCTCTAACCGGAAGAACCAACTGCTGGTGCAAAATCCCTTCAATACAAACGAAGCAACAACTGTCATTTTGAAGTTACTTTCCACTGTCAACCACTTATTCATCGCGAACGAAACTAGCCCAGAAAGCTAATATTAAAATTAAAACCAATAAATTTAATTAAACCCGTTTGGCTACTGTGAGGTACCAGTATCAAACTACATCATATGGTTAAATAATGCTGATTGAGGAGTGAACTCCATTCCTTACTATTACAAAAGGGACACCTACCCACTTCAATAAATATGACCTTCAGAGCAGCATCGACTCCATCCCGAAGATATGTGTCTAGTCCACGAAAAACTCGAAAAATGGTTCCGGATAAAAACTTGTTCCGCTTCCATGTGCAAGCATACTGATTCTTACCCAAAAATACCAGAAACATCAACGAAAACCCAGAGAAAACGCTGTTCAGAAACAAAATCCGAATACCCGTATTTAATGTAGTAGTTAGTCCTCCACATTCCACACGTCCCCCCCACTCCCCATTCTCCAATCCAAGTGGGTACCAAATCCACTCCAAACAACTCCACTACGCCAGTCCGTGCAGTACCGCGACCGAGCGCCTTCTCCCCCGCTGCACGCACTGTTTCGTAGTAGAAAAAGACGTGGCCTCGAAACTGAACAGTATCGACTCTTTTTAGCTCCAAACAAGGTGCAACATCGGCTGGACCTGTCAAGCACCAACACTCTGTCAAAGGACTGAACCTCACTCCAACAGTCTGATTTGACGGTGATTCGCAACCAGTCTCAACCATCCCAAACTAGTCACTCTCTCGCGGTTGATCCACCCTCAGAATGCTCTTGATCAAGAAAGTGGCATCCGCTTTGGGACTCTTGCTGGCGTTGACTAACGCCAGCGTGGCTCCTCCCAGAGACTATGCTGGCAGAAACTACTTTCTTGTGGAGTTGAACACTCAAGACTCAAACAGACCATTATCTGACTTCATCTCTGCCCACGACGAGTACCGGTTCGAAAACCAACTCCATGGCCTCGACAACCACTACGTGTTCAGCATCGACAAACTGCATCCCCACAACGAGTTCTTGGGCAACCACAACTCCAACGGACACTCGTTGATCAAAAGAGCTGCTGGCTTCGAGGACGCCTACGATGCATTGATGGAAAACGGACACTTGAAGTCCATACACTTGTTGCCGCCAAAGCAGTTGAAGAAGAGGCTTCCTGTACTCATCACAGAGGAGCCTGAACAACACACACCTCCCCAGAAAAGATTGGAAATGGTGGACTCTTCGCAAGCAGAACTTAAAAAGGTCAGTGACCAGCTCGACATCCAGGACCCCTTGTTTGCGGAACAGTGGCATTTGGTCAACACCCATTACCCTGGAAACGATGTCAACGTATCTGGCTTGTGGTTCGAGGGAATCACTGGAAAGGGTATCGTAACTGCCATTGTGGACGATGGGTTGGATTTTGAAAACCCAGACTTGACAGAAAATTTCAATGCAAAGGGCTCCTGGGACTATAACAACCAGGGTCCCGCCCCATTACCACGATTATTTGATGATTACCACGGCACAAGATGTGCTGGTGAAATTGCTGCTGTTAAAAATGATGTTTGTGGAGTTGGTGTGGCCTACAACTCTCAGGTCAGTGGTATCAGAATTTTGTCTGGTGCTATCACAGGTGCAGAAGAAGCCCAAGCCTTGGTGTACGGACTCGGGATCAACGATATTTACTCGTGTTCTTGGGGTCCCACCGATGATGGCAGAACATTGTCCGAGCCAGAAGCGATTGTCAAGAAGGCCTTCATCAAGGGTGTGCAGGCTGGACGTGAAGATAAGGGTTCCGTTTACGTGTTTGCCTCAGGAAATGGTGGTAGATCTTCCGATTCGTGTAATTTTGATGGCTACACCAATTCTATTTATTCGATCACTGTGGGTGCCATTGACTACAAGGGTTTACACCCAACTTATGCTGAGGCTTGTTCTGCAGTTATGGTGGTGACATACTCTTCTGGTTCTGGTGAGCACATCCATACGACTGACATCCATAAGAAGTGTTCAGCTACCCACGGTGGTACCTCTGCCGCCGCACCATTGGCAGCAGGTATTTATTCCTTGATTTTGCTGAAGAACCCTAACTTGACCTGGAGAGATGTCCAATACGTCTCTGTGTTGAGTTCAACTCCAGTGAATGAGGATGACGGTCACTACCAGACCACCGCGTTGAAAAGAAAGTATTCTCACAAGTATGGTTATGGTAAAATGGATGCATACACCATGGCACATTTCGCTGAGAACTGGAAGAATGTCAAGCCTCAGGCATGGTACTATAGTGACGTTATGCCAGTCTCGGAATCGCTCAAGGTAGGCTCTGGCCCCCAGATAATTAGCAAGTCCATTCTTATTACACAAGCTGACTTGGACGCCATGAATCTCGAAAGAATCGAGCATGTCACTGTTAAGGTCAATATTAAGTCAACCTTCAGAGGCCGCGTTGGTGTCAGATTGGTTTCACCATATGGTGTCCACAGTGATTTGGCCACTTTCCGTCCTGGCGATGTTTCCGGTATGGGCTTCAAGAACTGGACTTTCATGTCTGTGGCGCATTGGGGTGAGCCTGGTGTTGGAGAATGGTCCCTCGAAGTTTTTGGTGACAAGAACGGTCCACTCGACACCGAAATAACCTTTGAAGATTGGCAATTAAGATTCTTTGGTGAAAGTATTGATGCCGACAAGGCCGAGACCTACGATCTCGATGTGGACTATGCAGCAGTTAGGAGAGACAGAATGAAGCAAGAGCCAGAGCCAACCACTTCTATCGAGTCGAGTTCCAGTAGCGTGCCAGAACAAACTAATGAGAGCAGCGCCACAGAACAAGTTTCCACCACTGAAGCTAGCAGCAGCACCGATACCACCACTACTACTAGTGAACCGGAAGATAAGACCAAGACGTCTACTACCGCTAAACCAGAAGATAAGAACAAAGCCACGGAAACTGGTACCAGCACCAAAACTAGCGAAGACGCTGCTGAAACTGAAGATCCCGAAGATGCAGACTTCCCAGAGGAAGAAGAGCCAGAGGGCGAAGAAGGGTACAACAAGCAGCTCAGTTCAGGACACACAGGCCAATACTTCATTGGTGTTGCCATTGTGGGATTTGTGGTCGTCTTACTTTTGATGAAGTTCCACAAGTCACCAGGAAGCGGTCGTCGTACCAGAAGAAGGGAGGACTACGAATTTGATATAATACCCGGTGAGGACTACACTGACTCTGAAGACGAAGGTGATGATGACTCCTTTGACTTGGGCCGTGGAGGACGCTCCCACCGCAACAATCGTTCCGACGAACCAAACTACCCCGACGGTTCTGATGGTTTGCCAGTTTATGAGGAAGAAATGTTCAGAATAGATGATGAAGATGAGGCACCTGTCGATAAAAAGCCCCAAAAGAAGCATGAGGGCAACAAGTACCAGCAGCTTGAACAGGAGATACCTGATGCTGAAAACGACGACGGAGACGACCGTCTCGGCTCCAGCTCTGTCTAGTCAGCTAGACGAAAACTGTTAGCAGTGACGCTCACCATCGCGAAAGTAACATGTTAACTGAAACAAGTCTCCTGGACGTTTGTATACTAAAAAACTTAACTAGAACAGCTTTAAACTATAGTCTTCCGGACGTGTGTACACTAATAAACTTGACTAGAAGCGTAGTAGATGACGATGACGTTGTTGTGACATTAAAGTAGAGAAAATTAAGAAAGGTAGTAGACATCAATAAGTCTAACGAGGCAATTCAGAAGCAGTGAACTAAGAATCGTGGTAGAGATATTGGTTTTTGTAGACTTGTTCGTCTAAAGGGTCGAAATTGAACCTGTGAATCCAGTCCGAGTTATCCTATCTTCCATTTCTTAAATCTGGAAACATCTTAATTTTGACCACATAATCACAGGACCTATTACTATAGCGATAGAGCCTCTGTATTATTCTAGATCCGTCAGGGCTTTTGTCTTGAACTTGATTATGTCCAACAAGACTCTCCAGCCAATATTACAGGCTGCAAGCGCAGAGCGTTCCAATGCCTACAGTGGCCGGAAAATATGCCCTTACTGACCATGACAGTGTCCGTATTTTCGTTGGGTCAAATACATTTTTACCTCTCAAATTACCATAGACTATTATTCGATAAAAATAGTCAGGAGACACTCGAGCCGGAGTTCAAGGTCCGCGTAGCAGAATGGTGGTCAGATGGCACACTGGCGAGGGATACTTGGTGTGACTACTTGGTACTTGGTGTGACCACTGAGGTCGGGTCTAGAGCGTGGTTATTTCGTAGAGAGGAGACAAGAGCCAACGGTACTGCAGTGTGGATGTTAATAGCTGAGTGAGCCTAGCACCACCATGGCCTAGCGAAGCCTATTAGTCAGGGTGACACCAGTGACACCGGAGGAAAACCTGCATACGCTCCATTACCCAACCTGCAAAGGAACCACCTTCCCTGCCGGCGTTTGACCAACTCCGATGTCGGGGCGTCACGTGGGTGGTGCTGATCTGCCCCAACATTAGACGGCCCCGCTGAGTGATGGTCGGCTCTAGGCTTTGGGTCCGCCACCCGCTGAATAATGGCGCCGGCGATGATTACGTAAGCGGCCTCTCCGGGGCCTTTCCATAGTTTCGCCAGGACGGCAGTAGAGGTGTTTGCGGGCCCAAACCGGCCCACCAGCACACCCAGCCCCCGACATGCCGCCCACCATGCCGTCTACCCAGTAAGCACCACTTCCTCCCGCCCGTTCTCCGGCCTAGCGGCCAGGATGCCGGTCGTGCGCACTCCGACAATCCAAATGTATGCCCAAGGGTTGCTCCAGATAGATTACAAATTGTGAATCTTTCAGCTGATTAATCACCTCAATTGCTCCGCACTGTGCTAGTTATTTCTGCTGGGACTATTCCTGATATCCTTACTGGCGCTTCCTCTTACTTCCAGCCTCCATAATGTCTGCATCCTTCGGAAACCACGTCTCAATTGTTGTCTTTGGAGCCTCTGGCGACTTGGCCAAGAAGAAGACCTTCCCAGCGTTGTTTGGGCTCTTCCGCGAGGGCCAATTGCCCTCGTCGGTCAAGATCATCGGTTACGCTAGATCCGAAATCGACGACGCTGACTTCAAAAAGAGAATATCCGCCCACTTCAAGGGTGGCGACGAGAACAAGATCCAGGAGTTCTTGAAGCTCACCTCGTACATCTCGGGTGGCTACGACTCTGAAGAGAGCTTCACCAAGTTAAAGGAGTCCATCGAGAGCTACGAGGCCGAAAACGGGGTTGAGAAGTCCGAACGCTTGTTCTACTTGGCGTTGCCCCCATCCACCTTCACCACCGTGGCCTCCACCTTGAAGAAGGTTGTCTACGACAAGAATGGTACCACCAGATTGATTGTGGAAAAGCCGTTCGGTCACGACTTGGAATCCTCCAGAACCTTACAGAAGGACTTGGCTCCTTTGTTCACCGAGGAGGAATTGTACAGAATCGACCACTACTTGGGTAAGGAGATGGTCAAGAACTTGTTGGTTCTCAGATTCGGAAACGAGATGTTCAACGGGGTGTGGAACAAGGACCACATCAAGTCCATCCAGGTGTCCTTCAAGGAAGCCTTTGGCACCCAGGGCAGAGGTGGATACTTCGACTCTATTGGTATCGTGAGAGACGTCATGCAGAACCATCTTTTGCAGGTGTTGACCCTCTTGACCATGGATAGACCAGTTTCCTTCGACCCTGAGGCCGTCAGAGACGAAAAGGTCAAGATCTTGAAGGCTTTCGGCGAGCTCGAAACCGACGACATCTTGTTGGGCCAATACGGCAAGTCTGAAGACGGAAAGGAGCCTGGCTACTTGGACGACGAAACCGTCAAGAGCGATTCTAAGTGTGTTACCTACGCTGCATTGGGTATTCAAATCCACAACGAAAGATGGGAAGGTGTTCCAATCGTGTTAAGAGCCGGTAAGGCTTTGGATGAGTCCAAGGTTGAAATCAGAATCCAATTTAAGCCCGTGGCTAGAGGTATGTTCAAAGAAATCCAAAGAAACGAATTGGTGATCAGAATCCAACCAGACGAAGCCGTCTACTTGAAGATCAACTCCAAGATACCTGGTATCTCCACCGAGACCTCCATGACTGACTTGGACTTGACCTACTCCACCAGATACTCCAAGGACTTCTGGATCCCAGAAGCCTACGAGGCATTGATTAGAGACTGTTACTTGGGTAATCATTCCAACTTCGTCAGAGATGACGAATTGGACATCTCCTGGGCCTTGTTCACTCCTTTGTTGAACTACATCGAATCTGACAAGGCACCAGCTCCAGAAATCTACCCATACGGCTCTAAGGGCCCTAAGGGCTTAAGAGATTTCTTAAAAAAGCATGGTTACGTTTTTGCTGATGAAGGCACTTACCAATGGCCTTTGACCAACCCTACTGTCAAGGGTAAGATTTAGAGAATCTGGAATGAACGACGATAAGTGAATAGCTGTAGAATGTGGGATGTTAGCGAGCCTGAAGATCAAAGTAGATTGAGAAGATTGTAGAAGAGAAACAGGCCTGGTCAGAGAAATTCTTTTTAGCACCATAATTAGCCAAAATCTGGAGATAGTGACGATTCACACCAGAAACAAAAATGCAGAAATAACTCTAGCACTGCGTGCCGTGTCTACTGGACATGAGTAACTAGACTGGTACGAAAATGAATAACTACTGGAAATGTTCAATCAATATTAACAGTGTAGGTTCATTACCTTTGGTTAGGACGTATGTTGGTAGAAACGAAACAGTGAGGTGATAGCCTGGCCAAATACTCTACATAGCGCCACTAGGAGAACAAAACGGCATTCTCCTCCCACAACTACGCACTCCGTTCTTTCAATGCCTTTTCAGCAGTTTTGCAGAACAATAAATCAGACATCCATGGAAGGTCTATAAGCGGTCACCGGCATACGAAGATGGGTTCTTGTGTATGCTACCGAGGAAACTGCGAATGTTAATGGTAAATTTCATCACCTTTATTGTTCTGCAAAAACCGACAAAAACACATTCAAAAAATGGTCAAATACATCATCAAAGCATCTGCCGTGATGACATGGCTTGACGCATGGAATGCAACCGATGAATCAGAAATGTTATAATACTGGCAAGTATAAGCCCCAATCAAACACCTCCTGCAACAGAGGATCAATATTGATAGAGCGGTTTTCATCCCTGTCGTCATAGTCGTATCAGACTGGGAAAGAAGTAGACTTAGTTTCATCATATTCATCGGTTATGTTCCAAGACAAATGAGAGAAGCAGTCTACTTGTGGAAAATCGTTCCCACAAGTCCTATTCTACTCATGGCTCTTGTGAGTTGGTGGTTGTTACTGATGCGATAAAGGTGGCGGATGCTGGCCAATTTATAGTGCGAGCCGCGAGAAATTTTTGTGATGGCCATGGTTACCCGGATTTCAACCTTTGCACCTCGATGGGTGCAAACCCTACACGGGTTGCCAGAGTTACCGAGAGCCAGCCCAGAGTAGCGGAGGGCCAGGATATTCCGATGTAGCGAGCAAAACACTGCAATGGAAAGGGTTGCATTTTCACTGGAAATAGCCAATCAATGGTGGGATAAATGGAAGCAGTATAAGTATGGGTATACACTGATAAAATACCCAGAGCAAACTGGCAAAGGCCACCTGAGCCAACCTCACTTCTTATTGTTCTGATTAATGAATTTTATGTTGGCCCGAACTTGTAGTTATTAGTTTCTGATGGCTCTAGCTCTGTATGTCTTAGGCATTTCCCATGATCTGACTATCTACTATGTTCTGAAACCAGGAGCAGTTCATCTAGAACGCTGTTTGCTTGTGGCCCCGAAGCCACCAAGTACTCACTGTTCAATTACTAAGATTTACCTGTATTATATGCATTTAAAATTATATGAACCTCCATCATATAAACCTGTCTCTATGGACTTCTCATTTTCTTTAAATCCTCTAGCTTCTTGGAGCTTAAACTATTCTGGGGTGCCTCACTGTTCTCGCTGGTGCCTGAAGCAGGTGTGATATCCATGGAGTTGCTCGACAGCTTGGATCCGAAACTCAAGCTTCTTCTCAAACTGAATCGATTCTCGTCCTGTACTCCATGGTGGTCTTTTCGAGATGCGGGCTTGGTAGTAGGAGCAATACTATGGCGTGCCTGCCTGCGTGAATTGGACGAGGGTGGTGCGGTGGGAACCACACTATACTTCCGTTCCTTAAAAACAACACCCACTTCCTTCATATTCTTTTGATGATCTGGTTCGACTTTTACAAACCAATCGAGGCCCTCGTCATACTCGTACATTCTATAGTCGGTACCGTAAGGTTTGGACTCAAGGCAGTACAACGTGTGCAATGGAACATCCAATTCTCCAATTGAGGACTTGTCAAGGTTCAAGAAATATGCCAATAAAATTCTCAAAACAACTCTATGCGACACGATCAAGACATGGTCAGTAGTCCTCTCGATTTCGGTGATAAGTGGCCTCAATCTAGTCAAAACATCCAAATATGATTCTCCTCCAACACCTGGATATCTGTAACTCAATTTATTTCTTAATCTCGATTCAAATTCACGAGGGTACTTCCTTTGGATCTCATCATAAGTTAAGCCTTCGAACTTGCCTCCTCCTAATTCATTCAACATTCTCATTTCCTTAATCGAATACAATTGTTCGTCGAAATAACGACCAGTTTCCACAGCTCTGTAAAGCATGGATGTCCAAACACAAAAGTTGGGTTCTGTTGGAATATTATCAATATTGGCAATATCATCGTCATTGAAAATAGAATTGTACTTCAACTCTAATCTTGTCGAGAAGCGCTCTAACTGTTGCTTTCTGAACTCTTGACGTTGGAAGTTCATGAATTTGGCTAAAGTTTTGGCGAACAGTTGACCTCTCTTGGTCAAACGTGAATCACCACCAATGCGTCCGCTCAAATTGTCCACACTTTCACCGTGTCTGGTAATCCAAATTTGACGTTCACAAAGGTTGAAGTTAAGGAGGAAATAAATGGTCTGCGACGCCAAAAATCCTTGGACATTATAACTGACCACCTTCTTACCAACATCGATCATCTTAACGTATTGGTATCCAGGAATGGATTCCTCAGCTTCGTCGATGGTTTCGTAAGCCTTCTCATAATTATGCAATCTTCCAACGAAATCCTTTAATGCAAGTTCTGGATCCATATCTCTGTAATCAGGCCCTGATAACTTCAAACGAATATTCGACTCGATGATAGTTGGGTCAGAACAGATACTTTCCAAGAACAAAACTTTAAGCTCGCCTTTTGAGCGTTGTTGGATTCTTTTCAAAACCTTAACTCTACGTTGTTTGGTAGAGTTGGTTGCATCAAAAATACCCACGGAACCAGGGCCGTTGATGACATAGTCCAATAATTGATCCAAAGTATCCATAGCCCACTTCTCTCTTAATGCATTGGATGTCTTATTGTCGGGACTGAAGAAATCGGCATTATGCTGAGATGGAGATTTGACTTGATTGGCTTTACCTTCTTGCGCTGGTGACTTGGTAGTGTTTAATTCAGGGGAAGGAGTTGATTGTTCGTTGTTGGGAGTGTTTGTATCAGGCAATGGTTGGTTTTCTGGTCCCACATTATTCTCCTTATCCTTTCTTCTTGTGTTGCCGACGTTGAATACTCGACAGTCATGTTGTAACCAATTCAAATACCGGGTAAGTTTGTTGGTGATGTAACTCTTACCTCTGGCAGGGAGACCCACCATGACAATGACAAGCTTGGACCCAACATCAACTGATGCGATTTTTCCATCAGGCGAGGTTTTGGAAGATGTTTGCCCTGGAATATTCAATGTGTAAGCCTTACGAGCACTTGGAGGAGGTTTTGTCAAAAGCAAGTTTTTCAACCTCTCGATCGAAGGTGTCTTTTCGAACTGTTGCTGTAATTCGATAGGGACATCTTGCAAGACAGTCGTCTTGGTTTGATGATCCATCTGTAATTTTTTTGCGTCCTCTGCAGCGGTAGCATTAGGAGCTGGAATCAAGATGCTGGTGCTGGATTCACTAGGCGAGGGATTCACGTTGGTTGTCATTGGGCTGATTGACTCCGATTTAGCCCGGTGAGGCTTTTCTTCCTCCATGCTAAGATCAGCCAAGCTTAAATGGGAAATGTTTCTGGTTTTTGAAATGGGTCCGATTTTAGACTCTTTTCCCGCAGGCTCGGGTTTCTTGGACTTGATTGTGTGGTCATCGCCGTCCTCCTCGTCCTCCTCGTCGCTAGATTGTTCACGAGTGACGGGCGAGGCCATGCTGGACACGATGGGCGTATCGGTGAGAGGTCTCTTGTTGAACTCCGGTAAGGGGGTGGTGGAGCCCTCCGACAGGTGGTTTTCCAATAACTGGGAGTCGAGGGACTGTGAGACGCCCATTCTCTCGGAAGAAAACGGATATGACTGTAATTTTCGAAGGCTGTTTCTCTTGGAGGAGTGATGGGAGGAGGTATGTGCAGAATTACCGGAATTGCTGATTTGAGGAGTGATGCTGGGGGAGGGGGTCACTGAGGTAGTGAAGCGAGCGGCCCTGGGGGCCGTGAGGTCTTGGCCGTTCAAGGTGGTCAAGTCCTCCTCGCTGGAGTTGTGCGATGAGGCGTCCAGATTGGAGGACGAGTTGGAAGAGGTAAAGATCTGGCTGGAGTTGTACGACTGGTAGTTGGAGAACGACACCTTCTTGTTATTAGCACGCGCGTGCTGCAACACGGCGTTGGAGATGGAGTTGGACTTCTTGCGGCCCTTGCGATGGACCGGAGCGAAATCGCCCGGAGTTTCGATGGTGGGGAGTTTCAAGGCGCTGGCAGGTCCGGAAGGCGGTTTTTGGGGGGAGCTGGTGCCGCTGGGCTTGCCGACATGGCTGTCGTGGTCACTTCTCGGGGTCGAAGTGTCTGGCAAGTCGGACATGTGGTAGGGTCCGATGGAGCAATGAGGTATGCAAACAGACAGAAACGGCGGAGCAAGTGGGGGGGGGAACGGGCAGAAGTGGATGTTGCAGGCGTAAAGGGCCGTGCAGACGTACTGGGAGGGGGAGGGGAGCCGTTGCTGGTGGAATAGAGCCGGATGGTGTTGTTGTAGTAATCTCAGTGGCCACAAATGTTTATTGCGGACAGCAGTCACGTGGCGAGGGTCCTGGGGAGTAGTGGTAGAAGTAGAAGTGATGGCACTAGTGAGGATGGTGGAGCGTAGCGACTCGAGGCAGTCAGTAGCGGTGGGAAGTGGTAGAAAGTGGTAGAAAAAGTGGTGGAAAAGGTTTGGGGATGGGCTATTTAGGAAGGCAGAGTAGAGGCAGGGTGTTACGCTAATGGGTTAGTGCGTAGAGGAGGGAGAGTGCTGCACTAGTGGGTGCTCACTAGGGGGAGGAAAATAGTGCGCTAGCGAGGACGAGGGAGCACTACGAGGTTTCGGCTGTGACGGGCGTGACTGTTTGTCACTATGTGGGGCTCGTCTCGCTGGCTCTCCTCGCTGTGGGGCCAATGACGTCGAACAATCTAGTCTCGATCTGAGTTGTGAGCTTGGGGACGCGAGATGACGTGGCTAGCGAGATTGCTGTAGGGTTTGTGGTAGCGATTGCTGGGTACGCGAGATTGACTGGGAGGACTAGTGGCGAGGTCTGATCCTACCCGGTGAGATTTTAATGGCTGGCAATTCTCCGCTACAAATTTCTAGAGATTTCGCAGTTGAAGTTTCTCACCAGGACTGGTGGCTGGTGAAGATTCTCCACTAATTGCTAGGCTGGTGAAGTTTGTCCACTAAACACTAGTGGCTGGTGAGTTCCCCACTGCTAGTGGTGGCTGCTTCAGTATTACCAGTGGCTGGCGAGATTCTCTGTGGCCAAGAATAATGCTGAAGGCTGGTGGTTTCTGGAATGGTCAGGCGTGGTGGTGTTAAAAGGCCAATTGAACATACATCTATACTACAATTAATACAGCCGAGTCAGACGAAACAGACCACAGACAAGGCCCATTGGTATACGAAATCCATAGTTGTCTGGTAGGTTTTTGTATAAACTCTCTGTGTGGGTTGGTCTAATTGCGACATTGGCCTGGTGGTGCCATTCGTGCGACATCCTCGTGGTGGCTGGAATGTAACACCATTTGCTGAGGGGAACACCAGACGAGGCGCTCAAACTGGTCATGGACACACCACGAGCCCACACACTTGGCGGCGCAGTTAGTGACCTCCAATGGTGGAAGGCGACACTCGACATCTGCAGCCAGCCTAAGTGTGGATATGGCACTATTGTGCTGGGGTCTGCGATATGTCTGACGGGAACTGCGACATGTCTTCTGGGAATCTGCGACATGCTATCGTTGACGACGGGGCGTGGGGGTGCAGCTAGACCAGATCAGCCCCAGAGGTCCCGGAACCGCATTGGTCCGGGCGAGGGGGTGCCGGGGGTGTTCCGGAGAGCCGGACTGGGCCAGTTTCAGTGGGTAAGACTGTTGGAGTGTGTGGTAGTAGAAGTGCTGACAGACAATTTCGATGTCGCAAAAGGTCGCAAGGGCTACTGGCTGGCGCAAATCGCACATGGCGATCCCCATGGATGTTGGATATTTCACAATGGTGGGCAGTAGGGCTGTTGAGTGTAGGCAGAGTCCTGCCCTCTATCAGGCTCTTCAGGCGGTAGCCCCAGCGGCCTGTTCCAAATGTCTGAGTAGTGGAGTGTTGTGTCTGACTTGTCCTCTCTGGCTGTTCAGTGTCTGTGACCGTGGTGCATGTCGCGCTGCGCTTATCGCACCGTTTTGGCAAAGTGATTGCATAATATGCGCATTCGGAAAATCCCGTCAATCGCTGGCTGCCACCGGTGGCCCTACGTGCTGCTCCAGCAGGTGCCATCATCACCACAACCACCTCCCACGTACTCACCCGCGTCTCCAACACCATGCTCCCATCTCTCCTCACCCCAGTCTCCCCCCACCAACTCTCTCTTCTCCCCATTCTGCCCCAGTCAGTCCCCCCATCTCCACCAATCATCCTCCGCGCGCGTCACGTGCGCGATCGCCGCACTGTGGTGCACCACCACACTTAGCCGGTTTGTTCTTATCTAAGTGGTTATTAGTCTCACCACTTGACTAATACTCCCAAACCGTCACTCTGATCCTCCTCCTCCTGCCGCACTCCCACAGCCAGCAGCCAAGCACCTCTCGCTCCACTGCCGCCGTCTCCCCCACCAACTCCCGCCGCTGTCTCCCCTCAGCCTGCGCCCCCCACCATGGAGTTTCCCATTGAAATGGCCCTGTTCCAGCCATTGTACAGCGAGTCTACCGACCAGGACCTCCACACGCTAGCCGCCCAGCCCTCGTTCGACTACGAGCCCGATTTCGATACTCGTGGGTCTGCTTCCAACGCCACCCACCACAACCTGCAAAACACTCACCTCCACCACAACCCCCAAAACCACAACCACCCCAACCTTCAAAACCACCCAGACTCCCTCAACCTCAACGACGAGATCTTCCTCGCCAACGAGCTCTCCTACAGCGACCTCGCCCAGATGTCGCTGGACTACAACTACCACTTTGCCGCCAGGGGCTTGTCGTCGCCGCTGGTGTCGCTGGCGTCGTCGATCCCCATGGCGGTGTCGTACGACGCGGGCATGTTTCCCTCCATCAACACCCCCCAGGTGGAGGTGCTGCCACAGCTCCCGTTGACGTCGCCGCTCCACGGGTTCCACCGCCACCACTCGACCACCATTCCCGTAGATCAGCTCAATCTCCTCTCCATCAAGACCATGGCAGCGCCACCGCTGGCGTCGTCCACCGAGCAGGTGTCCAAGTCGCCCTCGCCAGACTACTACTACACCACGGGAAGCCACGGCAAAGAAGCCTCGTCGTCGTCCACGCTTGGCCAGGACGGCTTTGACTTCGACAAGTTGGCCGAGGAAATGGGCTACAAGGAAATGGGCTACAAGGGTGAAAACCCCTACTCCAAGACCTCGGAATTGGAGTATAAAGCCTCGGAAATGCCATATTCTAAAGCCAAGGACGATACTCCCTACTCCAGGGCCTCGGAAATGAACTATTCCAAGGGTGGTTTGGGGTATGATAAAGCCTCGGAAATGCCCTTCTCCAAGAGCGAAATCTCCTCCGTTCCCTATCCCAACCCAGACGTGCTGCCCAAGACCCCAGCCGTCCCCCAATCCTCGGATGCCGCCCGCACTATCAACCCCCGTGAGTTGTTCACCTCCAGCAAGATCCCCACTTCTCTTTCGTCGCCTGCTCTCACCACGTTGTACGCCCTCAACGGCTCCCACACCTCCCACACCTCGTCAACGAACCCCCTCCCTCAGTCCATCAACTTCAAAGGCTTCTCAGCCTCCTCGGGGTTCCCCAACATCCCCAACTTGCCCAACCAGGCGTTGAGCTCGGGTATGGCCTCCAAGAGCTCGGTCAGAGCCCCCAAATTCGACTTTAAGATGAACGACGAGTGTTACAACGCCATCTCTTACTGGTTAAACAACACGCTCCTGTCAGCGGAGTCTGAAGACGATCCTGATGCCTTTGCATCGGGCCCGGCCGACGAGGCCACCAAGATCATGGTGAACCCCACCGGAATCATCAAGGGCAACTATGGAGCTACCAGAAGCAGACCACACTCATTTTCCGCCTCTCATTCGTCGTACGCAGGAGTCACCAAGAGAAGAAACTCGATCCAATTGTCCAACCCGTCCAGCTACACCCAGCAAGTGCCCACCCTCAAAAAATTAGACAGCCAACAGATGAACGAGGAGGACGAGGACGACGAGGTGATTTTGGACTCTGCAGGGTCGTTCCACGAGATTGCACCACCATCCATTCTTTCTGCGGGCCAGAAGAATAAGAGAAGAAAGTCTTATACCACCGAAGATGCCAGTTCCCGTGGATTCCTGGAGAATCCCAAGTTGGAGGCATCCATGACTTACTCACAGATGAACGCCCAGCCCCAAGCACCCAGAGCCAGAAAGACCTCCAGCCCCAACATACAGCAAGATGCGTTTGCATCCACTTCCAAGTCCAAGGTGGTTTTGACCAGCAACGCCAACTCCAATACCTCGGCCCCAGGATCCGCCTCTGCCCACACCATCCCTGCTTCGGTGCCTGTGGTGCCCAACGCGCAGGGAGCCTTTCCCTGCAGCGAGTGTGACAAGCAGTTCAAGCGTTCCGAACATTTAAAGAGACACATCCGCTCGGTGCACTCCAACATCAGGCCCTTCCACTGCAAGTATTGTGATAAAAAGTTTTCGAGATCGGACAACTTGGCCCAGCATTTGAAGACCCACTACCGCGTGGACGCCAACGGCCAGACCACCATCTTGTACGGCAACTCTGCCAGCCACGCCCGTGGACCTTCTGTGGGCTGAGCACGGGAAGCTGCTCTGTGGGCGCACAGTGGTCGATTTGACCAAGCATTGCACAAGCCTCAGTTGTCCTGTTTGACACTTCACGACCGCACCTGGTACGCGAGTCGCCTGTGGTCGCTAGAGTCACTGGTATGGTTCATTTCTCTTCACTTCTTTGTTGTGACTCTGTATTTCCTAGTTATATGTTATAGCGTCCATACCTCATAGTACGTTCGCCCTACCTATCTTACGTAAGCCGCGAAATTTCACCAATGAGGCCCTGCAAATTATAAACCATCTTCAATAACTGTCCACCATTACAATGTCGAACCCTTGGGCTAAAAGAGACGCTTGGAGATACGAAGGCCAATTCAGCCGTTTGAACAGATTCAGAAACGCTTTCCCTGGTTTTGGAATTGCCGTTGGTGCGTTCACGGTGTATGTTGCGTATGAGAAGTTTGTGATGAAGGACACCCATGAGGAACACCATTAAGGGAGAGATGTGAGCCAGAGTTGAGCAGGAGGCGAGCATGAGACGAACTCAAGGGAGTCTCTCTAGATAGCATGCCGTAAGGCGTAGTGAATACAAGCATTATTAAGGACAACTGTAGGAGAGGGTGGAGTGAGAGGGAGCGAGAGAAGGGAGCGAGAGAGGAGGCGAAGGAGGCAAAGGAGTGGAAGGAGAGACAGACGCTTCATGTATGGTGGAATGGAGGAACGACTTGAGCAGAGCGGAAGGAATGTTTTGGTGGGACGATGAGATTTCGGAAACTAAGTCTAAACTACTCAACCTAACGGTAAGCACAACCTCTGACAAGAAGCGGAGGTCCAGGCGCTGCTCTTTCTTCAGCTCTCTTTGCGGTCATAGTAAATGAGTCAACAGCTGGCGTGATTCTACGGGACCTACTTGCGGTGTCGACATTAATTAGCCCAGTGTTTAGTCTATGCGTCGAGGGTTGTCAGGATTTAAATGAGCTGGCTTATTGCTTTACCAGTAACTCCTCGGATCCCTAAGTTTTAGCCTCTCCGCGATTTCAGGAATCCCAATCTAGTATTACAGGATGTAAAGCACATCTCTCTTCGTTTAAGTAGAGAACCCATCGTTTTATTGAGGGTGAAGGAAATACTTTCAAAACTCCAGTCATGCCACCAACGTTCGATTGGGCAATACCTTTTGTATCGTTCCCAAAGGAAGACAAGTATAGGTGAAATAATACTGTAATTTATCTAGCTTTTGTTAAGGTTTAGATTTGGGTACCTGCTAGAAGTACAGGTATTCTTTGTATCACTTAGTGGGATTATGAGAATTCAATGGGAATTGGTCCTTCTATTAGAAGAATGTCATCAATTTAGAGCTGGCTAATTAATCCCGGTCGAAATGTATGGATTTTTATGGCGAATACCCATCTGATAAATTTCCAATCAGTTTACAAAGTTATTTGATGTTTTAAGGGCTTCTTATCGATTGTAATGTGGACATAGTCAAGTTTCAATTTGAATATTTAATGGCGATGTTGGCTGGTAAAAGATAAATTTCATTCAGAAACCAAATCAACCCACAGATTATATTTATTGGAATAATGTCTCTATTTTTGAATCAGTCCAAAGTTATACTTATTACAGGAAGACAGCTGTAGAGAAATTAATCCTATACAGTCGTAATCTGTGTGTTTCAAGAAATCAGTTGACACTCGTAATCTGTGTAGATCAGTCTCTTTCCTTGCCTCCATTCTATAATCATCGTGGTATCACGACGAGCAACTACAGTGCTATTAGCATCAATCGTCTAGAATGAATTTCTGTTCACAACAGGTCCCGACAGGCCCGTGGCCCGTGGCCCGTCATGTCTATATACATATCCCCTATTTACACTACTTCTCCTTCTCTCCTTCGATCTCGAATGAGGTCTCCCAGATCGACTTCTGGACGTCCACGATGTCGTCGGCTTCGCCCACGCTGGCGTCGTTTCTGCCCTGGTTGGCTTGCGACACCTTGGTCTTTTCGCTGGCAATGTCGGCCCACACGTCGATGTGCTCTTGTTCCTGTTTGAGACCCCATTCGATGTTGGTCGAGGGGTACACCGCACCATACATGGACGACTCTTCACGCGACACAGTGCTGTTCATCTCCTCTTCCATTCTCAACTTGTAGAATTCAAAACGGGCCTTGTCGTAGGCCTCGAAGAGCGAAAGCTCGGTTTGCTGGTGCTTGTTTTGGGCCAACAACCAGATGGTTCTTTGCACCACGGACTCACCGTCCAATGGCTTGTTGAACTGCAACATGGTGGCCCAGTCGCACTTGGAAACCTCGTCTCCGTGGGTCTCCACCAACGTCTTTGGGCGCGAGAACTCCCAGGGGTGCTGGTGGTAGAACACATCTCTCAACTGGTCCTCCAAGAACTCCAACTTGGGCAAGCGAGAAATGGCGTTGTTCTGCTGGCGCCTGTCGTGCTTGGACGGACGGGTCTTGTAGAAGCCGCTGGCGGCGTTGTGGGCGTAGATGGACTCGCCTGGGTCCTGGTTCTGGAGCTTGGCCTCGATCACCTTAGGCTTCTTGGTCAAGTCGGTGTGCGGTGGGTACGCGCCCACAATGTCGTACCACGTAGGCTTCTGCTTCAACACACCCACCTTGAGGTAGTGCGACGTTCTCTCGAGCACACTGGTGGCTTTGGTCTGGATCTTCATGGTGGTGGTGACTTTTGCTGGTGAAAATTTTGATTTCGCACTAGAAATCAAATATTTAATACAGTTGATAATTGTTCAAATTTTGGCGCTAGCGACTATCACCACCACTACTCCGCCATTCTTCCACGAATTGTCCGTGCCGTGCCACTCCACCCCATGCTGGCTCTCCAGCGACATGTGCACATTGCGCCAGCTAGCGCGTCGCTCCATCGCCTGGTGCTGGCGTTGGTGCTGACGCTCAATCGCTCACGGGACTCCTCGTCGCTAATGGCCTCCGTCCACCAGCAGATGGCCGTTCATCGCAATCGCCTCCAGTCGTACCTCCAAATTCCCGCTACTGGCGATGACCACGCTGCCATTTGGACTGCTCTCAGTGCTGGCAGCCTAGGCCTCGTTCTCCACGATAAAGATATCATCTCCAGAAGAGCCACCCTCTTCTCCACCAAGCTCCCCCGTCCGTCTGCCAGCTACAACCAGTTTGCTCGCCAGTTGTACCCATTGAGTAGGGCAGCATCGCTCCCGCTCAACGTGGACCACTCCCGAAAGACCATCGACTATCCCCACAACTTGCGCAAGTACGCAGCCGTCAACCACGCCCGTCTCTACAAGGCGTACCTCGAGTTGCCCTCCCCGTTCGCTCAGATGACAGCATCTGATTTCGAGGCCTTCCTTGACAAGTTTCTCCACCACAAATCGAACTTCGTGCGCCCCAACATCATCTCGGAGTCGGGAATCGCAGGAAGACCCGCCAGGATCGTTTCCAACGCCTTCGAGGCCATGGTCTCCAAACGTGCTGACTACGTCAAGATGGTCTCCCGGATCCTCAACGACATGCGGGCCAACGAGATTCCGTTGACTTTGCGTGAGCAGAACCAGTTGATCTTTCTCAGTTTCTACAAGGACAAGCCGGAAATCCTTACAGCCATCGATGAAGCCATGGTGCCTTTAAGCATTGATGAGGTGCTGTCGTTCCACGATGCCAAGCTAAGCGCCTACGCGGTCTTTGACTGGGACGTCTACCTGCTGATCAAGCTGTCGTTCAAGTTTCTCCCTGTCGATACCTACAACATCCTTTTGTTCCATGCCATACGACATGATCGGCCAGAAATCGTTGCTGACATCCTCAAGGACCTCAATCTTGCCCACTTGTCGGACCCTACCCTCGAAAGAACCACGCCTGTGTTCAATTCCACAACACTTCGGTACTTGATAGACTACTTCTCTGCGCAAAAATCTCCCACTGCACTTGCACGGTCCATCGATGAAGTGGTCAATTGCAATTTTCCGGTGGATATAACCTTGGTGAATTCGATTATAAAGGGGTTGTGCAACTGCAACAGCCCCGAGTTGGCCGAATCGTTGGTGAACCAGCTCTTCATAGATGGCAAAGCTTCATCCACGCCCGAAGATGAGGAATCTGTGCTTTACAAGTTGCTAACTCCCGAGGACAGACATGTCTACAACGCCATGGTCAGAATCTTGGAGAACATTGGGCCCATTACTGGTGAATCTATTCCTCAATATTCACTCATCCCTACAGAAGGATCATTCAGACCCATAATCAGGGCCATTTGCAGCCCCGATAGTGGCCAGACCTACCACAAATTGCTAACCTTGATTGATCATATGGAGCACGCGCACAAGCTTCCCATCACAACAAGAACAGTGAGAAGCATCATGGATAAATTCACCAACGATACTTCAAATCAATGGACTCTACAGAACTTGATTGAGATAACCAGCAAGATTATCAGTGTTCATGACTACACCTACAATATTACCAGAGACACTCTAGTTTTCTCAAGGGAAGACCGTCCCCATTTATTCGAGAGAGAGCTAAGTCCAAAATTGCAAAACTTTGTGAAATTACACTGGAAAGAGACAAAGCCCCTTAAATTACCAATTGATAGGGGTACTTTTCTCAAGCTCTCTGATGATGTGACAAATAAAATTTACCAAGCATTCTTTGCTACATTGAATCGGCAAATACGGATGGAGCATCAACCCAATGAGATCGAAAGATTGAACAAATTGGTCCAAAGTGTTCAGATCCAAAAAGCAAGTTTGCAACAAGAGCTTGAAAACACCCGAAACGGAAAGTCAGGACCTCACAACCTAGAATCGGCCAGACAGGATATTTATAATAACGACGAACTTAACTATATCAAAAAAGGGTATTTGATAGATTTAATTGATATAGTAAGTCATGATTAACGACTTGTACATAGAAAAGTTCATGAAACACCCACTAAATGTAAAAACTTCAGGTGAAGTTACAGTTTAATTTATTGATTTATAAGTAGCCCTTAAACCTTTTGTAATTAAGAATTGTATATTTGTTCTTCTGTAGAGCAGGGAACGTCAAAGTCACAGGTATCGTTTGGTATTTTTCAAACAAGCTAGAATTTATTGAAAATGATTATTAATATTGATCCTCTTTGAATGATGTATCTAAATAACTGCTACTCATGGTTTAGAGTGAACTTAAATTGGATGCCGCAAAATCAATATTTTACGCTATTTTTCAATAAGATATGAAAATTATAAGCAAATTAAACAAATAACTTATATTAATAATTCAAACAAATGAAACATCTAATGTAGTATCAATCACGCTGACTACATCTGTACTATCCTCTACTAGGTTGAGATTTTGAATAAAGACTTTCTTGCCTTATTCGAGCCTGTGAGCTGCTGTTTTGTGCTTTCTTGGGACAGATGTGACACTCTCAAATAATAATAACACTGCTAAAAGTGCAACCACAACACCCATTAATATGGTGGTGTTCAATTTGGCAAAACTCAAAAAGACAATGGCGAGACCAATGGGGGCTCTCCAGACCACTCTCCAGAACTTGGGAAGGATGTGCAAATCATGAGGATCCTGGGAAACTTCAATCAAACCAATGACACACATGGAGAGTAATGCAACACAGATACCACCAGTGAAAAAGAATGAGAGGGCATACAAATTAGGTTCTTCTTCTCCAATCTCGGAGTGGTGCTTCACGTAGGTGAAGTCGCTTTCAATCAAGTCTCCTCCAGCATCTGCACCCAACACTAAACCGGCCACCAAGGGCAAGTGAATGAAAATCCATACAATAGCAGTGGCACCACTGTGTCTCAAGGCATGGGTAGCTTTCTTGCTGGTTGATCCATTATTGTAGATCCAGAACAAAATGTAGGCGATACAGATAAGGAAAACGCCCCTAGCAAATTTGGGCGAGAAACCAGCTCCCAAAGGACCACTAGCCACAACCTTGTAGAGAAATTCACCGATGGCAATGGTGACAAACGTTGCGAATCTCTCGACCTCATGCTCGATGTTCAATGCCGTGGCCATTCTCAACCCCATGAGTTTCTTGGTGTAAGGGTGGTAGGCCACGATGTAGAAGAGGTTTTCGAGGAAGATCACGGCAATGGCCATTCCGATCTTGCCTCTGGTGTTCAAGAAGATAACGGGAATCCACAAGCACGAGGTGATGGTGATGAGTACACTGTACAAGCGCATTTGCGGACGATGTTCGGGGATGAAGAACGAGTATATGACCAAACTGATGGCCAAAGACAACCGGCACAAAATGTAGGGTACAATGGTCAACGCAGCACCGTGGGTGCTTTCCAACAACTCGCCATGGCTGTTGATGTACAACGTCAACAAACACAAGATCCACAAGATGTACACCTTCTGCGAGAGGTCCTCGTTATAGTAGTAGTTGGTGAAGTCCTTGATATCGGACCATACCATCCAGGCGGGAATGAAGAGCAAGATGTACTCCAAGAGAGCAGCTCCACTGGGGTCCTCACAGGCATTTCCTGCCAAGTTGGAGATGAGCCCCACATACATCAAGTCCAAAAACAACTCGGTTTTGCTGGAGGTTCTTTCGCCCTTGGTACGGAAGAGAACTCCGTCCTTGAAGTAGTTCAAGGCGTGGGGACGAATGAACCACACAGAGTCGCGAGGCGGCTTGATGTACTGGAAGTTGATGTCACCGTACTTTCTGATGAACTCGTCTTCGTCCTCCGAGTCTGTGAGTTGTTCGAACCGGTCAAGGAGAGCTTCGGGGTCTCTGTCGCTAGCGCTGGCGCTGATACTGGCGTTGGCGCTGGCAGCAGCGCCAGATGCTGCTTCATCTAGCAGTGGGTCGGCAGGGTGGTGGTGCTGGCTGGGGTCTAGCGGCTTGGACATGGTGGTGAAAAGAGTGGTGGTAATGGATTGCAGCTGCCAGATGAATGTGAAACTTTATAGCATTGTGCGGCGCGCGGAAACGGCTTTACCAATGGTTTAGTAATGGCAGGCGGGAACTAGCAGGAGCCAGCAGGGAGGGGCAGTGATTGGGTCTAGCCAGTGCAAGGGGATTGGTGGGGATGGGAATGTCCGGAAGTAATCGCAGATTTTTAATTCATCTAGTGGTGGGGGATGGGTCGAATTTGACGTATTCTTGACACAGAAGAAGTGAGCCCCGATGGGGCTCAATCGCTTGGCTCGCTGCGTCTAGGGTCTGCGCGAGGCGGTGCATGCCCAATTATATACAGTGCAGGCAAAACGGTGAATTATCATTGCGGCCTTAGTGTGCTATGAAGACACATCTCGGCTGTATGCTATATGGAGGAACTACGTAAGGCCATGAAAATGGTCGTCCCTAGTCTGGAATTTTGCAGATAGTGGAGTGGATCGTTGTGCGTATGTGACTGGAGTATTTTTCATTATGGTGCTCTCCATTACTCCTAATGTCACGAACACTTGTTGCTTCTGTAAATCTATCGTTTGTGCCAACATTTCGTATTACGAGATTAGTCGATGGCCGATGGATGCTATAACCCCGACAGCCCTTTAAATAATTAATTTCATCGCCCTACTAGTTAGCTAAAATCTGATTAAGAATTATTTTCTTAAACGTTTTCCCGGCAATTCCTAAATCGTGTGGCTACGAACAGTCAATTGAAGTCCATTCCAAAATTCATTTCGCAAATCATCATTATTAGGTTGACAGATTAAATCCGGTACTTGAACGTGGATCGCATGTACTTTGTAATTGACTTTGGGCAAGCATGAGAAACTGCACAGGATGGAAGGAGTTGTCAAGTCTGCAAAAACTATATTTCTAGAGAGATAATACATTTAGAGTCCCAGTCTCCATTTGATGTGGCATTGGATTATTTTTAGTGTTTTTGGCAATTATTGTCCTGGTGATGATAAAACTTTGCGGCAAAGCATTGGATCCATTTCCTACCGAGAACATATAGGACATATTAATGTAGAACAGGTTCATCCGGTATTCCAGTATCACATGGTAGATTAAGCTGAAAGATGAGTACGATAGACTATGGAAGTAGGTAAACCCTGGTAAGCAATGTGAAACCAAATCACAGTTGCAAATTGGTCAATTTCAGAGCAGCATTCACCCTCGCAATAGTATTGGGATCGGTGGCTCTCGGCCACCTAGTTGCCCCCCATCGATCCTCTCCGCATTCAACTTGCAATTAGAGCACGTAACCCCATCGATACTATCTACGATAATCTCGTCGATGCGGAAAATGAGTTTATCAGCTACCACCCAAGAACTTGACTGCTTATAATGCCATAACCTGTGACCAGTGTGGAAATAATCTCAGTTACACAAGACAGTTGGTCAACACTTACCCTGAAAGTGAGAACCTTGTCAGTCTTTTATTTGTTCAAATACGTTTTCCAAAACAAGGGTAGCAAGACCAATTGTTACAAGAGCGACTTTTCCGTCTCCACCCAAAGTAAAGATGTGGTAACTGGGATTATTGGGGAGTAGTCGCCTTGAGTGGAGTTAGATAGCCTACCTTGCATTGTTGACCTTTTAGCATAAAGCAAGCATGCTAGGTGATGACCCTTTACCAAGTCCAAATACTAACAGAATCAACATCAACTAATAATCATCTCCATTTAATAAGAATAGTTTCAATATAGGCACTTCTCAAATATAAGGTCCTTAACATATTGATTTAATTAACTGAAAAAATCCCAAACCTCAATTTAGAAACACGATTGCAATTAAAATTCGCCGCGTACCTCAGCGAAGATTCACTGACGTTCAGGGGGGGGGACTCGCGGGGCTCAAAGTAGCGCAGGAACGCTTCACAAGATTAAGAAACCGTTCGCCAGGAGAATTTGTGCCGTGCGTGAAATGAAAAATTTGGTGCCAGGACATGGAATCTCCCAAGCTTAGGAATATTTAGTATTAGTATATAACGATAAGGGATAGTAAATGATCGACTAGTTGGCGAAACATTCCAATCTTCTCCTTAGTTACTCTTCAGGAGTAAGAGAGGAGCCAACTCAAAAAAAAATCACACGAACTTCATCGGAACGTTCGAAAACAATAGAATTGCACCTCCTCCATCTCTTAAGTCTCTCCAATAATTCAGTGCCCTCCTTCTCTCCTATTCTCCTCTCTCACTCCCTTGTCATCGTCTTTTGCTCACTTTGCTCCGACCCAATTCCAGGTTGCTGCACGTGACGCGAATTTCAGCCTGGTATCTCACATTGCGGTGAGCTCCAAAACCACCACACCTTCTAAACACCGACAAGAATGGCGACTGCGGTGAAGACCACTAAGGGGACGAACGTATGTACCATCGCGGCACCCGCTACTAACGAATTGGCCACCTGAGCTCCCAATTGGCGCATGTTCTGCTGGTTATCTTCTCGAATTACACCAACGCCAGGATTCAGCGCCAATTACCCGAAAACAATACTAACGTCCAGCCCAACGAGGTACTCCAACCTCCAGAACAAGTCCAGGTCGAACCCCACCAGGAAATCGACAAGCGATTAGAAACAGAAGAGCAAAAGATCGATGTCAATGGCGTGTCAGTATCGCCCTCTCTGTCCACCATCGACTTGACGCCTTCAGAGGACCTCGATGTCAGCGAGTTCACCGTCAAACCACCCGCCAGAGAGGCTGGCGAGCCCACGTACCGTGGCTGGAAAGAGGTGGGAAGATGGACCCCCGAGGACGCGTTGACTTTTGACGACGAGCTCGTGGACTTGTTGACCAAGAGTACCATCTTCGACAAGTACTTGCCCTCAGTCGCCTACGGTGACTGGTACCACAACGCAGGCTACTTGATTGTGGGTGGATTGTTGTCGTGGTTGATCGGATGGTTCCGTTTCAGCATGGCACCCTTGTTTTTTGTCATCGTTAGTTTCTCCTTGCTCTACCGGTCGTCTGTCAGAAAGTACAGATCAGTTTTGAGAGAACAGGCCCAGCGTGAGTTCTCCATCAAGTCTATCGAAAACGACTATGAAACCATGGACTGGTTGAACACCTTCTTGGAAAAGTTCTGGGTATTCTTGGAACCCTCCATCGCCCAGATTGTGTGTGACCAAGTCAACCCCATTCTCGCTGCATCACCTGCTCCTGCGTTCGTCAAGTCCTTGTGGATCGACAGTTTCACTGCCGGAACCAAGCCACCTAGAATCGACACTGTCAAGACCCTCCACGGCACCAACGACGACATTGTGGTCATGGATTGGGGATTCTCCTTCACTCCTAGTGCTCTTACCGACACTACTACCAAGCAAATGAAGAACAAGGTCAACCAGAAAGTTGTGGTCAAGGCCAGCTTGTTTGGGCTTACAATCCCAGTGGCCGTTTCTGATGTGTCTGTCAGAGGTTTGGCTAGAGTCAGATTGAGAATGATGAGCTCCTTCCCCCATGTCGAAACCGTCAATGTCTCCTTGTTGGAGCCTCCTCATATTGATTTCACTTCCAGAGTGTTGGGTGAATCCATCTTCAACTGGGAAGTTTTGGGATTCCCTGGTTTGTACCCTTTCATCAACGAAATGATCAAGAAATATGTTGGTGCTATTCTTTTCACTCCATTATCTTTCCAATTGAATGTTCAGCAATTGTTGGCTGGTAACGCCTTGGACTCCTCCATTGGTGTCTTGGCCGTTACAGTTAACAACGCTAGAAGATTGAAGGGTTTCAATGGAGTTGGTAACACCTTGGACCCATACATCACCATTGGTTTTACTAACAAGGTATTGGCCAAGAGTACTATCAAGAAGGATACTGACGAGGCCACCTGGAATGAGACCTATTATATTCCTGTTGTATCCTTATCTGAACCTTTGAACCTCGCTGTCATTGATTACAATGAATACAGAAAGGATAGACAAGTTGGTTCCATTCAATTCGATTTGGAATGCTTATTGGAAAACGACAAGCAGCCAAACTTATCTGCTCCATTCATTAGAAACAACAAACCGGTTGGTGAGTTGAACTTCGGCTTACAGTTCATGCCTACAATTGAACCAGAAAACCAGGCTGACGGTGCCGTTATTCCACCACCAGATTTGAATACTGGTATCGTAAGAATTGAGGTTATCGAAGCTAGACACTTGAAGTCTTCTGATGACAAGGGTGCCTCCACTTACGCTGAAGCTTACATTGGAAATGAAAAGGTTATCTCTACCGGGGTTCAGAAGAACACTAATAACCCAGGCTGGGGTGCTTCGCACGAACACATTATTTACAACCGTGCCAAGTCAAAGGTCAAGGTTGCCGTTAAGGACAAGTCCAACAAGATCATTGGAAGAATCAATCTTAGACTTAATGAGCTTATTGATGCTACTCAAGTCGAGCAAACTTGGTTCCCATTGTCTAAGGGTGGTGAAGTCAGAATCACTGGTTCTTGGAAGCCAGTTGGTTTGGTTGATGCCAGCGGTGCTGGTGGATACAGTCCTCCAATTGGTACTGTCAGACTTAGTATTGACAAGGCTGATGATTTGAGAAACTTGGAACATATCGGTAAGGTTGATCCTTATGCTAGGGTCTTAGTCAATGGTTTCCAGAGATCCAGAACTGCTGCTGTGGAATCTACTTTAAACCCAACATGGAACGAAATCCATTACTTCACTGTTTCCTCTCCTAACCAAAAGTTGACTATAGATGTTATGGATGTCGAGGCCCACTCTCCAGATCGTACCCTTGGTTCATTTGACGTTAAGTTGACTGAAATCATCAGCAAGAATGAAAAGGGTGAGTACGTTGAGTACATCGACACTGAGAAGAGAGAGTCTAAGTTGATTCACAAGAAGGGTCCAAAGGGTACTGTTACGTACTCCTTGTCTTTCTATCCTACTTTACCAGTCAAGACCTTGCAAGATATTAAGGAGGAAGAAGAAGAAAAGGAAGAAAGGGAAAAGGCAAGAAAGGCAAAGGAGAAAGAAAAGGCCAATTCTGCACCTGCTGGTTTCAAGGAAGATACTAAGCAAGAGGAGAACGTCAAGGGCGACGACAAGACCAAGAAGGACCAACCTGAAGACGACGAAGATGAGGAACAAGACAAATCGAAGTTGGAATTGTCACTGGATGAATTGATGGAGTACAAGAGTGGTGTTTTAATTTTCGAAATGATTCACGGCTCTGTTTCCAGAGAAAACTCTTACTTGCAAGTATTCTTCGATAATCATGGTCATTGTGACTACGCTTCTGAAAAGTTGACCCGGAGAGACCAAAAGCTTGGTAAGACTGGTGATGTTATCATTAAGGAATTGGAATGGTCTAAGGCTCACTTCAGATTGGTCAAAGACAAGGAAGCCAATAGACTTGAAAAGGCAATTGCTGAAACTACCATTCCAACTTTGCAATTACTTAAGAATGGTTACCATGAACCAACCACTATCGACTTGAGTGGTGGTGGTTCTTTCAAGTTGCAATGCTCTTGGGTTCCAATTATTTATGAATCTGAAATCCCACCTCAAGATTCTATTAATAATTCTGGTAACGCCAAGATTGAGGTTGTCAGGGCCGAGAACTTGATTGCGGGTGATAGAAATGGTAAGTCTGATCCATATGTTGAATTGTATTTGAACACTGATAAAGACTACTTCTTCAAGTCGAAGAAGGTTAAGAAGACTCTTGACCCAGTCTGGAATGAAAGCACCACAGTTGAAGTGATCAACAAGTACGACTCTTTTATTAAAGTGGTTGTGTACGATTGGGATATGGGACCAGAGCAAGATGACTTACTTGGTTATGGTAGCATAAAATTATCTGATGTGCCTACCGACGGTTCTGAAGTTGAGTTGTCTACTCTCATTGAAGGAGAGAACGGTGAAGATGGAGGAGCTGCATTCTTCAAAGTTTCGTTCAAGCCTGAATTTATCTTGAACGTCAGACCAGGTAGTGGCACCCATATTGGTGATGCTTTTGGCCATGTTGGTCATGTAGGTGTTGGTGCTGGTAAGGGAGTCGTCAAGGGAGTCGGTACCGTAGGAAAGGGTCTTGGAGGAGGTGTTAAGGCACTCAGAAAGGGATTACATTTGGGAGGTAAGGATAAGGACAAATAGGTCTATTTGTCCATACCCTCTGATATCTTAAAGATGCTAATACCAGTCTACTTGATTTGAGACGTTCGTTTTTGTTTTACTAGTATACGTTTGTACAATTAACTTGTTCGTGTAGCAAAGGTTGTATAGAATTAATTTCAAGACAACTTTGTGATTCAAGATTTTCTGAAAAACTGATAAAAATCATAAAAATAGAGAACATCGGCACAACTAAGACTACACGAGTGCCGAACATGAACAAACCAATATCAGATCCAGATAGCGAAGTCGGCATTTTTTTAGGTATTCATTAGCAAGGTGACTTTCACTTCTTTATTCTTTGAGTTGAGTTCTCTATACCGGTATAGCAAAGGTTTACTTCTCTATCGTTTTGTTGCGCTCTGGATCAATTTACTATATGAACCAGGTCCACGGCACACAACTGCTGGCAAGCTGTAATCCGACTACTGTGGATGTGCTTTATAGGTTAATCAAAAACCTGTGATATAGTACAGAAGTAGAGGATTGGTTATTTCGCAGCCATTAAGGGAGTGCTCGCAGAATGAATAAGGCGATGCAGAGAGAAACACTTTGCGGCACAATCGGCATATTCAAGACTCCCCAACACTTTGTATCAAGTTCTGAATTGTAGAGTTAACCACTTTCTTAAGGAGAGGCTTCACTAAAGCAGGACCAGAGACCGTAACGATATGCTAGCTCTGGTCGATCCTAGCACATGTACGCAGTTGCACCAGTCAATGTGCGATGAGATGAGGTAACACCATGTAGCAAATTGGCCATCCAAAAAACTGAAACTGGCTAACCCACCGATCTACGTTCTTGAAGCCAACCTAACCTAACAGGCCTGCAAGCACCATCTCTACACCCTCTACAGGCCAGCCATACCTCCCCCAGTCGTCTATCATCTGGCCGGGGCACCACCGGCATTTAGACAGATTGGTGCGTGCACGCCCGCACGTGAGCAAACACTGAAATTTTTCCCTCGATGAGCACAGATTTCGTCCCATCCCATACTCCATCTCCATCATCAATCATGGATATTTCGAAGCCAGTAGGCTCGGAAATCACATCTGTGGATTTTGAAGTCTTATCTGACAATGAGATTAGAAAGTTGTCGGCCAAGCAGATTTCGAATCCCGTTGTTTTTGACAATTTGGGACATCCTATTGCTGGTGGTTTGTATGACTTGTCGCTCGGTGCTTTCCTCCGAAACGTGTGTACCACCTGTGGGTTGGATGAGAAGTTCTGTCCCGGCCACATGGGACACATCGAGTTGCCTGTGCCTGTCTACAACCCGCTTTTCTTCAACCAGCTCTACATCTTCTTGAGATCGTCTTGTCTTTACTGCCACCACTTCAAGCTCAACGGGTTGGAATCCCACCTCTACCAGTGCAAGTTGCAATTGATTCAGTACGGATTGTTGTTGGAATGTGTTGAGCTCGAGAACATGATTCCCAAGGGCTCTGGCGACAGCGAGGACGACGACGAAGACACCTCTTCGTCTATGGACTCCAAGGCCAAGCAGGCGTTGCGTGAACGCAGAGAAGAGTTTGTGCAAACAGCCATTTCCAAGGCCATCAGCGAGGGCAGAACCTCCGAACACGGGGTGGTGACATCTACCATTGGTGAAGAAAGAAAGGAAACCATCCACAAATACTACAAGAGATTGTTGAGCAGACCCAAGTGTGACAATTGTGGAATGTACTCGCCAGGATTCAGAAAAGATGGGTTCGTCAAGCTTTTCGAGAACGCCTTGACCGACAAGCAGTTGAGCAACAACAGAGTCAAGGGCGTGCAGAGACCCGATATGATGAAGGGAGGCCAGACCAAGAGCACCAGCGGTGAGACTGCCATGCCCAACATCAAGCATAAGGGTGGCTCCAAGTACGTTTTGTCGACGGAAATTCGCAACATCTTGCGGGCAGTTTTTGTCAACGAACAGGCCATCATCCAGAAGTTGTTCCACTCGCGGCCATACCAGACCAAGGTGGTGTCGGGGGACATCTTCTTCAAACAAGCATTGTTGGTTCCACCCACCCGGTTCCGTTTGCCGTCCAAGTTGGGAGACGAGATCCACGAGAACGCCCAGAACGAGTTGTTGTCGAACGTCCTCAAGACGGCACTCCAGATCCGTGACTTGAACGACCAGATCTCCACCATTGCCAAGGGCAAATTGTCGGTGGACGAGCGCAAGATCATCTTCAACCGGTTGATGAACGCGTTCGTGACCATCCAGAACGACGTCAACGCATTCATCGACAGCACCAAGAACCAGAACGCTCCAGCGGGTAAATTGCCCAATCCTGGTATCAAGCAGGCGTTGGAGAAGAAGGAGGGGTTGTTCAGAAAGCACATGATGGGTAAGAGAGTCAACTACGCCGCCAGATCGGTGATCTCGCCAGACCCCAACTTAGAGACCAACGAGATCGGTGTGCCTCCCGTGTTTGCCACCAAGTTGACGTATCCTGAGCCTGTGACCGCCTACAACGTGGGCGAGTTGAGAAAGGCCGTGATCAACGGTGCCCAAAAGTGGCCTGGTGCGGTACAGGTACAGAACGAAGACGGGTCGTTGGTGTCGCTCGAAGGCATGACGTTGGAACAGAGAAAGACGGTGGCCAACCAGTTGATGACGCCGTCCAGCGACGTGGCAGGCTCGGGTCTCGCCAAGAAGGTGTACCGCCACATCAAGAACAACGACGTGGTGCTCATGAACCGTCAGCCCACCTTGCACAAGGCGTCCATGATGGGACACAAGGTGCGGGTGTTGCCTGGCGAGAAGACGTTGCGGTTGCACTACGCCAACACCGGTGCATACAACGCCGACTTCGACGGTGACGAGATGAACATGCACTTTCCCCAGAACGAGAATGCCCGTGCTGAGGCCTTGAACTTGGCCAACACCGACTCGCAGTACTTGACACCCACGTCGGGTGCACCCTTGCGTGGGTTGATCCAGGACCACATCTCCGCAGGTGTGTGGTTGACCAGCAAGGACACGTTTTTCGACAGGGAAACCTACCAGCAGTTGATCTACGGGTGCTTGCGTCCTGAGGACGGCCACACCACCAAGAACCGGATCGTGACTGTCGCCCCAGCCGTGTTCAAGCCCCAGCCATTGTGGACAGGTAAACAGGTGATCACCACCATCCTCGCCAACATCAAGCCAGAGGGCGTCCCTGGTATCAACTTGGCCTCGAAGAACAAGATCCGTAACGAGTACTGGGGCGAGGGCTCGCTCGAAAACGAGGTGGTGTTCCACGACGGCCAGTTGTTGTGCGGTATCTTGGACAAGTCGCAATACGGTGCCTCGCAATACGGTCTCGTGCACTCGTTGCACGAGGTATACGGCCCTACCAGCGCTGCCCAGGCGTTGTCGATCTTGGGACGGTTGTTCACCAACTACACCACCATGAAGGCATTCACCTGTGGTATGGACGACTTGCGTTTGACACCCGAAGGTAACCAGTGGAGAAGCGACATCTTGAAGGAGTCTGTCGATATCGGCAGAGCTGCTGCTGCTGAAGTCACCAACTTGCCTACAGATACCTCCAACTCGTCTCGCGAGTTGTTGAAGCGGTTGGAAGAGATCTTGCGTGACGACAACAAGTTGGGCATTCTCGATGCCGTGACCCAGTCCAAGGTCAACACCATCACCTCCAAGGTGGTCAGCAAGTGTGTGCCAGACGGCACCATGAAGAAGTTCCCTTACAACTCGATGCAGCTGATGGCTTTGTCAGGAGCCAAGGGTTCCAACGTCAATGTTTCCCAAATCATGTGTTTGTTGGGCCAACAGGCCTTGGAAGGTAGAAGAGTGCCAGTCATGGTTTCAGGAAAGACGTTACCATCGTTCAAGCCGTTCGAAACCGACGCTCGTGCCGGTGGTTACATCAAGGGCCGTTTCTACTCGGGTATCAGACCCCAAGAGTACTACTTCCACTGTATGGCAGGTAGAGAAGGGTTGATTGACACTGCTGTCAAGACCTCCAGATCCGGATACTTGCAACGTTGTTTGACCAAGCAGTTGGAAGGTGTCCATGTCAGCTACGACAACTCAGTCAGAGACGGTGATGGTTCGTTGGTCCAATTCCTCTACGGAGGTGACGCCATCGACACCACCAAGCAATCGCACATGAACCAGTTCAAGTTCTGCTTGGACAACTACGACGCATTGTTGGCCAAGTACAACCCTGGTGACTTGACCCAACACTTGGACACCGACACCGCCCTGTCCTACGCCAAAAAGGTCCGCAAAAACATGAAGAAACAGGCCCTGGTGCCCCACTACGACCAGCAAGCCAAGTACGACCCAGTGTTGTCGGTGTACAACCCCTCCAAGTATTTGGGATCGGTTTCCGAGAAGTTTGCTGACAAGCTCGACGAGTTCGTGGCTGCCAGCCCTGAGCTTTTTGCCAAATCCAAGGACGAGGCTCGTGCTAGCGGAAAGTTGACTGAAAAGAAGTTCAGAGCATTGATGCAATTGAAGTACATGCGCTCGTTGGTCAACCCAGGAGAGTCGGTGGGTATCATCGCTTCCCAGTCCATCGGAGAACCATCCACCCAAATGACGTTGAACACCTTCCATTTCGCTGGTCACGGTGCTGCTAACGTCACCTTGGGTATCCCCAGAATGAGAGAAATTATCATGACGGCATCTGCCCAAATCAAGACTCCTCAAATGACATTGCCCTTGTTGGACGATGTCAACGACGAGCTTGCCGATTCGTTCTGCAAGTCGGTGGCCCGTGTGGTGTTGTCAGAGTTCCTCGACAAGGTTACCGTCACCGAAACCACTTCCACCTCGGACGACGGTTCCAACGGCAGAGGCTACAAGATCAACTTGCGCTTCTACACCAAGGACGAGTACGAGAAGGAGTACGACGTCTCCAAGGAGTACTTGGAGAGCGTGATCACCTCCAGATTCTTGCATGACTTGGAGACCCAAATCTCCAAGGAGGTCAAGAAACAGAAGCGTCCAGACTCCATGCCTGCTGTGGGCAAATCTGCCGGTAAAACTGACTTGGAGCACATCTCAGGCAAGGTCCAAGCGGAGGACGGCGACATCGAGGACGAGCTGACTCTGAAGAAGCAGGCTGTGTCGTACGACGGCCCTGACGACGAAGAAATTGAGACCATGAGAAAGGCCGAGGAGACCAGCGACGATGACATCAACGACGACGACGACTCGGACTCCTCCTCCGACAGCGACAGCGACGACGACGAAGAAACCACTCCTGAGCCAGTTTCCTCGCCATTGTCCAGATTGGCTAAGGACCGTCAAGCCGAAGTCATCTCCTCCCACAACTTGGTCACCAAATTCAACTTCGACGACGACAACGGTGAGTGGTGCGAGTTCAACTTGGAGTTGAACGGAAACGAGACCCAGAAGTTGTTGATGGTCAACATCATCGAAGAGTTGTGCCGCAAGGTCGTTGTGCGTGAAATTCCTCACATCGGACGTTGTGTCCACCCTCAACCAGGTGCTGATGGCAAGAGAATCTTGACCACCGAAGGTGTCAACTTCAGGGCCATGTGGGACCAGGAAGACTTCATTGACGTCAACAACATCACCTCTAACGACGTGGCTTCCGTGTTGAAGACCTACGGTGTGGAGGCTGCCAGAAACACCATTGTCAACGAAATCTACCGTGTCTTCGACACCTACGGTATCAGTGTCAGTAGCCGTCACTTGGAGTTGTTGGCGGATATGATGACTCGTGAAGGTACCTACTTGGCGTTCAACAGACAGGGCATTGACTCATCGACTTCTGCATTCATGAAGATGTCCTACGAAACCACCTGTCAGTTCTTGACCAAGGCGGTGTTGGACGGTGACAGAGAGGAGTTGGAGTCGCCCTCGGCCAGAATAGTGTTGGGTAAGTTGTCCAACGTTGGTACCGGGTCTTTTGACGTTTTCGCCAAGATGCCCGAGGTTTAGTGTATATATAGAGCATAATGTTATAGTATTAGAAGGGATGTAGGTGGAGTCGGACAGAGCAAGGGAGGATAATCCTTTATGGATTTCGCATCTGTGAAAGGTGAGGCAAGATAGAGTAATTCATTACACTTGTGAAAGGCAAATAGACCTATCATATTTTAGGGATTATTGTACCTGTAAAGGTATAATATAGTAGGATAATTAATTCATTATGGACTCTTGCTATATTTGTTGAAATTAACTGAAGTCATTTTGATCAACTATGAGTTATTATAAATTATCTGTCAATTTTGGATACTGATAGCACTATAGTGCTCATTGATCACACTACTGTGTTTTCTGATACACCACTCAGTTGCTCATTCCGTTCAGACTTCTTGTATTCTTTCTGACCTACTCTATGTCCTCCTTCAAGTTATTCTGTGCTGCAGCTGGAAATCTGATGATTTTAGCCACTCGCTACAACCTCCTCGAAGCTATGCATTGTCTATATGTTAAAGGCAGCTATCAAGAATGCAAGCGCAAACGAAAACTTGAAACTGGGCTTCTCAAACACCAATTGCTTCAAATTGATTCTCTCTTTGCCCAATTGCACAATTGAGTTCCATGGAACATGGATGATGTTTCTGGACTCGAGGAATTGCACCAAGAAGTATGAGGAGAGCGCCAAAAGGGCAAATACTGAGGAGAGCTTGCCAGCAATGACTCCCAAGAAGAGTCCGGTGATGGACCCGATGGTCAATTCCTCGTAGTTGAGCTGGCCGCCAAATCTGGACTTGACAGGCACTTTTTGGGAAACAGACACATTGGAGTGCAAATCGTGGGATGGAAGCTGGGCCACGTCGTTGGAGATGGAAGGCACCGAGCGGAACACAAGTGCGGTAGAGAGAGTCGTTCCGAGCAAGAGCAGAAGTGATTTGGTGGAAGCCACTGGTCTGGCAGCCGTGGAATGGGTGGAGAAGGCTCTGGCCACCGATGGTTTGGCCAAGGACGCCCTCACGGGTCTGGCAAAGGATTGCACGATGGATGAGGGAGAGAACCTTCTGGCAGCAAGTTTGACGGGATTGGAAACGAACATGTTGATGGCGAATTGGAGGAGTAGCGGCAGCAAGTTTATATAAGAGGGGCACGTGAAGGTTGCAGCCGGCCAGGTGGACCCAACATGTTTTGCAAAGTGTAAATAGTGGGAGGTAACCGGCAAAAAAACCTGGTGGGTCAAAGTGCAAACTGGAGGGGATGGGGGTGGGCGATCGCACCAGTCGATCCAACCCGTAAATCGTTTCAGGTGGGACCATCCGGCCACGAACAGAACCGAAGCCGAACCGACAGGTGGTGGGCGCACGCCCGACGGTCGGTGAAGTAAGGATGTTTTGCGGGGACGGACATTGGTGGGCGCACAACCCGCCCTGGTGACCTCATCCACACACGAGGTGAGCGAAAGCGACAGGGACCACCTGGGGCAGGGCACGACTCGCTTGTGCGGCCCGCGGCGCGTGCGCGTCTGCCTATGACAACCTCCGCAAAAGAAACGTCTCCGATGCAGATGATGCCCGCGGCACACGACCGAGCCTGTTCCGTTCTAGCCTTTGTGACTTTGTGGCGCTGCACCTGTGCAAGCCATCTGAACCACTGGAGGAGGTATGTCCGCCAGGCTTTATATATAGACCCATTTGCACGCGGGGTGTAACAGCCACCAGTTTGAGTTCTTTGGTTTCTTGCTCGTTTTCTTCGGGTATCTCACAGCTCTTCCACATACTCGCTCTGCACCTTTTGCAGACTATTAGCATACCATCACCAGCCGTACGCCAGCCCAACCAGCGACCCGTAACAGCGCCATTGCACCCTGTTAACGCGATACCACTGTCTTCTCACCACCCATACTGAACACCCCTGCGACCGTCAGCTTACCCTGTTCCCAGCAACTAGCACTTGCCCTCCATGATGTTCCACTCGAGCCTACCCGCCGTGACCCACGAATACCCCCAGTTCAAGACCCACACCCCCCAGACGGCGTCTCGTCCCCAGGAGATCGCTCCCGCCGTGTGGCTCGGCTCTTACGCCGCGTTGGACTCCAGCTTCCTTGCCGACAACAACATCAAGATCATCATCAACTGCTCGCACACCACCTCGTTCCTCGCCCACTTGGCACAGGCGCTGGTGTCGTCAGACGTGATCATCCTCAGTCTCGACCCAGCATTCCTGGCTGAGCTGGTGGCTGGTGCCGACCAGCCACTCGTGGCAGAGTTTCTCGCCACCCACAACCGAGTGTTGCAAAACTATATCAACCACTTTTACATTTATAACCCGCACGCGCGCAACCTCATCCATGATATCCCCTCAGCCAAGCTCGACTTTGCGTCGCCCATCTTGACTGGCAACCTCAAGCTCCAGTTCTTCAACGTGCTCCGGTTGGTGCTGTTGTGCAAGTCGATCAACTCGTCCATCCAGGTGTTGTTTGTGAGCGAGACGCGGTCGTCGCTCGCCACGGGGCTTGCCACTGCCTACCTCATGGACACCTACAACTACAACCTTGCTGCTGGGTTGGAGGGGGTCAAGACGCGTGCGCCTGCGTACGCCACCGACTTGAACCACAACTACTACGACGACTTGCTCATTATCGAGAACCTCAAGAAGTTTGGCACCGAGAACGCCTCACTCAGACAAAAGAACCCAGGGGTGTTGATGGCCAACTGCAGGCTCAAGAGGCGTGGCAGGGACGACGAGGACGAGGATCTCGAGATGGACACGCGTGTGGTGGTTGGCGACCGCAAGAGGCGGTTCAGAAACTGGTCCTAGTTCGCTGCTGGCAGACGAAGTGTATTATTAGAGGCACGATTGGCAGTGCCTGTACTATAAAAGGAAAATTGTTTGTAAAAATAGCTAATAAAAGGATGAATAAGTGGGTGTAGGGGCAGTCCAAGACTAATTATGGACATGGGTGTCTTAGTTGTGAACATTCGAAGACTGATTGAAGGGGTATTGGCGAGCCAACGGGACACCAGCAGACTGACCAAAGTATGTGAAGTAGTGAGCACGGACCGACGGGTTTGTGCGACAGTTAATGTCTAGGTACAAAATACCTCTGGTTGGATTTGGTTAGTCTGCTATCACCCGGGGACTCGGTGTTCGGCATGTAAGATAGGTGATGATTTCTGTGGTTCGAAAGAGATCTCGACTTATCAGCTTTTGGAAGATAATACGTAGGAAGATTTCGGAGCTGGCGAATTGGGAAGAAGAGACGAAAAAGGAGACAATACTAGAGCTAGAGGAATCAAGACCAACGGATATTCAATATCTAACCTTTTTTGGAGGTGTCGATATGTAATATAAAATAGTATATTCATATAAATATTAGTATGCTACTAGACATTTTCTTTCTGCATTGTCTTTATTATATCTGGCACTCCTACAACTCGATGTATTTACTGAGCCTTTTCTATTTATCATTTACTTTATCCGACCTTAACATAGTTCAGAATTACCCTCTTTGAAGCTTCGAATAGTGCGAGCCCTCATGGATAGTTATGGCTACTCCTGAGCCAATATCAGACTTTAATCCTTGGCCATGTTCCCTCTAGTGGCACCTGGTGGTCTATATACAAGTTTCTGTCTACTCTGGCACAGAAAGCCCCACTCTGTTGGCAGTCTTCCTGACGTTCTCCTCCTGGCTCATCTTCAATCCAGGGTTGTATCTCTCGATCAACTCCGTGTAAGTTCTTTGACTCTTCAAGAAGGTGACAACGTTGGACATGTGGTTCAAGTCAGCCTTGGATGTTTGGTCACCTTCCACGAGCAGCTTGAGCAAGGCGGACTGTTCGAGCACTTTGGCATCCTCAAACTCGCCTGAGGCAAGCTGCTTCAACTTGGCATCCACCTCCTTGAAGTCCTTGCCCTGCTTGATCAAGGTCAATTTCTTGTACTGCAACATGGCCTGTTGCTTCTCCAAGTCCTTTGCGGCGTGGATCTTTCCACTGGCATTCTGGATGGTCAAGAGCTCCTTTGTGAGGTTCTTGTAAAGGGTCTTGAAGCTGGGAAACGTCTTGGTGGCGATGGTAGACATGGTTGGAGAGGTTGGTGGTGATGAGACGGTGGTGTTGAAGTAGTGGCACTGATCACGTGGGAGGAGTTGAAAATACCAGTAGGTGAGAAGAATTGAAGTAGTGAAAATGGAACTAGTGAGGAAAAATGGGACTGGTAAGGATGTAAGCACCCATAGGGGAAGTATGGAAGTAGTAGATTGTAGTATGAACCACCAAAGAGGGCGAGTATTGCTGGGAAAAGGGGAGCAGTAAAAATTAGCAATGCAGTAGAACTACTAAAGGGGTATCGGAACCAGTAAAAAGGAGTGGAGCTACTAGAAGTACAGCAGAACTACAGATGAAGTGACTAGCACTCCAGGTTCCACTATTTGGTGGAATTAATAATGGATATATAGGTCTATGGGATATAGTGCGAAATTAAAGGCTACAGGAAGAATTGGGGAGACGTGAGATGTTAGGCAGTAGTGGCCTGTATAGGACACCAGAATTATGAAAACCGGTGGTGGCAGCTAATACCAGTAGTGGAAATTGATACTATTTGTATGAATTGATACTAGTAGTGGAAATTGATTGGTGAGAAATTGGAGAGGCTAAAGGGACAACACCAGTAAATAAATTGCGAGCAATAAGAACGAGAAGCTAGATCAGCGGAAAGAAATAGTAGGAAGGATTTAGAATAGCAATAAAATATGAGAGACAGTGGTGAGAGAGTGTATTGAAATTTAGATACGGAGCGAAAAGTTAGGGCCATATTAGTGAGACATTATAGGGAGAATTAGAGGAAAAACGTAGGAGACTACGGTAATAAGAAATTTGGGAAATCAGCAGTGGACAGGACAACAGTAGTGAGAAATTGGACTCGACTTTTTTAGTAGAATTGACACCCTTGATGACAGATTTGGAGGAACAAGTGGTGAGAAATTCAGGGAGAAATTTAGAACTAGTGGAAATATGGGGAGAACTACAGGAAAAAAATAGACAACAGTAGCCGGAGGTTTAGGACGACCAGTGAATATTATAGCAGACTCTAGTTGACACCAGTAGCGAGAAATTTACAGAGAAAACCAGTGGAAACTAGAGACACAGTACCAACAGAAGTGAGAAATTAGCACCTTCACCAATTAAATCATAAGTATTTAGGGAGGATTTATATAGTTCTGCCCTCACCAACCAAATAGATATTCATGGTGGACCCAACCCCCGGAGCCAGTTCGCCCCATTCGCTTCCATCTCCGCAGCCATCCGTGATATCCCGCTACTCGTGCCCTGGCGTTCCGGGTAACTCGGTGTGGCCAATCACAGTGGCCCTCTATTCGGCCCCGGCGCGGACGCACGCTACAACCCCGAGATGATCTCGGAGTTTTCTGGCCACGATAATACTCCACCAGCGCCTGCTAGCTAGTCACAACTAGCCCCACTGGCACTCCCAGACCATCTCCCGTGCCAATGCCGGAAGTCCGAACTGCTGCCTCTTTCTCCAGCTCCGTAGTGAAAACTCCGTCCCCTCTGCAAAATTTTCCCTTCCGAGCATGCCAGTGCGCGGCGTGCGCGCACCAATCCTATCAACAAATGGGGGCTCCTTGTAATAAAAACTCTGAGTTCTTCACATCGAGTTAGTTCCCAGAGCCACCACAATGTTGAGATCTATTATTGCACAGAAGGTATGTACCGTCGCAGCAGCGTCCCGAAACAGTCTTGCTAGCGTCCAATCGGGTGTATTCACCCACCACTAGCCGGCAATGCTGGCCAGTCTGATCGGAGCCATCGGAGCCACGCCACGAGTGTTTGACGATGGGATGGCTGTTCCATCGCAGCTTCCTGTGCTGGCAGTGCTCTAGAAGGAATGGCAGCGGCCATGAAGGCCCCTGCCTCAATTCCGAGGTCGTGGCCCCAAATCCATCGCAAGTCCGTACTAACATCAATAGAGCGTCGTTCGTTCCTTAGCCACCTTCGCTTCCCCAGAAGCCGCTTTGCCAAAGAAGTACGGTGGTAAGTACACCGTCACCTTGATCCCAGGTGACGGTATCGGTCAGGAAATCACCGACTCTGTCAGAACCATCTTCAGAGACCAAAACGTGCCTATTGAGTGGGAAGTGGTTGACGTGTCGGGATTGGAAAACTCCGGCAAGAACGGTGTCGCCGAAGCCGTCGACTCGTTGAAGAGAAACAAGGTCGGTTTGAAGGGTATCTTATACACCCCCACTGGTGGTTCCGGTAAGTCCTTGAACGTTGCATTGAGAAAGGAATTGGACATCTACGCCTCGTTGGTCTTGATCAAGAACATCCCAGGTGTCAAGTCCAGATTGGACGGCATTGACTTTGCCCTTGTCAGAGAAAACACCGAAGGTGAGTACTCTGGTTTGGAACACCAGTCCTACCCAGGTGTGGTTGAGTCGCTCAAGATCATGACCAGATTCAAGTCGGAAAGAATTGCCAAGTTCGCCTTCGACTTCGCTAAGAAGAACAACAGAAAGTTGGTCACTGCCATCCACAAAGCCAACATCATGAAGTTGGGTGATGGTTTGTTCAGAACCACCGTCAAGGACATTGGTCAAGACTACCCAGGTATCGAGGTCAACGACTTGATTGTCGACAACGCCTCTATGCAAGCCGTTGCCAAGCCACAACAGTTCGATGTCTTGGTCACTCCAAACTTGTACGGTTCCATTCTTTCCAACATTGGTGCTGCTTTGATCGGTGGTCCAGGTTTGGTTCCAGGTGCCAACTTCGGTAGAGAATACGCCGTTTTCGAGCCAGGTTGTCGTCACGTTGGTTTGGACATCAAGGGCCAAAACACTGCCAACCCAACCGCTATGATTTTGTCTGCCACCATGTTGTTGAGACACTTGGGCTTGAACGACAACGCCGACAAGATCTCCAAGGCCACCTACGACGTCATTGCTGAAGGTAAGGTCAGAACCAAGGACATTGGTGGTACTTCTTCCACCACCGAGTTCACCGACGCCATCTTGTCCAAGTTGAACTAATTAATAGATAGCACAAAATATTGAATATTGCGAGAGAAGAGTAGGTTTGCAATGGAAGCTAACTTCCGGGGTAGTAGTGTAGCGAGATTATCGGTACATTAGTGGTAGTGCTGGGAATGTGGAGATTACTGGTAATCTTGAGGGAAATTGTAACTTGGAGAAGACTAATATACTGGCTTGCTGGAAATGTGGTTTACTGGTAACTAGAGTATTACTGGCACATTTACTGGTAATCCAGGAACACGGTAGATCGCAAGGCTTGTTATGGTGCAAAGCAGACCAGGAATTGCTGGATTCCACCCACTTGTAATCTGATTTCCTCGGGGATGTTCTAGTACGGCCATTACGTGGAGATTACTGGAATCTGGTTCACTGGCAATCTTTACGACTAATTTTATCTGGAGATTACTGGCAATTTTAGGACGAGTAGTAATTACTAGAATCTGGTGTACTGGAAATCTGTTTACTGGAGATCAGAAGGATTAGAATAATTGAAGATTACTAGCAATTTAACGATTAGTATTAGAGTACGGGTAATNTTGCTTCCTCATGGATATGATAGTAGAGCCGTTTAACGGAGACTACTAGTATCTGGACTAGTATCTGGACTAGTATCTAAACTACGAGTATCTGGTTTACTTAATTGCAACCAGTAGTTTTTCTAGAGACTACTGGCAATCCTAAAAATTAGTAATGGATTACTGAAGATCAGTTTACTGTAGATCTGTTTAGCTCTCCCACTTCCAGTACCTGTAGAGTTCAATCTATTTACTCGAAAGCACTGCAACTGATTTAGTTCTGCCACTACCACCATCTATTCCTCCAGAATAGCTCACCAATTCCAGCCTCGCGGTCACGTGCCACACTACCATCGCATCGCAAATTTTTCAGAGTCACTAATTAACCACCCACCCCAGGCATGCCCGCTCCAGCGAGCCCAAGCGCACCGTCCCGCCACTCGTTGTGGTGGTACGGCCATTCGCCCACGCCCCCAACAAAGCCCCCACGATTCCCGCCCCGCTAGCGCCCCCAGCGCCTTCCTGCCCCCACGATTCAGAGTCGCAGGGCGTGCGCGCACCCGCAGGCCGGCGTGTGCCCACCAACAAACCCAACCAGCTATATATACTCCCAACACCCCCAACCCCAAAACTTGTTCTTGGGTTAACGGATCTCCGTTCATTATAATTAGTACACTATACAACAATGTGTGACGTCGTTTTAGGCTCCCAATGGGGAGATGAAGGCAAAGGAAAATTAGTCGACTTGTTGTGCGACGACATCGACGTTTGCGCCAGATGTCAAGGTGGTAACAACGCTGGCCACACCATCGTGGTTGGCTCCACCAAGTACGACTTCCATATGTTGCCCTCTGGGTTGGTCAACCCCAAGTGTTTGAACGTGGTGGGTAGTGGAGTTGTGATCCACGTGCCCTCTTTGTTCGAGGAGTTGGAGAACTTGGAGAAGAAAGGCTTGTACTGTCGTGACCGGTTGTTCATTTCGTCCAGAGCCCACTTGGTGTTTGACTTCCACCAGAGAACAGACAAGTTGAAGGAGGCCGAGTTGTCGTCCAACAAGAAGGCCATTGGAACCACCGGTAAGGGTATCGGACCCACCTACTCCACCAAGGCGTCCAGATCCGGGTTGAGAGTGCACAACTTGGTCTCGGAAGACCCAGAGGCCTGGGAAGACTTCAAGACCAGATACCACCGTTTGGTGAACTCCAGAAAGCAGAGATACGGTGAATTCGACTACGACACCGAGGAGGAGTTGGCCAGATACGAGAAGTACCGTGAAGTGTTGCGTCCGTTCGTGGTCGACTCGGTGGCGTTCTTGCACAAGGCCATCGCTGAAAACAAGAAGATCTTGGTCGAAGGTGCCAACGCGTTGATGTTGGACATCGACTTCGGTACCTACCCCTACGTGACCTCGTCTTCCACCGGTATCGGTGGTGTTTTGACTGGTTTGGGACTTCCTCCAAGAGCCATCAAGAACGTCTACGGTGTCGTCAAGGCCTACACCACCAGAGTGGGTGGAGGACCTTTCCCTAGTGAGCAGTTGAACGAAATCGGAGAGACCTTGCAGGACGTGGGTGCCGAGTACGGAGTCACTACCGGAAGAAAGAGAAGATGTGGTTGGTTGGACTTGGTGGTGTTGAAGTACTCCACTGCCATCAACGGCTACACCTCGTTGAACATCACCAAGTTGGACGTTTTGGACAAGTTCAAGGAAATCAAGGTCGCTGTGGCCTACACCTTGAACGGCAAGAAGTTGGACTCGTTCCCTGAAGACTTGATTGAGTTGGCCAAGGTCGAGGTTGAATACGAAACCTTGCCAGGCTGGGAACAAGACATCACCCAAATCAAGAAGTACGACGATTTGCCTGTCAACGCCAAGAAGTACTTGGAGTACATCGAGAACTTTTTGGGAGTTCCAATCCAATGGGTTGGTACTGGTCCAGCCAGAGACTCCATGTTGGTGAAGGCTGTTAACTAGAAATAGCACGAAAAGTAGATTAGACGGAGAGTTGTAGGAAACAGAAAAGGAAGCGTAGGAATCGCAGAGAAGAAGGAGGGATATATCAAGAATTAAGAAGTACACACGGGGTAGGAACATTTCTAGAATTTAAGACATACAAAAAGTGTGAAGCACTTCTGTTCCAGGATCCAGAGAATTAGCCTCAGATTGAAGGGTCAGCACGGAATATCGTCATTGGAGAACCACCAGCCTTGTATAATTACACCATCGAAATCATGCAAATTAGTGAACGACCAGAGTCCAACTCAGTGGCCTCAAGAAAGAAAGAGAATGGTAAGCAATGTGCAATACTTGGAATACTTCTCGTCTGGTGAGATCACCAGAATGGGGGAATAGAGCATACGAACATCAATAAGATGATATCTGGCGTATGTGCTCCCAAAGACTCATTTGGGTGGTGTTAATCTGATTGCCAGAGGTCCCAATTTTGCTTTTCTAGCCAGACAGGGCATGGTAACAGGGGTGCCATTCTACCTGGTCCTAATCTTGCAATGTTCGGGAGGCTCACTCGCTAAGTCCAGCCAGAGCTATCAAGGAAAATCGCTCCCAGCGAAGCTATCTCCGCTATTTCCCACTAATTTTTCCCAGTACCTTCTCTCAGTAATCTCTCCCTCCTTGAATCCCTACAAACTTCCCCAGTAATTCTCGCAGCAACTTCCCATTTCTCACTACCGTTCCCCTAGCGACAATCTAGCGAGACTCCCGCACCAGTTATCTTATCGCACCACACCACCAGATAACAAGCCCGACCGATATCCGGGAAACCACCATCTCCTACCACCTTCTCCCACCACCATATCACCTCCCACTACGCCACCACCACCACCACCACTTTCTCCCACCACCGTCTCGCACTACTCGAGTCTCCCACTATTTCTCCTACCCTCCCTCACTACCTCCCCCTCCCTATTTTTCCCTGACCGCTTCCCCCTAATCCCGTGTGATAATCCCCACACCCCGCGATCCGCAAATATATCCTGTTCTTTTACCAACCATACCCAGTATGGATCTCTTAGTGTCGTGTCAGGAAAGCGGAGGCGTCCGAGGTATGTGATCTGAGGTTAGCAGCCGGTCTCTTGCGACTGGCTGCCACAGAGCAAATTCGGCGGCAGCAGCAGACACGGCCTGTTTGGCACACAGACAGCAGCAGCCATAGTGCAACCAGGGCCAGTTGGTGGCGTTGTGGCGAGTCCAGCCGGTATCGTGGCCAGCATAGCCAATCCAATGGTAGTCTTTGATGTCTGTGACTCTGCCTGGTCGTTCAGCATCCCAATGGTCTGTTGTCTGTAAAGTGTGTGTCTGACTCTGCCTGGCTCCATTCCCGTCGGTTCCACTAACATTAGTCATTCGGATCGCCAAGTACGGCAACACCATCGATATCAAGTTCAAGAAACAGTTTTGTGTAGGTGGCAACGACAACTACGCCCAAAAGGTGTTGAGGTTCGTCAGGGACGGCAAGAGCTGCTTGGTGATAGCCCGCAAGACAGGACTCATCCAGCTCTACGAAAAGTGCCGGTGCTCCTCGGGAGCATACTACCAGCTCGTCAAGGAGTGGAAGAACTCCAACATGAACGACCACGATGAGATCGTGCGGTTGGGGTTCCTCTCGGACCAGTATCTCTACAGCTGCTCCAACGAGGGCAAGTTGGTGATCCGCGACTTGATCAACGACGACGCCAACGAGAGCTACAAGGTGTACTTGTTGCACAACCCCGTCCTGGACATCCAGTTGAAGGTGTCGTCCCACAACGATAACCGCATCGTGATTGCTTGTGCTGGCAAAAACAGCGAGTTGAAGATGTATGAGGTCAATTTGGAGAGTTCCAGTGACACTAGCGAGCATATTTGGGGGGTGGCTGGTCCCAGGGGCAACAGGGACTTCTCGGTAATCCAGAATAGCAATCTTCGCTCCACCATCGACCTCAACTACACCAGCAGCATTCCGCGACCATTGAGGCGATCTTACACCAACTTAAACCTCCGTGCATTTATCACAGCCACCTCCTCGGCTGCCAACTCATACACAGACCGCCAAGTCAACGCATTGTCCCCCATATGGACGTCCAACACTTCCTACCAAAAGTTCCTATTCCTGGCAGCTCCCTCCGAAAGCATTTCCAACTGGTTTGTATCGGTTTGTATTCTTGACGACTACATTGTAACCGGCAGCCAGTTTGGAAAGGTGATGATATACAACATATTTGAAGACACTTTCCCTATACATACGCTAGAAGTGTCGCAGTTTCCCATCCGGTACTTGGCCAAGTTTGGAAGCAGCAACCATTTGATATACTCGGACTCCATTTCCAAGGTGGGAATCTTGGACATGAATACGTTCAAAGTGATCAAGTTGTATGACCACCTTGAAATAGGTCCGTTATCGTACCTCAACGTGGTGCTTCCCAACCTCAGCACTAAGAGAAGGAAACAGCGCAAGTTGAGCATAGACGGCTTGAGGTTTGATCCCGTGTATCTTATTTGCACGAAGATCGACAAGTCTTTGGCGATGTACAAGCTATTTGACGACGGTACGAGCGAACTCCTCTTGAATGTGGATCTAGGTACATTCATCCCTAGCATGGCATTATTGAAGGCCAACGAATACGAAGCATTCAACTCGATGTTTGGAAATGTCCAGGATGATTTGGTGTCAGATGTGGAGTCGGTGGAGGAGGCTCTGGAAGCCTCCAAGAAACGAAAGCTACTGGCCGATGTATTGACGGTCGCTGGACGTATTCCCGTGCAGCCATTGCACAATCCGGAAACTCAAACAGACAATGATGATAATGACGACGGAAAAGGTGACAAGGATGGACTCAATGCTGGTGTTAAGTCCATGCGAATAGGTTAGGAGAGAATAAAAGGTCCCGATGAGAACTGTAGACGGTTGGAGATGAAATTGTAGATGAATCAGGTGGAATAAAATTGATATAATAGGTATGGTTTGGGCCATTTGCGAGATTGTTGATGTAGAGCTACTCGTGGTGCTGTTTATTTGGCAAAAGGAATAAAATAAATTGAAAGAGACAGAAATAATCTCGTATAGAGAGATTTTGACCTCCTTGAATACAGTAGAGCTGTAGACTAGCTTGAACCCAGAACACAGACAGTAGATAAATATTTAGATGAAGACAGAAATATGTAGACCATACTGAATCGATTCTTTCAATACTGGCGTATCTGCAACCAACCAACGTATCTGTTCCAGGCAACTGACATATCTGTTGACAAAATCTGCAATCAGTTCTTCACAATATCCTGCCTTAAACTCCAATAGATACACCAGTGCTTGGAATAACCTACATTGGATGGAACATCACAGTTTGAAGCGTGACTTGTATCAAATCTTTCACTATCCTATAAGGTCCACCAGCTTAATTTACGGATGATACTCGTAGAAGGAGTATATTTACCTCGACAATGGCTGCGAAAAGCACCAGCTGGTTGGCCATAAATATGCTGGATGAGCCGATGGTCCAGCTCGTAGCGAAATACTGGCAGTGAATACAATGCTGCCTTTCAGGGGAATGTCCTAGCGAATTTACAGAACATCTATCAGCTCATGTATCTAGTCCTATGAGTGGCACACTTAGTGTGCGTGCTATCGGAAGGCACTAGCACGAGGCCCCGCGAGAAGGCTCGCTATTCCGCGATATGGCCCACAAAACTAGCGAGGTGGCGTCCCTAAATCCTCAATTCTCTCGCTGGAATGCGAAATTCCCCCCACCTTTTTCTCACATTTGACGCCACCATTCTTACAACCATCACCACCATGTCCTTCCAGCTTAGCGCAACGTTAGTCGGCCACGAGCAGGACGTCAGAAGTGTCGCCAGTGCTGGTCCCAATGCCCTCGTATCCACACTGAGAGACGGAACAGTAAGGGTGTGGAAAGCAACCAACGGTGGCTGGAAGTCTTCGTACGACGCCATCATTGCCTTCAATTCTCCCACCAAAACATTCATCAACTCGTTGGCATACGTGCAATTGCCTGGCGAGTCATTGATTGCCAACGCTGGCCAGGATACCATGATCTACTTGTCTGATTTAGACGCTCCTATTGAAGACACAGGAAAGTACCAGTTGATTGGCCACGAAGCCAATGTGTGCTCATTGAGCTTTGGCCACCACGAGTTGATCTCGGGCTCGTGGGATGCCACAGCAAGGGTCTGGGACCTTGAAAGCTTTGCCACCAAATATACCCTCCAGGGCCACCAGTCGTCCGTGTGGGACGTCAAAGTGCTCTCTGAAGGCAGATACTTGACCTGTTCAGCCGACAGAACCATACGTGTGTGGGATGGCAAGCACGAGATTGCTCAGTTCACGGGCCACAGTGACGTGGTCAGAAAATTGTTGGTGTTCCCTGACGGAAAACGGTTTGCTTCGGCTTCTAACGACGGTACCATCAAAATCTGGGACTTGGGCACAGGTCAGGTATTGCAGACGCTATCAGGCCATCTGTCGTTTGTCTACGACGTCGCTTTGTTGCCCAATGGCGATTTGGTGTCCACAGGAGAGGACAGAACCATCCGTATCTGGAGAAATGGCGTGGCCATCCAGGTGATCACTTTGCCGTGCATTTCCGTGTGGTGTGTTGCCGTGTTGGATAATGGTGATATAGCTGTGGGGAGCTCCGACAATTTGGTCCGTGTTTTCACGAGGGAGGAGGCTAGAGTTGCTCCTGCTGAGGAACTCTTGCAATTAAAGGAAGAGGTCCAGGCCTCCAGCATAGCTGAGCAGTCCTTGGATGACTTGAAAAAAACTGACATTCCTGGCTACGACGCTTTGAAAGTCCCAGGAAAGCAGGAAGGTGCTACTCTCATGGTCAAATCTCCTGAAGGAGTCATTGAGGCTCACCAATGGTCAGGAGGTGAGTGGATCAAGATTGGAGACGTTGTGGGCTCAAGCCATTCCAAGGAGAAGAAGGTATACGATGGAAAGGAGTATGATTACGTTTTCGATGTGGATGTAAAGGACGGAGTCCCCCCTCTCAAGTTGCCTTACAATACCAACGAAAACCCCTACATCGCAGCAGAGCGATTTTTGGCCGCAAATGAGCTTCCATCTTCCTATACTGACGAGGTAGTGAGATTTATCAATAAGAATACAGAAGGATTCGAATTGCAAACAGCCGAGCCTGCACCCAACCCTTACGCCGATTCAGAGCAAAAATCCAAACCAGCAGTCCAGTCTACAGCTCTCCATGTTATCCCCGAAAAAACATATATCACTTTCAAAGATTACAAGACGGTACTGCTCACAAAAGGGTTGACTCTTCTCAATCAAAAACAGGAAGTGTCTCTCCAATTCCTTTCAATCGAAATTGAAACCGTGAGCAGAAATCTCGACAACCTTAATTCCAAGAATGCCATGGAGTTAATTACTCAGTTTGTTCCACGTATTATCAACGATTGGAAACCAGAAACAAGACTCATCGGTTACGATATTTTAAGAGTGAGTATTCCCCGTATCACCGCAGTGGACATATTGAAGTCGACCGAAGGTGCAGAAGTCATTTTCAAAGCGTTCAGCAGCCCAGCAGATGTGGTTGATGAGTCTTTCCTTCCACTTCTTATGTTACAGCTCAAGACGTTGAGCAACTTGGTTGAAAACGTTCTTTTCGTGCAAGTTTATGTCGACCCCACCAATGATGGCCAATATCAGTACAACCTGTACTTCAAGGAATTATTGAATGGATTGGCCAAGCAGGTTCGCCAGAGCTCTCAAGTGGCTAAGCAAAGTAAGCACTATAACACTACTACCACTGCAGTGGCTACTTTGGCGTATAATTTATCGGCGTTGCACCTTCGTACCTCCAACTTCAATGCTTATCCCGAAGCCGCGGAACCGGTGACCAGATTCTTGGCTGATGTTGGAGAGGTAGTAATCGATTCTAACCCCGAGGCTGCCTATAGATTAGCTGTGGCTTATGGTAATTTCAAGTATTTAAAGGTGCCTGTTGCTGCACCTTCGTGGTTGAATAAGGCTACCAGCATCGAGGAAGAGCGGTTCGTTAAGTTGGCTAGCGATATTCTCAACTTATGATTCTAGCTCTAACAGGTGATTTGCATCGACGTTCAGACAAGAACGAGAAATGTATCAGGTAATTATAATTTTTAGAAGCAGCTATATCACTAGATAGAATACCATCATACTAGAGATTGTTAAAGGGAGTATTAAGAGATCGAGATCGAAAATGGTCTTCCTCGAAATACAAATAATATAGATAAAAAGCATTTTGGAAACTGCATTCCATATTATTCTAGTATTGGTATCCACAAAGATATGTTGATAGAGAACGTTGTAATGAATGTATTAAATTAGTGGTAGACTCTTGGGCGTACTACTTAACACGGGAATATTAATGCCTGGTATTATTGAGTCTCTATTCTTTGGTACATGACCGAGATTGGTATTTTCTGAGTATATTGTTAGTCTCTTCAATACAACCCAATTTCTCTATTTTTCACATTCCGATAAAAGCTATGAGTACGATTTTCCAAACATCTATCACTTTCCCTCTCGTCTTCTTGCATTGTCCACAATCATTTCATATCTTAATATTCTGATTAGGTGGATCTACTTTAAAATTAGTGGCTGTTAAACAATCGGTTCCAGAAGTAGTTTATTGTAGCTAAATATATCCAATATTTATCATGGCAGTTCCAAAATAATACATAATACTCATAGTAAAGAGAGAGATACTCTTTACATGAAATCCACGGCAGAAGCCCTTACATCAGGACTGGCCAGTTGCTTGTTCCAAACAAAATCTGCATTGGCCAGCTGCCGTTGTACAGTCAGCACACCAAAAACGACGATTCAGGTGCTTCATGCCGTGTTATTCGACCACAGTCTAGGGTCCATTCTCGTCGTGGCTCTCTAGTTGTCGTAGTACAACTCAGGCACCTTGTGGGTGTAGTGCACCAACTTCTGGGCGTTTTCCAAGTTCAAGTTGTCAGACAACGGAGTCACAGTGTAAACTGACACGTTGGTGGACGTGGCACTGACCTTGCCTATGACTTCATAGTTCTTGTTGACCTCCAAGGCCTCGCCAGATTGCAAGTTCAAGTGCACTGCTCCAGTACTGATCAAGGTGGCGGTGTCTGAAGAGGCATCGTAGGAGTCACACTTGCCGATGACACGCACAATCTTGCCCTGATGGGATTCGAGGAGGGTGGAGTCGACTCTAATGTTGGTGGCATCCATGGTGTTGTAGACGCGTTGGTGGTTGATGAATCGCGTGTGGAAGAATTAAGATGGATGGCGGTCGGTACAGTGCGAGGATAGTAGTTTTGGCGGTATTTGTCGCCCGTGCTAGCGAGAAATTAGTGAGGCATCACCGCGAGTCTCGCTGGAAGTTCTACGATTCTCGCTGGGGGCACTACGAGTAGATGAAGCTACAGCTCTTCGAACTTCATTAGTAACAACATCTATCGAACCAATTACTAAGTAGACTATAACCAATAATAAATTTAAATCAGTTCATCTTAGAGTAATCACAGATCTATAAATAATAGTTATAGCTGATCAACATACCAGGAAATATATATATAATATATTATAGATGTATGGATTATTTAAAGAACGAAATATTTAATCAGAGCAGACTGCTAAATTTGATGCTGCTTCTGCTAGCTGCTAGAGCCACTCTTTGGGTTGAGACTGAATGAAATCAGGTAGGGTCCTTCTGAGACTTTGAGTTATCCAAAAGAATCCTTCTATGGCTTTTAGACTAAATCTAAGTCACATTTAGGTACTTTATTATAACTCAGATGAATCAGATGAAGTCCTTCTATGGCTTTAATTTAATGAAGATATTCTTTACATTCAGATGAAATCGAATAGAAACCCTCTATGACTTTGGGTGCTAATTAAATGGTCTTTCTCTGATTTTTAACCAATGGAATTCCTCTCTCTGACTTCTAATCTGGTTGCCTTCCATGACCTCTAATCCAATGTACTGGTACTACTTGTATCACATTCGTGCGGCACGTTTGCCAATATTTATTCATGTCTATATTTCCCTCTAGCAGTTGCACAACTCATGGAGAAATTGGCCAGCCTGGCCCTTCTCCTCTGCTCTCATCAAGCTCTCTCCAATCAAGAACCCGTCGATATTCTGCTTCTTGTAGTTCTTGACGTCTTCCACCGAGGTGATCCCCGACAATGCCAACACCAACACATTGCCCTTTCTGGGCGAGTTCTTGGCTTGGTCCACCAAGGAGCTGGTGGTGTTCAAGTCCACGTCAAAGGTGGTCAAGTTTCTGTTGTTGACTCCAATGACGAGAGGCTCCAGATTGTCGCCATTGTAGGACAATTTCAACGCCTGGTCCAATTCTGGCGCATCATTGACTTCCACCAATGGTACCATGCCCAAGGAGAGCGAGTACTGGTACAACTCCTGGAGAAGATCAAAGTTGTCGAGCATCTTGACGATCAACAACACGGTGTCAGCACCAGCCAATCTGGCCTCCAAGATCTGGTACTTGGAGAAAATGAACTCCTTTCTCAAAATGGCAGGTCTGGAGTATCCGTCAGTTGTGGGGAGATCTACTACCTTCCGGATCAACGCCATGTCTTCCAACGAGCCTTTGAACCAGGTAGGCTCGGTCAATACCGAGATGGTGGAGCATCCGTGCGAGGCGTAGGTCAATGCTTGCTTGACGGGATGAGCTTGGATGTTGATGTCCCCCTTGGAAGGCGACGCTCTCTTGAACTCCGACAAGATGATAGTGCTGCCACTGGCGCTGGTGCTGGTCAATCTGTCGTAGAAGTTGATCAATGGAGGAGCCACTCCCAACGAGTGGGTCACTTCCAACAGTTCGAACGACTTGCCTGGCAACGCCTCAATGGCCTCGTAGTCCTTACGGCGCTGGTTGTAGATCTTGGTCAAGATGTTTTCCTTTTTGGCGGGTGCAGTCACTTCTACGTCCCAGTATGCTCCATTGACTGCCAACAAGTTGTCGACCATCATCTGGCCCGACTCCGTCAAGATAGACTCTGGGTGGAACTGCACACCTTCGATGGCGTACTTCTTGTGTCTGACTCCCATGATAATTTCTGGCGACGTTTCGGTGGTGGCAGTCACTTCCAAGTCTGGGGGAAGTGTCAGGAAACTGCCCGCTAACGAGTGGTAACGAGTCACGGCCACAGACTGCGGCACGTTGGCGAACATACCCTTGCCGTCGTGCTTGATGAGAGTGGTCTTTCCGTGGACGATTTCGCCTGCAAACAGAACTTTGCCGCCAAACACTTCAAAGATGCACTGCAAGCCCATACACACGCCAAAAATAGGGAGTTTGCCCTTGAAGTGGTCGATGGCGGCTCTTGACACTCCCGAGTCGCTCTCAGGGTGGCCTGGGCCTGGGGAAATGAAGAGCACGTCGGGTTTGATGACATTTTCAATGGTGTCGATGTCTATTTCGTCGTTCCGGTACACGTCGACCTTTCCACACAAAGGCGACTGGTGGAGGTACTGGTAGAGGTTCCAGGTGAACGAGTCGTAGTTATCGATCATAAGCACATGCTTCTTGGTGGCCATGGCGGAGAGTGGTAGTGGTGAAGGTATTATGGCGAGGACGATTATATGGTTGACTCATCGGTCCTGCACAGTAGTGGGTGCGAATCGGTGAGTGTCATGGGTGAAGTATGAATGGCGTTAGGAGATGGAGAGGGGGTCGATAGATTGTTGGCATTGTAATCTGACGAATCTTTGGCCATTGGTTCTAAGGTGATAGAATAAATTTTGATTTAAAATAAATTAATAATGAGTAAAATTGGGTTTATGCCGTCTGGTGTCTATGAGAATATTATTGCATGAGAATTATATCCAGACATTTAGGTCTTACATTGAGCTGTTGGTTTCGCTAGATTAGACGAATGAAACGACTTACAGGTGTAGTGGTTGGATTTGGAGTACCACGAGTAGCAGGTGTTTTTCGCCTCCATTAGAATATTATCGCATCACTAGTGCTGAAAACCATGTCCTCTCGTTTTATCCAACTGTAGTATCGCATGATGCCCATCTACAGACTCTCATAATGTCCATTTACGTATGTACGTAATTGGAGAAACATCGGAAAATATTTGAATATTCACTAAACAAGTACGTGCTAGAATAATTAACATATAGTACGATTATTTCCATATGGTAATAATGGAACTTCTGAACTCAATTCTTCGGGTTGCCCAGTTTAAGACAGCCTATAGGAGTATAAATATTTACACCATTAATAGCAACAGGGTAGGCTCTTATTGGCATTTGGTATAATAGAATTAATAGATTTTTAACGAGGTAATTACTGCAATAAGGCTTTTTTAGACACTTTCAGGACAAGTATCGGTAGTAAAGATGTTTAGCAATATCCAAAGTGAGATAATCAACGATTACCAATACCGGTTCAATGCACTCAGCAGAATATACCGGCCATCAGTGCATACATTCATCGCTGGAACTTTGGCACGTCTGTATACGTTCGTCTATTGAATTAGTACCTGGAAAGGTTACGCATGCTATAAATTTGAAACGGTCCTCAGGACACTTTCGGTTGGCTAGATATAGTTTGCCAAACATGACAGCTCTTGCTAGAAAAATCCCTGCGGCTTGTTTCTCGTGCTCCTGCCTTTAATATTAACCATTTATTGTTCTGTAATTATAGTTGTGAGTGAGTAAAACACCACTCTTTTTATTTTCCTTGCTGATGAAACATCTATTGGTTCTTTTTCAGTCTTAACCGAGAACTGATAGGGCCGTCTCGTTCAATTTCAACACCCCGTAAGATCACAGAACTGGCCAACTCCAATATCAACATGAAGAGCGACGATAAGATAGCGAGACAGTAGTTGGAGATACTAACACCAATGTCCAACCACGAACCCTCGGTCCGCACAAGGAAGAAGAAGTTGAGCGATAAGAAGTCACTGGTCGAAATGATCAAGGTGGAAATTGTGAACTTGCGGATCTCCAACTGGTGACTCATAATTCCTAGGCAGGTAGATAACAACACGTATGGAATGATCAATTTAAGCATCAACAAAGCTCCCATAGGGAAAGGATCAAAGATTGGGATTAACCGGTAGACTGAGTCGAGTGAAAAGGATGAGATGGATGCAACATTACCAGTTCCAAAGAATGCAACTTGTAAGAAGAAAAATCCCACAATACTGATTCTGATAACTTGGAGCCAGTATCCGGGAGGTAACTGACCGGTCTTAGCCTGCGCAGTAGTAATATCCTGGTGTGAGAACTTGAGGGCCTGCTCCACAAATAACCACTGCAATAATACCAAAGAGAATCCATTGTAGAAAAGCGATTCAAATGAAATCGTCAAAATAACGAAAGTTGGTGCAAAAGTGAGGAATACTATAAGTAAACGGAGTTGGTAGTCAGATGATGGATAAACTGAGTGGAGAGCTGGCCAGACAATTAAGGAGACCACAAAAGTAACCCATCCCAAGATTTGTGAATGCAAAGGTAAACCCTCTCTAGCCTGTAAGGACAATACTGAAACATTGGTAGCATACAAAATAACCGGAATTGATACGATCTGAGCAACTATCAATGCTTTTTGAGTACTAGTAATGGATCTTTGGAACACTTTTTGTGCGGAAATAGTTGCAATAAGGATGGAAATTAAAGCACCAATATTGATTTGCGTCAAACTTTCTACTTTGACTGGATCTAAGTTTGTGAAAGAACACATGAAAAGACAACTAAAGAACCATGCAATTTTTTGTAAAGTACCAAGTTTGGCTGTGTCATTCACCAAGTATGGATACAATCCAACAATGAAGAAGATGATTGAAAACATAAATCTTTGGAAAAATCCGTATGCAATTCCTTCATACATTCCGATAAATGAAACAACAATTAAAAGCTTAGTTCCAATGGAAACACCGTGCAAGAATTGGTCCAATCCTGACAAGAAATATCTCTTTTCGTCAAGAATAGTATACCAGAAGTATAATGGAAATAAGGTGTACATATAGTAGTTGAATGGGGAGCCCTGGTAGAACAACACATAGTTCAAGCTGACAGCTAATGCTGCAAAACTACCAATAAGAAACACTGATGGAGAGCGCTTGTACTTTTCGGAATTCAATTCTTCTTCTGAAATGATAAACAACTTCAAAAAGATGTTAAATGCATACAAAATCCATCCAAAGAATCCAAAGGTGACAATAGTTCTCAAGAGTAACCAGTTGTAAGTTTGCAAATAAGTCAAGCCATCTAAAGCCTTCTTCATCAAGTCTTCAGATAATTCAATTGCTTCGAGTTCTGCTGCATGTCTTTCAGTTTCTCCAAGAGTACCCAATTGAATCGAGTTGATCAACACTTCGATTTCAGTCATGTACTTTTTGATGGGGACATCTTGGAATGGACTGTATGGCTTGAATTTGAATTGATGTTCGTAGACTTCTTTTTCCTTCACGTTGTACTGTTCAACGATAGCTAATGCATTGGCGTATAATGCTTTGATTTTTGTGACCGAGTCGGTATCAAGATAGTTCAATGGCAATTCACCAACAGAGTTTGAAGGGTAGTTCGCCCCGATTAAGTAGGCCATCAAAGAGGCGATATCTGCCTGCTTGACGTCGTTTCTTACCAAATGATCAAATTCCCAAGTGTCAAAATAATCATGCTCGTATCCACTAATCACAGGATCTTGAGCCACTTTTTGAGCCTCTGGGTCTGGCAAGTCAGCCAACAATTTAGGCTTGTTGACACCTGCCCCCCAGGCAATCAATGGAGTTCTGGTGTTGTTGGGATGCCCATCACCGTGGGATCCGAAATCAGACATACCATGGTCTGCGGTGAACACAAACGCGGTATCTTCATCACCAAAGAATTCATGGATACGTGGAATCAATTTTTCCAATTTTTGATCAATGTACTCAATATTCTCGTAGTATTCCGCGGAGTAAGGTCTGTAGGCGTGGCCAGCGGTGTCAGGGCCCAAAAGATGGAGGAAGAACACGTTTCCTTGTTCGTGCAACTCGTCGTGCAAGGTCTTGTTAGTAGTCAGGTTTGCCATGAGTTCGTCGAAGTGCTTGAACACGAACGCGTCCAACTCGATCGAACTCTGGGTGAAGTCTTCAAACTCGTGTCCGTACATGCACACATCGATTCTGCCTGGGACTACACCGTCACCGTAGGCGAACATTGGCAAGATATCAGGAGACCCAAACGAGTAGGTGTGTTTGGACTGGTTGAAGAAGGAGTCAAAGTCCACAGGGTTCTCTTTCCACCCCTTTGTCACGGCCGACACGTCCTCGTAGAACCCAGCGATCATGGCCACATGGCCAGGTCTGGACTCGGTGGGCATTCTGGTATTGGAAATTCCCCAGGTACCCTGCTCCAACGCCAAACTACGTAAGTAGGGCGCCAAGTACTTGGTCTCGCCAGTTCTGGGGTGCTTGAGCTTCTGGAACGTCTTGTCTGCTCTCAAACCGTCTCCAACAATGAGAAAGAGTCTCTTTGCTGGAGGCTTGGTGGTGGACACATGGTGGTCCATGCCGTGGACGAGCGGCAGTACGAAGTAAATGTCGAAGATGGACCATAGGTAGAAAAAGTGGAACACGAGTCCGATGACGAGCAAGAGCTGATGGTTCCTGTTCATGGTTGTGGAGGAGTGATGGACTGTGGAGTATTGAGACGTGCGATGAAGTTGACAACAACGCGGTAACCGGTAGGGTCGCGACACGAGTAGGCCGCGGGGGATATGGTTGGGGGCGTGGGCACATCGGTATGGAAGCAGATAGTATAGACTGTAGAAGTGTGAAGTCGCTAGTAGTGACAAGTATGAAGCTGCTGATAGCGACAGGTGTGTAGTTGAAAGTAGAGATTCTTCACTTCATTGGTCATCATCATAACGTCCTGATGCCTCAGTAAGTTGGTGCAATATATGAGCCAGGGTGTTTGTTGGTATGCATGGGATGGGTGTGTGAGCATTATCGGAGTATTCTATCATAACAGTCTTAGATATAGTGGGAAAGACCATTATCGAGTGATATTCGATGGCAGTCATCGACACATGTGAATTCCTTGACGTTAGCATGAAGATTGTTGTTTCTATTGAGAGACTCACGGCTTAATTTAATCGAAAGCGGTATCGGTTTCGGGTTTCAGGTAAGGGTTTTGACGGATGGGAAAGTCGGGTCTGGGGGTTTGAAAGGATTCGAAGGCCCGGTGGTTTGGAGTAATTGGGAGGGCCTGGTACGGTCTGAAGGGCGATTGGTAGTAATGCGATGTCTTGTCTGTAGCGCCAATGGTCTCTCGGCTAGAGTTTAATATACCAGCAAATACGCCAAAATGGCTCGATAGTATGTGATCCTCTTCTGAGTTAATTTCGGGAAATCTTCGCTGTTTGTGAGCTGCTGATGGCTATGGTGTTGGAAATTGAGTGCCGCCGTGGTTTTTGCAGCAATTACAATCAACTTGGTCGTAGAACCAACTGAGAGAAAAGTAAGTTGTAGCAGTACGAAGTTGATCTTATGAAGTGGCAAGTAGGGGGCTTATTAGTAGTGACGATGTAGAGAGGTGACATCAGCAACTACTGGTAAATCTGATAAAGAACCATAATTTTTTGTGCGATTATTCACCAGGAGTTTGGAGTAGCTGGAATGACAATAGCACCAGAAAATAACAGGTGTAGCTAACGGATAAAGTGTGCTAGAGGCTCATGCTGCTGAAGTAAGGATGTTTCTACCTTCCAGTGGTGATGGGGGATTTAGATATAATTTTTTGAGATTTCTGGTAGTTGGGACCTTGGATTGGTGCAAATGGTAGAAATGATAGGGTTTTGGCTTGGAATTAAATGAAATAAATCTACATCTCTTGAATGAACTGGATAAAATTACTAACATTCACTAAATAGAATAAATTACTGTATTTAAAGAACTAATTATATTTTTCCAGTTACAGGAGTTATTGTATGGACTTTCTTTTCACTCACTAGGCTCTTTCCATGAGATGTGTATATTCGTATGAACTCATATGGTAACTAGCTCCATTTCCTGGAGAACTTAGCACCTTTCGAACATAATATTCATAGCACGGACTACGGCATCGATGTAACTCCTCTGAACTATTCAACTGATAGTAATTGGCAAGTATATCCAGGTCTACCCATTATGGACAATTTGGTTAACAATTGCTGCGCTTACAGGTGATAAATTACCTTCTATCAATCCCTCATTACTATATCATTATTTAAGGCCATGAGCCTAGTCATCCTTGAACAACTTCGCCACCAGCATCCACCGGCAATTTTGTTTGTAAATGTTCATGGTATCATTGTATAGCCGTTGCAGCTCGGCAACAACAGTCAACACCTCCAAATCCTTTTGCAAGCACTTCTGGTACGTATCGAAACTACCTCCTATATCTAACTTCTGCAAGTTCACTTCGTCTCGTTTAATCCGTTCCACCTGGTATTCCACAACTCTCTTCTTGTATGCAGTGAACAGAGCTCTATATTCTTCGATGCCACTGACGTATTCTAGCCATTCTTCCTTGCTTGACTCAGGGTTTAACTGCGTCTTAGGTGGAATGGGTGCAACTTCATCAAACGGAATATATGAATCATCAATGTTGTTCACAGCGTGTCCCTTAACAAATGCCTTATTTATGGGTGTGGAAAGCGTCTCTGCTTGGGCGCTGCCATCGTAATATTCATACAATTTGGGTCTTTTGCTATTGCTGGAAACACTGTCACTGATCTTTCTGCTCTTGCCAGTCTCTTTCGCTTCTGGAGAATTAGGATCTTCAGGCAAGCTGTTGAACAAATCCTTGAAATTAACCGTTTCGATATCCACGCCTAAATTCTTCTCGAGGTCATCAAACTTGAACGCGTTGTTATCATTGCTAGGCTTGAAACGCTTTCTTGCGCTCTTCGAAGGATCGTCAACACGGGTGAACGAGGTATTTGGCTTGACTGGTGTTCTTCTTGGAGACACTGATCTTCGCTTGTACGGATCGTATTTGGATCGTATGTTGACGGGATGATTGAGTAGGTCATTCAACTTGAATTTGACTTGTTCGTCGTTGAAATCTATTTCGTCTGGCTGGAAGCTGTTTTGAGAAGGGGTCTTCACTGGTTCTGCTTGGGGTTCCTTTTGGTGTATCGACTCGCTGGAAGTGTTGCCGCTAGGCTCAACATTGGAAGAAGCTTCTGGTTGGGAAGAGGATCCGTTTTGTGGTCGTCCTCTTTCAAAGCTCTCAGAGTCGTCCAGGGCCGAGTAAAAGCTATCCTCTTGGCTGCCAGCTTCATCGTCCAAGACGATGGGATCGCTGGAGTTGGAGCCTCTGGCAGAGGGTCGCTTGTGGTCCTCAGAGGAGGTCAGGTTAGCCCTTCTGGTGGCGGCCTCGGCTGTGTTCTCGTGTGAGGTCGTCAGGTTGGCTCTTCTGGTGGCCTCAGCCTTGGCCCTGTGGTAGTTCTCCTTGTTTTTCTCCATTTCTTGGGCCTCCTGCTGTTTCTGGCGACGGATGATCTCTTCAGCTCTGGCGCGTTCTAGTATCTCTTTCTTCAAGAGCTCGCTCTGGAAACGGGCTCTCTGCTCTTCGGCCTTTCGCTGGTCGTCGTCCTTGCGATGGACATGCTGGTAGAAGCCGTAGTAGCCTGAGCCTGGCTTGAACGACCCTGACGTCTGGGTGGTGTGCGAGAAGTATGAATAGGACGAGGTATGGGATGGAAACGTGCCACCACTCGTCTGGACGCCAATTTGGGCGTCGTACTGGGCCTTGGATGCTGGCGATCCGAGCACTTCGTAGGCCCTGCTGATATCGATAAACAACGCATGGTGATCCGGGTTGGGGGTTTTGTCAGGATGGTACTTGAGACTGAGTTTGCGGAAGGCCCGTTTGATCTCTTCGGGAGATGCTGTGGAGGCTAGGCCTAGCACTTGGTAGTGGTCTGGCATCGGCTCCAGCAATGGATGGTGAGTGTGTTGTTTGGCGCGGTAGTTTGGTGCGAGCTGTAGCGAGGCTAGCGAGGATTGGTAGTGGGAGGTAGTGAGGGGCAGCAGCGGTAGCGAGACTAGCGAGGATTGATAGTGTGGTGGTAACCAGAATGGTAGTAGTGAGAGGATGCTGCTGGTGCCTGCTGCTGCTGGTGGAATAGTACTGGCGGCTGAGTAGTTCCAAATGGGTGCCAGATTTGCAGCAGTCGGGCCAGAGACAGTAGTGAGAAAGAAGAGAAGAGAAGAAAGCCACCAGCTAGAATGCAGTGGCTAGTGGAGCAATGGATCAAATGAAGGTAGGGCAGTAGTAAATTGTTAGAGTTTGTAATGAACAGTGGAGAGAAATTGGCTGGTTGACCTTTCTGCCAGGAATGATCTCCAGTAAAGATGGAGTGATGGTAATTGGGAGTTAGACATCTTTTTTAATGAAGAAGTGGTGGTTAATTGGTGGTGAGAAATAATTCTCATGAAGAGGTGGGATGGTTGGTTGACGGTTAGGAAGTCCTCTCCAGTGAAGATGGTGATGGTTAATTGAAGTTAGAAATCATTTTTAATGAAGTGCTCATGTCAATTGCCATCAGCAGTATCGACTTCAGATCCAGTGGAGAGTGGTGGAGGCAATTCGTAAATCTCCAATGAAGTAAGAGTGATTGCTAAATTACAGTTGGTTTCAGTAATCATCTCCAGCGAAGAAAGTGGTACATACGTTGGCATCAGTAATCATCTCCAGTAAAGAGTGATTCCCAAATTACCGTGATCATGAGAGTGGTAGCTAAATTACATTTAATGCCAGTGATCATTTCCGATGGATGATTAATTGACCGGTTTCAGTAGCTAGGCAGAAACAGAACCGTCAGAGTTGCAAGGTTGAAAGTGGAATAGTGGGTCATGGTGCACTAACAATGAATGGGAGCAGCCAGTAGCACGACATCGCAATTGAGAGGCCGGCCACGGCAAACATGACAGTGACTCACTCACTAGCACTCAAATGGGACTGCTCTGGCATATGGTGGTGCTGCTGGATTGAAATGCTGTGAAATGTTACACTTACTGAGTATTGGGCCATGGGCCATTGAGTATCGCTGCTTTTTTGCTGCTTAATACTTGGGGCAGAATAGGATAATCACAGACACTCAAAGAATATTAGGGGCCAGGGTGACATTCACAGTTTCCACTAGTACAGCCTTATGAAAAGGGCCAAGTGGTGGGATAAGCTGCTGGAGACTGAATTTCCAAAAAACACACGAGCTAGCACACCTAGAGACGGTAGCCTCTGGCTATCTGATACCCATTTATAATGGAACAGTTTCAAGGAATAAATTACTTCAACAAACGAAAGGTTTCTACAAGTCCCAATGGCATAAATTTCCCTGATTCATTACCTTCTGGGCTTCTTTCGTCTCGCTACAAGTCTAGGCTATTTTAGCAGTCAAGACACCCTCTGGCTGGAGCACATTTAGCGAAAGAGCTTCACGGGGAGAAATTTCATAGATTGAAAGGTATTTACATATCCTGAGGCATCGTTTACATTTTCCTATGACTATTCAGTCCGGCTTTATTGTCCTTCCGCTTCCCAGGCCATTTCTGGCAATATTTCACCCGTCCAGCCCACATGCACCGCCTCAACAAACCCCCACCACACTAGGCCCAAACTCGCCCACAGTTCTTGGCACCATAGCAGCTGGCCTCCACTCCAGCCTGTACAAACTAGGCCCACAATCACATCCATTGCTTCCCGTTCTTCTCTGTCTCCATCCAACCATCTGGCATTCTCACGTGCGCTCGCTCCCTTAGCTTGATTTCCACGTCTCCAAATCTCAAGATCCACACTATCGTCACCATGGGCTTCTTTCACGCTACATCCACCGACGGCACCCATGTCTTCTACGACAACGTCTCTCAGAAGTACCTCTACTTGAGTGGCACCTCTGGAGTCGAGGTTTCCGACTCGTTGCCTGGTATTTACTCCAGATTGAACCTTGGCACCCCTGCTACCGCTATTTCGTGTATTATCGGTACCATCAAGCTCAAGATCAACAAGTACGTCATCATCGCTGACAAGCACTCCGTTACTGGTAGCGTTTTGGGGGGTGAAATCGCCAAGATCACCTCGTACAAGATCCTTCCCTTGAGCAAGAACGACTTCGCCAAGTCCAACAGCGAGGAATCGCAGTATTTGGAGTTGTTGAAGCAGCAATTGAACAATGCCACCTTGTTCTACTCCATTGGCAACAAGTACGACTTGACCAATTCCTTGCAGAGACAGTACACCACCAAGGACTTGACCTACGACAGAAGATTCTGGTGGAACGGATATTTGAGTGCCGACCTTGTCGATGCTAGGGAATTCCTCACTCCCATCATATACGGTTACTTCAAGTCCCATTCTGCCAGCTTCAATGGGCCACACTCGCTAGACTTTGCATTGTTGACCCGTCGTTCGGTCTCCAGAGCTGGAACTAGATACTTCCGTCGTGGTATTGACGAGGACGGTAACGTGGCCAACTTCAACGAAACAGAGCAAATTTTCACCACCAAGGACCAGCAGATTTTCTCGTTCTTGCAAACTAGAGGTTCCGTGCCTGTTTACTGGGGCGAAATCAACAACTTGAAGTACAAACCCAACTTGGTAATCTCTTCCCAGCCTTCTTTGGACGCCACTGCCAAGCACTTCACTGAACAAACTGAGCTCTATGGTGAGAACTTTTTGGTCAACTTGGTCAACCAAAAAGGGTATGAAAAGCCCGTGAAAGAAGCCTACGAAGCTGCCGTTGAAAACTTGCCTCCTGCCTTGGCCAAGAACGTAAAGTACATCTACTTTGATTTCCACCATGAGTGTAGAAAGATGAGATGGGACAGAATCAAGCTTTTGTTGGAGAGATTAATTGACTTGGGTTACACCAGTGACAACTACTTCCACTTTGACCTCGCTTCCCAAACTATCAGATCCACCCAAAACAAGATTGTGAGAACCAACTGTATGGATTGTTTGGACCGTACTAATGTCGTTCAATCCACACTTGCTCGTTGGGTGTTGCAGAACCAGTTGACCAGATCAGGGTATTTATCCAAGGAAAATGACACTCCATGGGAACTTTTGGACCCAAGTTTCAACTTGTTTTTCCAGAACTTCTGGGCCGACAACGCTGATGCTGTGTCGTGTGCCTACTCTGGTACCGGTGCTTTGAAGACTGACTTCACTAGAACTGGTAAGAGAACTAAGGCTGGGGCCTTAAACGACTTGGTCAACTCCATCACCAGATACTACAAGAATAACTACAAGGATGGCAGTCGTCAAGACTCGTACGACTTGTTCTTGGGGATTTACAAGCCGTTCCAAGACTCGTTGAACTCGCCGTTCGTTGACAGAAGACCTCCTTACGTCCAATTGTTGCCATACTTCATGGGAACCTCATTTTTGGTGTTCTTTGCCATCTTGCTTTATCCCAGAGGCTCCATCACCGACTTGAAGAATTTGCTTGTTCTTGGAGGCTGTCTCTTGTTCAACTTGAACAGCTTGTTGCAGTTGAACAAGAACGGGTATCAATACGTGAACTGGCCCAAGTTGAGGCAGTTGGACTACCTCAAGAAGGTTGAACTCTTTGATGGGGAAGGAAAGTTGGCAGGAATTAGGTACGAAGAGCTGGATCACTTCAGGACCGTTGGTAAGAAGAAGAATTAGTGTATAGTAACTAATAGAGATGAAAAGATAGTCAACCAGTAATTGCGTACTACTGTAACGATCACGAAAGCGTCCAAAATCTTTGACATAAACCAGAACGATAAAACCATCTGGACAGAAAACTTGGCAAACAGACAGCTTATGAAAGGGAAGTGATTGACGGTAGGAAATAAAATAATACAGCGCAAGGTAGTAGAGAAGATTAATTTGTAGAAAAGAATACAAGTGGTGGAGAGAATACAGTAGTGAGATTAAGTATAGCACAGGAGCAAAGAGAATACTTACAGTCGATTAATAACAGTATAGATATTTTAACTGCAGTAAAGAACAGTAATAAACAGAATAACAGCAGCAAAGAGAATAATTAGGGTAAAATAATTACAGTATTACAAGTGTTAAAAAACAATACAGTAATAAGTAGAATAAGACTAGAACCGCAGCAAAGAAGCAAAGAAATTAAATACGGTAGAATAATTACAGTAGTAAATAAGAATAGTCCATTAGCATAGAGAATAATTCCAATAAAATTATAGTAGTAAATAAGAGTGCATTAGCACAGAGAATAATTCCAACACATATTTACAGTAGTAAGAGTGGAATCAGAAAAGGAGGATGAGAACTTTCCACTTTTCTCTAGTGGAAATTAGTGTCTACTATTAGTGCCGTCAAGGTCGCACTGACAGTAGCATTCAGTGCTACCGCGAAAAACTATTCGCACCACCACCTCCCGCTAGCCCAGTGACATCTCGCGCCGCACCGTACCACATCCACCTCCACTCTGGCCACCACGCGATTTCATCACTGACCGCGAATTCAACATCCATCATCACTTCAGCCATGTCAGACATCTTAGAAAAGTCCTTGGACGACATCATTGGAGAGAACAAGTCCAACAAGAGAGGCTCCTCCTCCCGCAGAGGAGGGCTCGCCAGAAAGAACCCTTCGTCCAGAGTCAACAAGCCAGGCAGAGCCTCCAGACCTCCCCCCACCAGAAACCCAAGATCCTCGCCAAACTCGGGGCTTCCTCGTGAAATAGTGTCGATGGCAGGCTCCAGACCGGTGCTTAGGGTCAGAAACATCCATCCTGAGTTGAACGGTGAAGATTTGTCCAATTTGTTTGGCACCATTTCTCCCGTGGATTTTGTCAAGTTTGACAACAAGAACGACAGCATAGCCTACGTTTGCTTCCAGAGAGACAACGCCAGAAGCAATGGCGAGGCCATCGCCAAGTACGATGGTAAAAAGGCCATGGGCCAGCTTTTGGGCGTCGAGAGTGCCACCTCGTTGGCTGCTCGTATCGGAAGTCTTCCAGTCAGAAACCAACCACGCAGTGCTCCAGCTCGGGCTCCTAAGCCAGCTAAGCCAAAGAGAGCCAAGCCTGTTAAGAAGAGTGCCGACGACTTGGACAACGAGTTGGAAGCCTACATGAACGCCAATGGTGGAGCAACTGGTGCAAGCGAACCTGTGCAAACCCAGCCTGTTGGCGAAGTAGCTTCCAGCGAAAATGGAGCTACCAATAACGGAGCGAACGAAGGAGACGATGACATGAACGTGGATTAGGTCAGCAGTCTGGTGAAGGTCGACTTAGGAATGAGTAACTGAATATTCACCACGAAACAGTGCGACAAAACTTAAACATCACTAATAAGGAGGCGAGCCATGTATGCCATGGATCGACTATGTATCACTAATAAACACTGGCGAAGCCATCATAGCAAATGTATTGGTTGCGGTTTTCTCGGTGGATTTCTTGGGAGGTAACTATGGATTAACATCCATTTGTTGGATGAATCTATGGGATATCGTCCGCTGTTAACATCTAAATATTTAGAAAATAAAGCTTGATCTGTATAATTAAACAATGTGTTACGAAAGTCTACTGTGTGGATTATTTTCCATACTTATGTTTTTGGATTATTGTCCACAATCCATTAGATACAAGTTCCACTTGAAATACTACGAAAAAAATAAACAATATATGCATTAAATGTCCTTGTTTAATTAACTTTAATGTCAGCTAGAAGAGCTCAATTCGACAATCAGCAAGTAGAGGTCCTTGGTTCTCTTTCTCCAGGTCTTACCCCAATACAATGTAGGGATAATCATGGCAATCGACACGAAACTGATCACGGCCAAAACAATGTAGGTGCTCTCAGTACCTGCAGAATCCAACCAGAGAGAGCACACGAAAGTGAAAATACAGGCCAAGGTGTTGTTGATGATGGAAACACAAACCATTCCTTGGATGACAATTTCAGGGTACGAATCCATCAAATACGACATGGCGGTGTCACCAATGGAACCCCAGCCAAACCCAATGAATCCCAAGCCCACGTAAATCGCTTGCCATGGCCAGTTTCTGGCAGCACCCACACCAAACATGATCAAGCCTAATGGCGAAATAATCAAAGTGATGAACAATAACCAAAGTCTGTACTCTGGCTCCAAGATTCCCGAGTTGCGCTTGGCCATCCAGAGCACATGCTTGTCGGAAAGAATACCGGAGACGAAACATCCAATTACAGCACCAATCAAAGTTGCAACATTCATGATAGCAACTCCCTTACCCGAGTAGTTCCAAGGTTCTTCGGAAAAGTAAGTGTCTTGAGTAGTCAAAAAGAATGTCATGTAGGCGTCCTGTAAACCCCACAAAATACCGGAAAGCCACACGGCTGGGAGGGTGAACACCTTGAAGTACAAAAAGAATCTTCTAATGTACTGTTTGAAACCATAGCCCTCCAAGTAGGATGCAGGGGTAATAAGGGCCATTCTTTGGAAGTATGACCATGGCTTCTCGCTTTCAGCGGATGGCTGAAGCTCGTTATCTTGAGGAAAGCTGAAGGACTCGGTGGTTTTGACCACCTCTGGCTCGTTCTTCTCTTCTTTGGATTCCTCGATTTCAGGGGTATCATTAATAGCTTGAGAACCGTCATATACAACTGAATATTTGGATCTGTCAAAAACAGTTTCCTCACATGTGAAAATAACCAAAATTAAGGTGGCACCACAAATGATGGCACCCCACCATCCAACCCATCTAAAGGATTGGTCTTCCGAGATAATATGGGCGATCAAAGGACCCAAAAAAGACCCTACCGAGGTGGCCATGATATAGAGGGTCAAGGCAGAACCCAACTGATGCTGGAAAAAGATATCGGAGAGTGATTGTTGGACTTGCGCCTCGGCACAGGCCTCGGAGATCCCCACGAACGCTTGCGACCAGATGGTGTCTGCAGTTTTTCTAGAAACGGCGAACCAGACGGACCCAAGACACCCAGAAAGAACACAGAGGATGTAGGTGATTCTTCTGCCGTACAAGGACGAGGCAGGGGCAAAAACGATACAGGACCACCCGATGAACAAGAAGAGAACACCGGCACCGGTGTTCATAGCGTCGTAGGAGATGCCGTAGGTCTCATTTAAGGAGTCCTGGGCCGCACCGGCATCGTTGGAGATGGCTGCAGTGAGGGCAGTGATGAAGCACAAGAAGATGAAGTGCCAGCCCTTGCGGAAGTACGACCAGTTCAAAGGGTCGTTGGGACTGTCACAGGGTTGGGGCAACAAGATGATGCCCTTGCTGTTCTTTTTCAAGGGACGGGAGGTGTTGGAGGTGTCGATGGACGAGTTGTCGGGAGACACGAAGATTTTGGTGGTTCCAGGGATGAAGTCTTCCCCGTAACGGTTTTCACAGGAGTCGGACATGACGTTCTTTTTAGTTAGTTTGCGGGAGTCAGCAGCACATAATACGGAGGGAACAGGGTAGCACTTCGGCGAAGGGCTTCAAAACGGCTAGAAACTAGTGGATACTAGAAGTAGCGAGACTAGAAGACTAGTGGGACTAGAAGACTAGCGGGGAAGGGAGGCTAGCGGGAGGTGCTAGCGGGACTAGAGAGTAGTAAAGGGCTAGAAGAGTGTTCTAGCACGGATATCTGAATGAGGTGCAAGGCTAGAAAGATGCTCTAGCAAAAAAGACCAGATAAGGACTAACGGAGCCACGAAAGTTAGCAGAAAAAGCGACGAGTTAGCAGAAAACGCAGCAGCAGAAGGCACTAAGACTGGGCACGAGACTGACGACTGGCAGAAGAGCGACGACTAACAGAAGACCAACGAGTAGGAGTAGCGATGGATTAATTTGTGCCGATCTTGGTTGCCAAAACGATAATGATGAGATTTTTTTTTGGGCGCGCCACGCCCAGCACCCTTCCGCGATAGACAGCCAAACTAACCGCTGCAAAACCAACCCTTACTACTAACACCATGGACGTCTCGGGGTTGGACCAGAACTCGTTGCTCACGTGGTGCGATGACCTCCACCAGGTCAAGAGCAACGTCTCGCAAGTGCAAGCCACGCTCAATCTGATCTTGCTCAAGACGCCTACCGCCAGCGACTACCGGCAGTTACTGGCGATGTTGGAGACGGTTCCCGAGTCCACGGTGGCAGAACGGGCACGGCAGTTGCTCGCCACGCCCCAGGTCAAGGTCGGAGTGCGGCTCAAGCAGCTCTACGACGAGGGAGTGCTTCCGTTGTTGGTGGCGTTGGCAAGAATCAACTTCAAGGCAGCAAAAACAGACAAGTACGTGGGGTACCTCCTCGACTACACGCCAGACGAGATGCTGGTGGTGCTCGGGGACGAGGCCGGTGGTGGCAAGGCGCAGGAGCCGGCGCTGGAGCTGAAACCGGACCTGGAGTCGTACCCTCCCGTGCTCCCACCCATCGCCAACGACTCGCTCCTCATCCGCGTCCTCACTGACAAGTCGTACCGCCACCCGCTGGACTTGTTGGGGCTGGTCAACTTCTCGCGAGCCCACAACGCCAAATTGGCTGTTAAAGGCTCTGCTGCAGTGGAGCTGGCGGTGTTGGACCACTTGGACGACACCTTCCCCCATCTCGACGAGCACGAGCTCTACGTGATGGCCCACCGCGCCATGGCCCCCGAGATCTTGGCCAAATTTGCATTGGGCTACAACTTGATCGATAACTACAAGTACCACTTGTCCAAAGACATCTCGTGGGCCCAGAAAATCCGCCTCTTTGCCAACGTTTTTTTGGCCTACGTGGCAGGCTTGGCTGAGGACGGCTACTCGGCCGTCGAGATCAAGACCTGGCTCCGCCGCCTCTACCAGCCGGTGCTCACGGACCTTGGTGTGCTGGCTCCACCCCAGCCCGTGGCCGTCGTGGCTATGAAGCAGTTGGAATTGCTCTTCAAGCAGGTCACCAGTCTTTACAACGTCCAACCCGACAAACTAGCAGTGGAGTTCGTCCAGCTCGAGCTGGACCCGTTTGTGGCCCAGCTCCAGATCAACGGCAAGTCCTACACTTTGGGCACCAGCAGCACCAGCTTCGACGACGCCAAAGAGAAGGCAGCAGCCGCTCTTTTTGCAGACCAGAACAAGGTCAAGTCCATGATGGAGACTTTGATCAACGGATACAGCTCCACCATCAAGGCCCAGCCCGATCCCCACCAAGCGGCCCCTGCTTCAGTACAAATGGCTGCGAATATGTACCAGGACCACGGCGGTGCGGGCTCCAAGCCCGCTGGCCCTGCGGCTCTGGCTCCCACACCACAGCCCTACAGTGCCTTTCCACCGCAGCCGTACGGGTTGCTTCCTGATCCTAGCTTCCGGTCAGGACTCGACAACAACGCCAAAAATACATTGTATGCGCTTTTGGGACAGAAGCGCATGGCTCCAGTATACAAGTATCACCGTGCTGGCAATGAGTTCCAAGCCTCGGTGCTGGCAAATGAAACGGTGTTGGGAGTGGGATACGACATCAACAAGCGGTTGGCCAGTCAAAAGGCGGCCATGAATGCGCTCAGCAACGAAACCTTATTGGCGTCATTGGGACTGAATGGTTCGGAACAGGACCAGACCAGTACCTAGTTGTTTTCGATAACCGCGAATGGGCAGAACCGTTTGAAGACTTTTAAGACAGGATAAGCTCTTTGTTCATTTTCAGATTATAATCGAGAGGATGCCTTGTCTCATAGGAAAGTTCTTCTTTCTCATTAATAGTTACTAGCTTGGGATGCACCCAGACAAACAACTAGGTTACCGCTACACTGGTGAAGCAATTTGGCTAACTCTATCAATAGCCACACTTGGGGGTATTGAGCCATAGATAGAAACCCATGCTCCAAACAAAAGTATGATAGTACTAATCATTTTTGGCTTACATCATAAATAAAGTCATTGGTCGTCTCAACGATCGCAGCAAGGTGAATTATGATTCATCTTGCACCCCTTCATAGGACGGTGACATTTGGCACCACTTGTAGAATATAGCATAATAAAATCGGTACATACTTGAAGACAGGCGGTTGTAGTTTTTAAACCTTCAATTCAATAGACAGCAGGCATTTAGATCCAAAACTATCACGAATAGAGTAATACAATTTTTTAAAGGTGATGAACCCCCTCTGAGAATCTACTCTGTAATAAGTAAGTGACTGTCGAGTGCCAGTCAGTTTGTTGAGGCTAAAACAAATTGGTACTGGAGAAAACAGTTGCAGATAGATGTTACGGAATTATTGTATATAGTATTCTAAATTAATTACTCGAGCCATATTAAAATGTGAATTTTTTGGATTGTTAATTGTTCTAAAATTCTTGTGCTGGTACAAAGACATCCTCACTGCCATACTCTGAAAATGGAGATTAATAGTAAATAATGTTCATGGACCTTAGGTCACAATAGACATATGCAGTATTTCTACTATATTCACCTAAGATTTCGAATTGAAGGGTTGACATCTCTAGCAGAATCAAATCAAGCGCTAGCAGGTCACCTGAAACTAATAAGATCATCTCCAACTGGATATGCATACTATGTCATTCTTGAGGCGAAGAGTTGGTTTCTCTCCCTGTTTAAAAGAATTCAGATTATAAGCTTCGATAATCATAAAGCACAAAATGTTAAAATAATCCCAACGGTCTATTGGTATATCCTTTAATAATTAATCTAGTTGGGGTCCTTATTAGCTGCACTCGGAACCCTGAACTCACGTGAAAATGCAATTTCCGGGTACCATGGTCAGTCGCCAGGTTCAATCGCTTACCCCTGTAAATAACACTCACAAACTACTCAGAATGAAGGTATGATATCAGTGGAGCCTATACGAGGCTACCCTAGAAATCTAGTTGCTTCAGAACAATTTCGTGGCCACAAATGGTCAAAATAGATTGGGGTTCACGTGATTTCTGGATTTCAAATCACTCTTGCTCTACTTAAACTTCTATTCCTATCTTTAGGACTTGGCGCTCATTCCGCCCCTCGTAGTGCTAATAGACCCATCGCCTCATGCCAGGTTAAATTATTCCTTGGAACATCCTGACTACAGGCTTCGAATAGGTATTATTATGGGCACTGTTGGCCATAATTGTGGTACGGACTAATTAGGAAATTCATGAAGGAACCCGACTGGCAATAGGGTACCATATAAAATACGGGCAATCATGGCCATTTTTGCAGCTATGAACCGACAGTTGAAGCAATTAGCATTGGTTCATGAGTTCTTTAAAGACTGACTGATGTGCAACTAAGAATTACCGGCAGCTATGACTAGGTCTGGTAATGATTAGGTAACGTTCTAATGGTTCAAGTATTCATGGTTGAGGCTTCTTTTCTTTATTCGTTCCAAGTGGTCCTCCTTTACCTTTTATTCTAGTATTAGTTAGTTTTGAAACTTTATCGTATAATTCTAGTGCTATTTCTTTTGGCCCACGTTTATCAGCTACGTGCACATCCACATAAATTACAGTAGCCATGGCCATTCTATATTTGATGCGCAAGATACCACGGCTAATGGGGAAAGAATCACTAGCTACAAGCGGATAGCCAAAGCACGGATTTATGAATTTGCCTCAATTCACGTCCAATATCAATTCATGGATGTTAGCTAGAACTATTGGCCAAGTGCAAATTTAGTAAACCGCCAGAAATTGGCTCTGGCGGGCAATCAGCGTCCCTTCGTGGCCATGCTCTATTAAGTACCACCACTAGAAATTGCTACCTCTTCACTACAGTCGAAAAGACCAAAAAAAACCATCATGCCTGCTGTAACGGTAAAATAAAATATGACAAAATGCCAGTAGTATTAATGATTTCACCAATTAACCAATCCATGGCAATACATAACCGACTGGCACTAAAGTACAAAATCAATTACTAGTAGCAATTGCTAAGCTCTTCACCACAGTCGAATTAATTATTCATGCCTGCCGTAACGGTGAAATTAAAATATGACAAAATGCCAGTAGTATTAATGATTTCACCAATTATCCAATTCATGGCCATACATAACCGACTGGCACTAAATCAATTACTAGTAGCAATCGCAAAGCCCACCCAGTGTCTACGATTGATGGCCTTTTAAACCCACTGGCACCAAACCAAATTAAAAATTACGACTAGCCACCGTGAAGCACGAATCATAAACCCGTATCATCCACCGCAATCAAGAATTGCCACCAGAATTGCAACCTCTTACCCTTGCACCCGATCAGGGGCCCTGGCCTGCATGCCACCCGGGATGAGCTGCGACGGTGGAGGGAGCCAGTAGTACGGGCGCTTCACCCTACCACCAGATCTACCACCAGATCTACCAACACCCACCCACATTACTAACATTCTAGCCAACATCCTTACCACCATCCTTGCTGCCATAATATCTCCATACTACCACCACCACTCCCTCTCCTCCTAACCTCTTCTCTACCACTCCCCCCTCCGCCCAGCCAATCACAGCCCCCCGATTCCGTGCCCCTCCGGGTGCGCGCACCTCCGAGTTCCACCGTATACCGGACGAAAAATTTTATGGCCTCGAGCCTTAAATAACCACAAGGATCTGTTCTTTTTCCCACTACATTTCTCTCATAATGGCTGCTGACCCAAGAATCCCCGTTTTCTCCGTCAAGGACTACGCCTCCTTCGCCCTCGCTGGTGCCATCGGTTGTGGTGCCACCCACGGTGCCATGACCCCCATCGATGTGGTCAAGACCAGAATCCAGTTGGAACCAGCCGTGTACAACAGAGGTATGATTGGCTCTTTCAAGCAGGTTATCGCCTCTGAAGGTGCCGGTGCCTTGTTGACCGGTTTCGGTCCTACCGTGTTGGGTTACTCCATGCAAGGTGCCTTCAAGTTCGGTGGTTACGAATTGTTCAAGAAGACCTTCATCGAGCAATTGGGTTACGACACCGCCAAGCAATACAAGAACTCTGTTTTCATCGGTTCCGCTGCTTTGGCCGAGTTCTTCGCTGACATCGCCTTGTGTCCTTTGGAAGCCACCAGAATCAGATTGGTTTCCCAGCCATCTTTCGCCAACGGTTTGGTTGGTGCCTTTGGCAGAATCTTGAAGGAAGAAGGCCCAGGCTCTTTCTACAACGGTTTCACCCCAATCTTGTTCAAGCAAATTCCATACAACATTGCTAAGTTCTTGGTTTTCGAAAGAGCTGCTGAAGCCATCTTCAAGGCCATCCCAACCCCAAAGAACGAATTGTCCTCCACTGGTTTGACCGGTGTTAACTTGCTTGCTGGTATCATTGCTGGTTGTTCCGCTGCTGTTGTCTCCCAACCTGCCGACACCTTGTTGTCCAAGGTCAACAAGACCAAGAAGGCTCCTGGTCAATCCACCATTGGTTTGTTAGCCCAATTGGCCGGTCAATTGGGTATCAGAGGCTCTTTCGCTGGTTTGCCAACCAGATTGGTTATGGTTGGTACCTTGACCTCCTTGCAATTCACCATCTACGGTTCCTTGAAGGGTGCCTTGGGCTGTCCTCCAGGTGTTGAATTGTAAGTTCCGCTGCTTATATAGATATTTATTCAATCGTCCTGTTATAGAGCACGTGGGAACGCGTGGTGTAGCCAAAGGTGTAGCTGGTATGGCTGTGAAGGCTGAGAGCAACGAGGAAGATGTGAAAACGGTTGAATTGGCTATATTCCTACTAATTTTCTAGAAGCCGGAAAGTTCTGGTTATTTTCACCCTGTGAGCTTCTTGCTGGATAACTGAGGCGTATCTTAGCAGTATGCTGTACGGCCAGTCGGCTCGGGTTTCAAGGTGAAACGCTGGAGTTTGTGGTGGATTTTCCATCGAAATTTCGAAGTGAATTTGCAGTGATATCTAGGCCATTTTTAAAGAATCAAAGGTAGAGTTTTGCAGGGTAAATAATTGAATTTTCTGTGTATTTTTGGGGGGATTTTCCAGAGTGAAACAGTGGGATTTGTGGTAGATTTGTAGTAGATTTTCGGTGATCTTCCTATGGATTTTCTATTGTTTTTCCAGTGGCCAGTGCATTTTCAGTGAATTTACCAGGGTGCAATTTTCCTGTGGGCTTTCTGATAGATTTATTCGAGAGTGGAATAGTGGATTTTTCGCCCGACTTTCCAGTGGAGGTCCCAGGCATTTCCAGTATATTTGAGTAATTTCCAGTGTGTAATTTCCAGTGATTTTAGTAAATTTACCAGCATAGCAGTTTCCGAAGGATTTACAGAAGTAAAAGTTCCAACGTGGAACGGTGTATTTTCCAGTGAACTCCAGCGATTTTCTAGTGAGTTCCCGTGAACTTCCCAGTGACATTCAAGGGGACCCAACCATTCTCCACGTGATCCTGTCCCCAAATAGTACCAGTTATAAACACGATGGGCCCCATTCTGATCTGGATGGTCACGTGCTTTTCCTGTCCCAGCCTGGACCCTGTTTTCCGGACTTGCCTGTTGTTGCTACCCCTAAGTGCCCAAATGGACGGTGTGGGGCGTCATTTAGGCCCATTCCCTCCCACTGGCGGTGCGTGGCATGAAATTGGACAACACCCACACCGCAATGGTTACCACCACATCCACAATATTGCGGTAAGGTTTCCACCCCACAAGTGGTAGGAGGGCTTGGGAGGCCCGTTGGAGGGCTTGGGAGGATTACCTGTTTGGTGGTTGTTCTCTTGTCTTAGCCTCATCCTCCGTCGTATGTCCGGGATGTCCGAAAATAGGTTCCGAATCCATCCACGATTTGCCCTTTCTGGTGCATTCTCACGCAGGTTGCTGTGTCCTGACGTGCAATTACCCTTCCCGATCAGGCTAATTTCATGGTGTAATTGCGCCGGCCGCAGTGACACAAAGCGCTCGCCCATGCCGGGATCATTCTTTGCTTTGCGGCAATGGTGAACACTGCCCACTATAAATAGGGCCCCTCCCCCTCCTGGCAGCCGATATCCAACTGCTCAATATGAATTTCGCTTCCTGGATTGCAGCTGTGCTTTTATACGTCAATTTCGCCCTCGCGTTGCCGGTAGGCAAGCGGTTCTACCAGGCCACCTCGCCTGTGTTCAGTCTCATTGCCCACCACCAGGGTAAGGAGTTCCAGTACAACTTGGTCAAGTTCAATGGCGAGGACTTGGAGTTGGGCGTCGATGAGCCTGCGTTCTTTGGCAGAATCAGAGCCAACCAGGGCTACGTGCTCAACATCCCTTTTGGGAACAGTTCCAATGGTACTTTTTCCCAGTCGCAAAACTCTTCCAACACCACCTATCCATTGAACACCAACGTGTACGTCGACAAGGCAGGCAAATTGACCACCACTGCCAACAACACCTCCTCGCGTGGCTTTGGTATTAGTGGCTCGTTGTTGACCTACCAGAACTCGACCAAATTCCTTGCGTGTCCCGTGATTGCCGCAGGTAACACCACTTTCAACGCCACCCACGCCAACTCCACTGCAGGCCGCGCCAACCGCACCTTACGCACCAACACCACCCGTCTTAACGACACGCTTGGCTACGACATTTACTTCAAGGGTAACTCGTCTGCCGCCTGTCCTTACAACCTCACCGGGTACGACATCTCGTTGTTGGTGCAGGTGTCGGCCACCGTCAACTACTCTCCCGAGACCAACACCAACAACTTCAAGAAAAGGGAGTCCAAAAGGTTCTGGTTCTTCTAGAGCGTGAAATCCCCAGCACCGGTTCTGGTCTTCACCCCGCGCAGATTCTTTCAAGCACCAACTAATACATCCATTCATCTTGAAATGACTGCGCAAAATCGAAAAACATTCCTCGGAAAGAACTCGCTTCTTCCTTCAAACTCGAAAATCATTCCTCCAGCATACATCACTCCTTATAAATAGGTCCTTTATAGACATTCAGGACAAGTCGCTCTTTCAATTCACCTCCTGGATGGATGGTTCTTCTTCTCGTTGCTATACCCTTTTCGTGCCTGGAAACGGGCTTCTTCCAGTTAGCTAGCTAACTGGCAAGATTTAATTAATGGCTGGCCACTAGGCAGAACGTTTATTCATTGTAGCTACATTTAGTGCTGGAGTATTTGAGCAGCAATGGTATCAGTAAACAGATTTACTGAAAGTACGCTGAAACTGCTCTGCTAATTACTGATTGTACCTCCACTTACACGAAGCTGGATGTAACATTGCTTGATACAAAAAAGGATAAACTTACAGTACATACGAAGCTCGTACAATTGACTTAATGCACGAAAAGATATTTATCAAATTTGTAATTCCGGGTACACCCGAAGGATGTTTAATCGGAATGACGGCTGCAGATGTCTAGCCCTGTCAACTGGCCATAATAATCTTATTTCAAGATCATTCCTGTCAATAGTACCCATTCTTTTATTTTTTTTAATTCAGTTGAACCAGTTAACTAGGGACTAATATCACCAGTACATAGCTCGCTTCAGAGATTCCCGGTTTACGGCCAATGTATAGAGCCAAGCTAACAGTATGACAGGTAGTGCTCGCTAGATCCAAGGCTTAGAGGCTGCGAAAACCACTCCGGGGCCGAAGATACCGTGACCCACTACCAAAGAGTGGAAAAAATGATCATTTTGGGATGGCGACGAAAATTGATAGCAATCGCTAGTCTCCAAAGTGGGGTTGGGTGCCACCAGTGACAGGGCGCAGTATACGACTGTATGGAGGTCATGTGAGCTCGGTACTGCTGGAAGACAATAAGTCAGTGCGCAGAATCTAGTGGACCGTTGTGAGACGGAGGTGAAACTAAATTACTGGGAGAGGGTAACAAGTTGAAGTGGAATGAAATGAACTGGAATAATCAGTGGAATAGAATTGATGTGGGTGTAGTTCAGAGTTGTGGAGAAAATGAAGAGATGGTATTATCACGAGTGGATAGTTAGAGTTGTGGAGAAAATGAAGAGATGGTATTATCACGAGTGGATAGTTAGAGTTGAAGAGTCACGGGGAATATTAATCCGTATGGTTATGATTATGCAATGGTTAGAGTAGGTCACGGGGTATGGGAATTAATTCATGTGGGTAAGATAACGAAAAGTTTAGATGTAAAACGAAAATCAGGGGCAATTAATGTGTTCACATCACCGTGATCAGTTTTCTGACTGATGGTCGTTGTACAATCAGGACACACTGGACTATCCAATCTTTTTGGGAAACAGAAAAGAGTGAAGAAAACAGAATCTTCTTGAGGACCAGTTGCAGGTACTCTATCACCAGGTAGGAATAAATGTAGATATCGGTGGGTAAGGGTCTAAATTGGTCTGGCATGTATACAATTACATATCTCGTATTTGAAATTTACTGCTTCGGGTATTAGAAGAAAATGGACTCAGCCGAGGGCCCATGTTGTCATACTATCATAACCCTGTACATAGGCGACTTTACTGGTGTGGCTGAGATCCTCTGCCATATTGTCGTGTCGTATACTAAACTATTGCTGTATATGGCAGGCACTACCGATAACTGATTATGTAACTAGGATTTCAGTTGGGCGGACAACTTACACAAAGCACCACAATGCCAGGCTACGGGTAGAACTGTTCCATCGCATATTTCAAATTAGAAACTATACATCTATTGAAGACAGGGATGATTAACATCTACGCCTGAAAGTAACCAAAAAAAATTCAGAAAACTAACATTAGAGCAGAATTGAAGGTCATAAAGTGGTTTGTTAGGAATAGATCCAGCATAATTAGTGTTTGTCGGAGTCGCTGTCCTTCTCTCCCGAGGTCACAAGGTTCTGTTCACTGTCTTGCGGCGAGAGATTGGCCAACTTTTGCTTGTGCTTGTACACGTAGTACACTCCAATGTAGATGCAAGCGGTGACGAATTCCATGGTTGCAGCCAACACGTATTCGTACACCACAAACTTGGAGTTCAAGCCGTGGGCAGTGTAGTTGGAGGAGTCAAAGTAGTCCATGTCGTGGATGTAAATTGCCAAAACCCCGAAAATACCACGGACCAAAAGGAAAGGAGCTCCAAGGAAAACGGCAATGACATGGATGTTGCTGGCAAGGCCCTCAGCCACAGCAACGTAAATGGCGGTACCGATGGCGATGCATGTTTGGGCCAAAAAAATGGCTTGACCGACGGTTCTCAACGCCTTCGAGGTAATGACCTGAGAGTTTTTGCTGTTCATGTCATTAGGGTCCATTCCCGCCAACATCGACCCACCCGCAATAAGAATGGCATTGCCTGGAATCAAAATCATGTGGAAAAGACGCGAGAAGGTGTACTCTTCTAAGCCAGCTCTAAACCTGTTGGTGTGTGCTTTCCTTCTCTCCTTGATCTCTTTCTTGGTCGGCCTCAACCACGAAGTTCCGAAGGTATCGGATTGTGCCTTAGCAACAAAATGAAAGGTGGAAAGAATAAGAATGAAGTAACCTTCAGCGGTGAATACCAAGTAAGCAACGAGCCACTGCCAGTGTTCAAACCCTACAGCAGCAAAGACCACCCCACAGAGCTGGCCAACAACACGAAAGATACCAAAGGTGACGAAAAAGAAGTACAGTGTCTTGAAACCTTCCTTTATCACAATGGTGGCAGCAAACACAAGGTAGATGGAATATAACGCTAAATAGACGGCAGCGGCCGTCCCAGAGTCTTGTGCAACGAAAGCCATGATGTTCTAATGATGTTCTTGCAACTGGGGAATCTGTGTGACTTATATAGTCGGTCTTAGATGATGGATGAGTTTGGAGTAGATACGAACTTATGAGCCCTGGTCTGCGCAGGGCGCATGGCTTCAGCAGGGCCAAAAACAAATGCGGCGCTGCCGCAGAAACGTGATGGGCCTTCAGATAAAGATCCCTAAGAGCAACCGGGCCAATAACGCGAGGGGGGAGGGGGGAGGAGGGTGTAAGATTGGTACCGACGTGGCGTATGGCGAAAACTGGGCGTGGTAGTTAGCAGGTTTGGTGGTGAATTGACTTGTAGATCTCCACCGTTGACGTGACCGTTGTGCATGTTCCGCTTACATAAGAGCGCAGTATTATCAAGGACACGCGGCAGACCCCAGATTATGTAAGCGGGTAACTCGAAATGCGGTGGGTGGAGGAAAGCCCACCCTGCTGGCGGCGCCAAACAGCCACAAAGTTTGGCTCGTGGGGCTCTGTTGATGATCTCCAGCTGCGCACTATCGATGGGGCTGAGTCTCAACGTTCGGGATAAGCTCCAAATGTAGCCATCATGGTTGTGGCAACTGGAGCACTGACCAAACTTTAAGTTGTCTGGATAAGAACGGTGATGGCGTGCAGCACACGGTGATATCACGGTAATACTGTATAAATGAATGAGCACTGAGCGGGGGAACGGATATCAAAATCATGATGTGAGCTCGGTCAAAGCCTAATTTGGCTTTAGACTCAAATGAGCGAGTTTTTCGGAGTGCTTCCGTACGGCAATGCTATTGCACACACTGATGGTTCCTTAGGATTGCCCGTTTGAGTGGTGCACCCCCGTAACTGGATCCGTAACTCTCCTCGGGGCTCAAGATCACGTGTAGGTGTGGATCCACAGGAGGGCCACCCCGTCATTGTTAGATATCCGTGACGTCGGATTACTGACTCAATCGTGGTCTGTGAATGACCCTCGGCACCGCTGGAGCTGTCCCTAGCCCACTCTGGTGATGTCCCTGTTCTCACTATCAGCTTGTGTCACGTGACCATTCCTAGATGAGATGCCAAAAAAAATTTGTAGGCTACGAGCAAACCACCAGCCATGCCAGCATACAAATCCAGTGAATACGTCAACGAGTCTGACTCGGAGGTCGAGGACGTCGAATTTCAAGCACCCAAGCATTTCTCCAAAATTTCGTCTGGTTCCAACCTCGATTTTTCAGATGAAAAGGAGATCTGGTTGATAAAAGCCCCAAAGGGATTCCCCATCAAGAACCTCAAATCTTTGCCAGTTTCTTTCACTGCCACCTCCATAAGCAACGGTCCAGAAACCTTCAAGGCTGAGCATAACAACAAGAAAGGAACCTACCAAATCAACGAAGAATTATTATCAGCCCAATCCGAGAATCGTAAGAATGCCGTGTTTGTACGTGGAAAGAAGACTTTCAAAGTATTGAAGGGGGAAGTTTCCAGATTTTATAACATCCGTGAAACCATTCTGATTCCTGAGATCGATATTGATAAGGTTGTGCAACCCAGAAAGGATGTCAAGAAGATCAAAAACTTGAGAATGAGACACTTCCCAACCGGTTACACTGCTGACGATTTTGAAGAAGCCAAGCCAAGAAACGATGAACAAGAATCTGAAGAATCCGAAGATGAAGACGAAAGAGTGGTCAAGAAGGCCAGAATAGAAGAGCCAAAGGAAAAGAAAGAGAAGAAGGAAAAGAAAGAGAAGAAGGAGAAGAAGGAGAAGAAGGAAAAGAAGGAAAAGAAAGACAAGAAAGACAAGAAAAAGGACTAAGCGATACGTCCACGGAGACAAGCGTAGTCTGGCATTTAGTGGACAAAATCCGTTCACATTCGTCAGCATGCTGAAGGTAAAGTCTCGTGTTCCGTATCTCTTTGCATTGAAGGTATGGGTGCACACAAGTAAGTGACTGTTGTATTATGGCCCCTTGTGCTTGGCCCTGCCATTTCTCCTGCCGTCTGGCCCATCTATAGACGCAAGTCGTGTACAATACAAACCATCTGTAAACCATCGCGATCCCATCGTAGTCACTGATCATTGGTTATTAATCACTGTTGCCGGAACCACCATAGCTTCGTTAAAATGGGAAGCGGAGCATCCAAGCCTAGAAAGCTTGCCAAGTCGGCGGAAACCGCAGCTAAATCCGTAAACAGAGCCACTGTTAACCAATTACCACCCAAGAGCTTGCATGCAAAGTTCGAACAGAATCACATCAATGCGGAGTTGAAGAAACATGACAATGTTGATGAAAGCATGAATCAGAACCCCACACAATCGACGTATCAGTCCAATGGGTTTGATCCCAAATTACTCAAAAAGAAGCTAAATCAGAACACTGGTCTCACGAAACCGGAACATAACCTACCCGAAGGCAAAGATGGCTTCGATCCCCACGAAGCAGGTACTTCAACTTACGACAACCAGTATGTCAGCAATATCAACAACCTTGGTAGACAGATTCATTCACACACACCTCAACATGCATCAGAACACTCGTTGGCTTTGAAACAATTAAAGCACCGTAAGGCTATATTTGAGGAGGGTGAAAAAGAAGTTCAGTCCCAGATGGATAAGAGCTCGAATGGGATTCGTACAATGGTCCATCCCCACACCTTAGGGGCTATTTTGAACGATATCCATGACAAAAGGGTGGACTCCGAGCGTATAACCTTGGACTATCAGTTACATTCTGATTTCGTGAAGGAGTTGGGAACACGGTTTAAAGTCGCAAGTAACACTGTTATTATAGAAGAGAAGACCAAGGACGACGAGTTGGGCCATAAGGTAGCCCCAGTCTCGCAGATGCGCGACGAGGGTTTGGATGGCGACGAGAGTGAACGGTACAAAAAGTTGAAAGACAGAATCAGTTTGGACTAGGCCACTGAACATAGTACTATCTTATGGTAATATTGAACCAAAGAAAGACAAAACCCCCCAGGGAAACCCATGGTTTAGAAACCGAAATTAACTGGGTTCTTTTGGTTTGAATGATAACCATATGATGAAAAATCCGTTCAGCTCCGTAATACTGGCATTAATTCAATCACACCACAAGTGATACTCTCCTAGTACTTTTTGCAATCGCTTGCTGGTACCCTCCCAATAATCACACGCACTATTCTCGCACTGTACATAGCCGATTCGGGTCTACCCCATATTTCGAATTAACCCTTCTTAATAAACCCTTGTTATATCTTGCCCCACTAACCCCATTTATCATGTCTGTCAAAGCGCTCACTACCAAAGAGGTTGTCTCTGTTTTGCGGAAGTACACTCCTTGTGACGTGTCCGACGCGTTGAACAAGTTTGGGTACGCCGATGGCGGATTCATCCCCAATCTCGTCAACCGGTCACCAGTTACCTCCCTGGCCTCTGCAGTTGGCAGGGCCTACACTGTGTTGTATGCACCAAAGCTGGATCCTCGTCCTGCTGTTAAGGAGTCATACATAGACAATGTTCCCGAAGATCTGATTGTGGTGATTGGGCTTCCCGTGGAGGCACAGACCACAAGCCATCCGTTCGTTAAGGTTAACAATGCCCTCTATGGAGGGTTGATGTCCACGCGGGCCCAGTACAGAAAGGCCAATGGGTCTGTAGTCCTTGGTCGCATTCGGGATTTGGACGAGCACAACGATCTCGGGTACCCAGTGTGGTCATACGGAGTGGGCACTTCAGCCCCAGGACCTTTAGTCAAGGTTGTTGGAATCAACGTGCCATTGGATATCAAGGTTGCTGGAATCGACAATGACCAGGTAGTAAGTATCCACCCTGAAGACTATATCGTTGCCGACAAGAACGGAGTGGTAAGAATTCCCGAGGACGCTGACTTGGCCGCAGTGTTGGAGTATATTCCCAAGCGAGTCGACGCTGACACCCATGTTAGCGAGGACATCAAGAAGGGGAAGGGAGCCACTGAGAGCCAGAAGTATTGGCGTGGTAAGATCTAGACTGCTGGTTGGATATCAGTAAGACCAGGAGTGTAATGCCGGAGAAGCCACGATATTCTTGACCTGGAATTTGCACCAAAGTTGTTAGACAATAATACAGCAATGACAAATATGAAAATCTGTAGAATCAGAATCATACCTGAAGGCTATCAATAGGTCCTCTAAAATCAAATCAAATGTAAGGCTATCAAAAGTCTCTCTCTTGGTCATCATACCTGTAAGTTACTTCTCAGTGTTTCCTCTCAAATGCATTGCCATATTCCCTCGAAATGTCATCATACCTGTAGATTATCGCCAGTAGACACTCCTACATACCTAGACCATCACCAGTTAATATTTTCAAAGGCAGTACACCTGTAGCCCTAACCTCTCAAAGCCACCACTAGACCTCTCAAAGCCATCTCTGTAGGATGGCAGCACCATCTTAATGCCATTTCCCTTTATTTCTCTACGCTACCATACCCACTTATCATTTCTGCAGACTGTTGCCAATAGATCCTCCCATCTCGTCTGTAATTCCTTCACCCGTACCTTCTCAATGGCATCACACCCCATGGGCTATTGCCAGTAAGGCCTTTCGATATCATCATACACGTTGAACTGGCAAAATACACAAGGTTTCACCAGTAGACCTCCCTCCATACCAGTAGTCACCAGCAAGGTTTCCCCAGTAGACCTCCCTCCATACTAGTAGATCACCAGTAGACCTCTCAAAGCCACCATATGGCCTCAATTGAAGCACATCACCAGTTCCTTCTCTTCATCCCTGGAGGCTATAAAAGCCATCAGCCCTGTATATCTATCGCCACTATCTCTCTAAAAGATATCATTTTGTAAGTATATCGCCAGTAACTTCTCAACACCTTCACACATATTGGATTATCGCCGAACCCTCTCAAAATACCAGCAGCTCTTCAGTTGTAGCCTTTCAAAGTCTGGCGTTATTTATTTGCTGCCATTAGCGCCTATGAAATGTTGCAATAAAGTGCTGCAAAAATCACCCCGCTCTAATATATAAATGGAGGTGGATTCCCTAAAATATTTGTGCTGCCCACAGTTAAGTACTTACAGCCTTCGTATCTGCCTTGGAAATCTTCTACGGCTTGGTGCAGCATCTCTCACGCTACAGCCACTAGCATCTACGAAAGGTTGAAGACGAATTGAGTATTGCTCTTCACCGGTGCAACTTAATCCAGCCACATTATTTCAAGCGTCTGACTCAACTGATGGTTTAGAAGCCAGAACATAATAGTCCTCGAGAAGCGCATCCACTAAAACCCAGATAGAAACTTCCACTGGCCCCTTCCAGCGTGGTTTACCAGACTCTCATTACTGCAAACTATCGCCCAGCATAGCACCATCACACGGTATCCACAGTTTTCTCAGTGCGGGCTTTGGTGGTGGGACCCCGGCGCTACTCCGAACCCTCCCTGCAGATTCCCGGTGCTACCACCACGCAGTCGGTCCTCGCACCACCCCTAGCCTACCCCACAGGAATATGTTCGCAGTGCCACCGATAACGCTTCATCCACAACACCACCATGTCAGTCCATGCCCAAGAAGTATGGAAAGATCTATCGGAACTTCGAGTGTCCTTGATCGGCAACAAGGACCTCAAGTATAAATTGGTCGGAAACGTCCTGTTCATCTCCGACTTGGTCGCCTCTTTCAACCACCTGATCCAACTAATAGCTGGCAAGGAACCATCCAATTGGTTGGAGAACCACCAGTTTTTGGGGGATCTAGAGAAGCGTGGGGTGATCCTTAAGATCCTATGTGCCTACATCACCGAGGTCAACACAGACAAGCATGCCAACGTCACCACCTGCTTGCGGTCATTGGAACTCGTGCTTGACCCTATCATCCAATTCTTGCAATACTTCGTGGGCAGATTCATCCCATTATCCTTGAATAAGTTAACATCTCCGTACGTTGAAGCCAAGATTCGTAATGTGTTGGCTTCTTCCTTAGATATAGTGTTATATCTTTCCAATATTCGCCATCATTCCATCGACGCAAAGATTGTTTCCCGTTTCATAACTAGCTTGCTTATCATTAGCGAAGACGACTTCATGCAGAAATCTAATCTCTTGTTGATCAAGCTGATGAAGTTGGTCCCACTCATTTTGACCTCCGCAGAATTAGAGAGCCAATCGACAGTCACTTTACTCACAACATTGCTCAGACGTTTGCTGAAGGAATGTACTACCATAATCAATACTCATTTCCCATCCATAACTGATAACATTGAACTATTACATCAGATATCATTTGAAGATTCAAGTCTTCCGAACATTGAACTTAACCAGAATATAATACGCACCAGAGTTAATACCTCCTTGCTTCTTGAATTGATCGTTAGCATTTGTCAAATTTTCTACGTAATGAGAGAGAACGATTTCGAAGTGACTAGGGATCATGCTAACAAATCTGATAAGTTGGGTGAGAGGTCACCAGTAGTTCTACCAGAGAATGTCTACTTATCGTTGCTTCTATTATTGAAGTATGACGACAACTTAATGAGCTTGGCCTCGCTTAATTTAATCGTGATATATCTAGACAATTTCAAACCTTCTAACAAGCAATTATTGTTTCAAAACTATAAGAAGTTGTTCCCTAGAATTATTCAAATGTTGAAATTAGAGACTGAATCACTTGAGTTGGAGTCTTCCCAGAATGATCAGGTACCTTTACCAATATATTTACTATCCTCGGGCCGGATTCTTGCGGATTTGAGTTCGAAATATCCTGTGCTTAACGATGAGCTCAAAGATGCGAATGCTGACTTCAAGATAATTGACCAAGTTCACACATTAACGAAATCGTCACAACTTTTGAAAATCCTCAAAATTCTCAAGAAGAATAGTAAGCATGGTACCTCAATGGTGGATTTTACTGTTCTTATTGGTTTATCTGATGAGGATCATGATGAAAAATTGGCGGACTTGTTATACTTATTGAGTGTTTATACTAGCTCCAACGAGACGTACAGAAGTAGAATTATCAACTTGTCATCTGACCAGCAAAAAATCAACCTTGCTTTTGCCGAGATTATATTTGAAATCATTGATGATCTCCAATTCTTGTTGAATCAAAACGAGTTAGGATACTTATTATTACGTTCTCAAAAAGTGAAGAGTGAAGACTTACCTTGGTTTAGTAAAAATTTGGGAATAATAAGATCCTTGTTGGACCAATCGCTTTACACCAATTGCTTATATTTGATCAGGTCTTTGTCTAGATCGGTAACTACTTTGCGGACGTTCTATGTCGAGTGTAATTCTTTCAAGAGTTTTATTATTAGTCCCAGTACCATTGATAATTCAGGAGGGCTCATCACCAATTTCTTACAAATTTTGAAAGCATTTGCATCATCGGATAAGATCAATCAATACTTCTACAAGTTGAGTGGGAAGAGTAACTTTAGGTCTTTGATGAAGAGCAGAAAAACTCAAATGATCAATAAGTCGATCACTATCAGTTTATTGGGTAATTTCATTCTTGATTTCAGTTCCTTTAGATACAATGTGGTCAATTATGATTCATTCTTACACAGTTTGTCATCTTTATACAAGAGTTCAGCTAGTCTGGATGACAACATACTCCTTGGTGGATCTGATGACATGGCGGTCAAGACGGAGGATGTTTACCAGAGGAATTTTGTTAAACTTAACATTATGCAAGTGATCAAAAACTTCTTATATCATGAAACAAATGAAAATAAGCAGGAACTTTTAGAGTACTTCCCTTTGGCAACATTAATAGAGAAGACATTTTATTGCCCTGAGAGAAAGTTTTCCGAGGATTCCTTTAAAAGCAATATCGAAATTCATCAATTGAAACTCAAACAAAAATTGGTAGCTTTCGATATCTTGCGAAACTTCACAGCGGGATCGCCACATTTTAATCAGATTGTGATCAACACCTACGAAGAAAGCTATTGGTTGCATCGTGAATACGAGTTGCCTAATAGCTGGGATGAATACATACAGTACACATTGGTCGACTCTGTTCCATTCACGGGGGTTGAAGGTCAATTTGATTCTGAAGAAGGATTCCTAAGGCTCCTTCTTAATGATGATTATGTTCGGATGGTGACCTCTATCAATTATATTGAGAACCACAAGTACGCTAACATCGATACAATTAGCAAGGACCAGTTCCCCAAGGACCAAACATTAAGTATCTGGTTACATTTCATGGATCTTAACATTCCTGCCAGTTTTGAAAATGCCCTTGATTTGAATGAAAGAGTGGCGTTGAACACCAATCTCAACGAGATCAAGTCTTCTGTGGTGTTCATCCTCATCAACTTGACCAGGCACACCACTTACAACGTGCACATGGACAAGGAGTTCATGCTCTTCGATAACGTGGCGGAAGCTGGCGCTGGAACTAGAAGGTTCCATAACAACCAGAGAATCATGATCGACTCCGACTCCGACAGTGAGAAGGGAGAGGAGGACACGAAACTCGCCCACGAGCCCACCACCACCATTGACTCGCTTACGGTACAAGATCGTGCCAAGTACTTGCAAGAGTTCGGATTCGGAGCGGTGTTGGTCAAGCTCATTAATCTGTACTCCAAGCAACCTGTACGTGGGTCTGGCACCAGAAGCCGCAGAGTGAGTGAAAACGGTCACAAGACGGAGGACGCTGACCATAAAGACCACGAAGTCAGAGTGATCAAACGGTTCGACATTCAGAACAGCTACGATCTATTAGAGAAGTTGAAGTCTGCCAACCAACAAATCACCGGGTTGTTGAAGGGAGGCAGGCGTCCAAGTGCACAGCGCGACGAACCAGGCCGGCCAACAAGCGAGAGTGCCAACGGCCAGGCACTAGCGGCCGCAACGGCAGTGTCGGAGCTTCCCCTGCAGGACAGGCCCGACGTCAATCGTGGCGGTGAAGGCTACGGGTACGGGTCGGACGAGGAGATGCAGGACAATGACGACGACGAGCCTAACGAGGCCGACGACGCGGAAGACGACGACGACGAAGACATGCCCCGCGAGTTCTGGGTGATGTAGCTCGCAAAGTACCAGTTCCTTCAAGATTATTGGGTGATGCCAGAGTAGTGTATGAGACGCATCTCCCAGATCTGAGGCGGCGCCCGGTGCAAGCCAACACGGGCCCTGGGCCAGGATCTGGCTACTCCAACAACCTGGTGATGACGAGCACCACCTAGCCACCAATTGCTGGGCTTACATCCCCGAGCATGTGTACTAAATCAACGCAGTTAGTCAGCATTTGTAGCCAGCCAGACCCTGCGGCACCGGGTTTACCCGACAAATGCGAGCCAACGATCTGCCACCACAAAAACGCCGGCCACCACCCGATTCGGCGACACTGTCCACCATCAAGCCATGCTTACTCCACTCCGTCGCTGTCAACGTCCACTGGCACAGTGGCCCAGTGCCCCAGTAGCCTGTCAGCCAGGCTGTCAGTTGCTATGACGTCGCTGGCAGGCGCATCCGAAATGCGTTACGCACAATCACCGTTATTTTGCCCCAACGGTGCAACGTCTGCTCCAGCCAAGACTCCCCTGGCCGCACTGGAGGCGGGTGCATAAGCCATGGCCTCGTCGTGGTGCGCCTGGCGCAGCTGCCACTGTTAGGCACTCCTGGCGCCAAGTACCTCGCGGTGGTCGCTTATACCGGTCGTGCCTGGGGCGCAAATACCGCTAGAAAAAAACTACCAAAGGATTGTGGGCCACGGCCAATCCATGCACCAACGCTGAACTGGGCTTGCTTTACTGGGACGTTGCCACATCAGCAGAACAGGTTATCAGGTCGACCAAGAACATCTGTGCTCCGCTAAATCATCCTTTCTACGGTACTATTCTACTACTATAGCTAGTGCTACTCCACTACTCCAGCTAGAACTACTCCACTACAACTACAGCAGGTAATACAGCTAGTAATACAGCTAGTACTTTTCCAGCACTACTCCAGCTAGCAACCCACTACTCCAGTACTGCTCCAGCACTACTCGAGCACTACTCCAGCACTCTTCAGCTAGCACTACTCCGGACCAACATGACTTCCATGGCCAACACCGAGCCGAGCCAGATGTCGCTCAACGAGGTCTCTCTCGAAGAGTTGGCCCAAAGACAACAGCAGCAAAACATCTACGTCAACCCTCCCGTTTTGGAAAACCAAAAAGCTTCATCGTCGCTGCACTCGTTGCAGAAGCTCAACTCCCGCCACGCCCACAGAGACACCACCACCAAGGGCAAGTACACCCTCAACGACTTCCAGATCTTGCGCACGTTGGGCACAGGGTCATTTGGACGAGTCCACTTGGCTCGTTCCATCCACAACGGGCGGTTCTACGCCATGAAAACCCTCAAGAAGGAACGAGTCATCAACATGAAGCAGGTGGAGCACACCAACGACGAGAGGCGTATGTTGAAGTTGGCCCAGCACCCGTTCATCATCCGCATGTGGGGTACCTTCCAGGACTGCCACAACCTCTTCATGATCATGGACTACATAGAGGGGGGCGAGCTCTTCTCGTTGTTGCGGAAGTCCCAACGGTTCCCCACCCCTGTGGCCAAGTTCTATGCCGCCGAGGTGTTGTTGGCCATCGAATACTTGCACAAACTCGACATCATCTACCGAGACTTGAAGCCGGAAAATATTTTGTTGGACAAGAACGGCCACATCAAGTTGACGGACTTCGGCTTCGCCAAGGAGGTGGCAGACGTCACATACACCTTGTGCGGTACTCCTGACTATATAGCCCCTGAGGTGGTGGCCACCAAGCCCTACAACAAGTCGGTGGACTGGTGGTCGTTCGGAATTTTGATTTTCGAGATGTTGACCGGCTACACCCCATTTTACGATCCTACCCCCATGAAAACCTACGAAAACATATTGAACGGCACCATCACCTATCCCGACTACTTGCCTCCAGATATCCTCGATTTATTGCAGAAATTGATCGTCAAAGACTTGACCCAGAGACTCGGAAACTTGCAGGGAGGCTCCGACGACGTCAAGAACCACCCGTGGTTCAAGGAAGTCATCTGGGAACGCTTGCTTTCCAGAGACATAGAAACACCCTACGAGCCACCCATCACCTCGGGTGTGGGAGACACCTCTCAGTTCGACAGGTACCCTGAAGATAAGGACCTCGACTACGGGATCAGTGGAGTGGACGATCCTTACGGGGACATGTTTGCTGACTTTTAGGTCATTTTCGAGACATTTCATTCCCCATGATTTGACATCGAGGGGAAGCATAAAGGGAAAAGGAAAGCTGCCACTGCGAAGCCAGTGGCGCTTGGGGTAGATTCGACGACAATAGCTTTAATGTTGGTTTCGGGCAATACAAAAGGTCTGCTCAATATAATACAAAAGATGGTATGCTCAGAAGCAATACGTTAGGGGGACTCTCAGAATTAATGCAATGGGTCGTGCTGCTCGGATAGCAATAAAATGTGTTGCTACGGTGGGATAGCAATGTTAGCAGATGGTGCTGCTCACAAAGAGTACGATTGGTAGCTATGCTTATGCCAAATTGATCTAGCCTCGAGTATCCAGAAGCTACTCCTAGTAGTGCCAATAATGGGTCGGAGGTTATTTCCCAACTTTGCGGTGTTGTTTGCAAGGATGAGGTTGTAGCTAGCCAGCTAGTGTCTGGAATTGGAGATGAATATATGGATTGGTGGAACGTTTGCTCAGTTCGGGTGGTACAATGGCAGTTCTCCTAGCAATAGTCTTCCGGTAGGAAGGCCACTGTTACAGCCGCCCCATTACTTCCTACTCAGTCTCGATTGCTTGAAATCTCCCATCTGAAGCATGCCACCGACTCGATGGCTCTTGCACCCTGATCATTCATTCTTAGTCTATACAACTATCCACCGACCCCATCCAGTCCCCCTTGAGAAACGTGTCGGCGCTGAGCCGGGTGCCTGGATCTATATCAAGCATCTTATATATCATCATTCTTCGCAATTCACACAATTCGTCTTCGTCCTGGGGCCCGGATTTACCGGAGATCGTGAAAAGATCCTCGATGGGCCGGAACGCCCCTCCGGCCTTCACCAACCACTCCTTGCTCTTGGCGTCGTAGTCTGCCACCATGCGGCTTCGAACGTACTCCTCGAAGTGCTTGTCCCGATACTTTTTGGAAAAATGGTTCTTGGTGTCGGTGGTTTGCCAGAGGTATCCTGAGCCGTAGTCGTCGCTGGAAAACTGGGAGTCTCCCGAGTCCTGGTCGCTTCCAGAGTGGGAGTGGCCCGTGTAGTAGTGTTTTCGGATATTAAATAGCACCAATATGATAATTCCCAATGCCCAGCAGTCTTTTTTTGCAAGCGAATATGATTTAGTACAAGAAAACTCTTCTGGAGCCATATATGGCTCCAGGCCCAACGGACCCGAGGCCCGGGGCAAGTACTGCTCGGAGGAGTCGAACTTGGTCCGAAACACGTTGGATTTGCCGAAATCCAGGAGCTTGAGGGTGATATTGGCACACGGAAGGCCGTGGTGATTAAGACGAGGCTCGGAGTAGGCTAGAAGAATATTCTCCAATTTCAAGTCACAGTGAGCCACTCCGTGCTGGTGCATGTAGCGCAAGCCTTTGGCGATCTGCTTGATGAAGCAGTCGACCTCGTCGAGGGACATGTCCTCGACTGGGTTGTTGGCCTTGTCGGAGGCTGTGGTCAAGTAGGTGAAGAGATCACCTCCCGGAGTGCACTCCATCACCTGGCTGAACTGGACGGCGGAGGTGTCGGAGGAAGATGGGAGGGTGACCATCAAGTCGACGGTTTTGACGATGTACTTGGAGTTGAGGGTGGACGAGATGATGAACTCGGAGAGCACGCGCTCGATGAACTTGTTGTTGGGCTCTTTGGCGGACTTGCGCTTGATTTCCTTGACGGCGTACATGGCGGATGTGAGGTTGGGATTGGAGGTGAGATCTCCGGTAGTACCGGTATTCCCGTTATTCCCATTATTCCCATTATTGCCCCCAGGGTTCCTCTCAATGAGCTTGATCACTCCGTAGGCTCCCCGTCCTATCATGTCCTTGACCACCCCGTACCGCTGGAACAACGTCTTTCCTGGGAGCACGGGACATCCGCCTGCCTCCTGGCACGACTGGAGAAACCGGTTGGACTTGGTTGTTAGCGTTTCGATTAACCGGATCTGCTTATCGTCGATCACCGACTGAGTATTTCCTGAAGAGCTTGACAAATGGTGTATTTTCAGCTCGTCGTCAAGCAACGAGTACGTCCGTTTCAGCTCTTCGTTGGCCTGCTCGGTGAGATCCTTACTGGACGACAACGAGATGCCACAGTAGCCCATGATGGTGGAAAGCTGTGCAGCCAAGTGGTGCTTCGACACCTGGCCACGGACCTTGATGGCGTGGGCGTGGACCTCGTCGTCCTCATCCTCGTCGTCCTCAGAAGTGTCGGAGTCAGCTTCCAGGTCGAATTCCAGATCCAGCAGTGAGTCGAGGTCTGAGCCGGAATAATCCGGGTTTAGGGGGTCTGCATCTGCCTCCACTATGGTGCTGACCCGCTTGCGCAACTGGTTCGGTATCAAGGAATCGGAGGACGAGTTTTGGGATGGTTTGTGGGGTTGGAGGTGGTGGTTGGGCTGCGGAGATAACGGAGATGGTGCTAGCGGGGATTGCGGAGCATCAGCGGTGGCCAGAGACGTCGGCGACAGCGAGTGTTTCGAGCGGAAAAGCTTCAATTTGCTCAGCGACGAGTCGGTGGACTTGACGGAGCTGGATCGGGATGGCACCGGCGGTGATTTGGTGGGCGAAACGGGACTGGCGTCCTTGCGCCATGAGCGGAAAAGGGGCATTTGCTGCGGGATATGGCACTCGGGGCTGGCAGAAACGGGAAAGGTTATGTATAGTGACGGTGGCGATAGGGAGGTTGTTCGAAGGTGGTTGGAGTGGTGATAGCTTAGAAATGGCGCGTCACGTGAAAGTTGTCACATGACCTGTCATGGGCGTGGGGGCCCCAGACAGCACGTCATGCATCATGTGATCTGCATGTGCGGCACACACGCTACGGACGGCGCCGCCTCGAGGCGTGAAAAGTCACGTGTTGTGTCGCACGTGTCTTTGACGAGGAGGCACAAAGACGCGTCTCGGAGCCCTCCAGCGTCGTCAGGCACCCCCAAGCGCAGTGGAACATTGTTGGCGCTTTTCATTCTAGGGACACAGAACCTCGACAAATACCCCGGCCGTATTATTGTTAAGGTCGGCGAATCCATTGCTAGCGGTGTCGAATCAGACAACAGTTTGCAGGATACACTTGACAGCTCACTCACCTCCACCACGCATCCAACGCATCCAACGCATCCAACGCAGACCCCCAAGACGTTGCACATAGTACATATCGGCCATTTGCTCCTCCGTTGGCCCCATCGGCACCCACCAGCTCCCTCCACCGCCGCCCCTCCACCATGACCAGTATCTACAACAGCGACATCAAGCACTACAGAAGGGCTCCTCCGCCTCCGCTAGCCGCCCAGAACCCCATAAATAACAACAGCACCATCCTGCTCAGCATCAACTCCAACAAGCGCCAATCCGGATGGGTCCACGTCAAAGACGACGGCATCTTCACTTCCTTCCGCTGGAACAAGCGCTTCATGGTCATCAACGATAAGACGCTCAATTTCTACAAGACGGAGCCGATCACCAACAGCAACACTCCTGGCATCAACGAGTCTCCCGACATCTCGTTTCCCCTCAACTTGATTGGCAGCATCCAGCTCAAACCGTCTACAGGCTACACCAAGACAGCGCAGTCGTTCGAAATCGTGCCCAAGAACAATGGCAGGCTGATCTTGATCCTGGTCAAGGCCAACAACGACTACTTGGACTGGATCGATGCGTTCACCACCAAGTGCCCGTTGATCCAGGTGGGAAACGCTCTGAGCAGCGCCACCAGCAACGCCACTGCCACCACGCTAGCCAACGGCAACGCTGGGGTGTCGAATCCCATCAACTTCACCCACAAGGTGCACGTAGGCTTCGATCCAGCCTCGGGTAACTTCACAGGGTTGCCAGACACCTGGAAGAGTCTTTTGCAGCACTCGAAAATCACCAACGAGGACTGGAAGAAGGACCCAGTGGCAGTCATCGAGGTGTTGGAGTTCTACTCCGACATCAACGGGGGGCTGGCGGCGTCCACGCCGTTGATGTCGCCTGCCGTGGGCATGAAGACGCCTGCTGCCTTGCACGAGTGGACGAAACCGCCCTCCAAGGGCATCCAGGGCCCCACCGGGCCTCCAGGACCTCTCCAGACGTTGCAGCAGCTGCTGCTGCCAGCCTCTAGCCAGCCGCCCTCTGCATCGTCCCAGACCACGTTCGTGCCCAGTCGAGCCGCCCCCAAGCCACCATTGCCCTACCATTTGACCTCGCAAAAGGCTGCAAGTGGCAACTCCATCTCGCCCCTCAACAACTTGTTGAACAAGTCCGACGCTGGCGATGCTAGCGAGCTCACGCCTACCAGAAGAGCGCCTCCTCCTCCCACTGGTGCTGCTGGTAGCAATAACGCTTCCAACGCCTCCAACGCCTCCAAACCGTTCAAGCCGGCTGTACCTACTGGTCTAGGTATCACCACTCCTCCATCCAGCCTGCCTGCGCACCCCAAGCAGGTGCCTCCACAGTTGCCGCTGAACAAGGTCCATCCTGACTTGAAGATCCACACTGGCGCCAACTACAACAACTCCAACAAGTATACCCCTACAGGAACGCCCACCAACCAGAACTTTATCAAGCCGTTTGGCTTGGGGGCAAAGCTGCACCAGCTGCCTGTGCAGAAGCACCACGACGCTGGCTCGGGCCAACAGGCACCCAAGGCAGGCATTAATATCAAACCACTCAACGTTGCCACCAAAGCATCGCCTGCGCAGGCCAATGACGCTCCTATCAAACCACTCCAGCCTCGTCCAAAGGAGCTGAACGAGGGACCCAAGCAGCTCGCCACAGGACCTGCTCCCGTCAAGTCTGCCAAGCAGTTGAAGAAGGAACGGGAGAGATTGAATGACATGCAAGTGATCGCCAAGTTGAAGACGGTGGTCAACAACAACGACCCCACGCCATTGTTCAAGATCATAGAAAAGGCAGGACAAGGTGCCTCGGGAGCAGTGTACTTGGCTGAGCTGACGGAAAACCGCCAAAAGGTGGCCATCAAGCAGATGGACCTTAACGTGCAGCCCAGAAAGGAGTTGATTATCAACGAGATCTTGGTGATGAAGGACTCCCAGCACAAGAATATCGTCAACTTCTTGGACTCGTACTTGCGAGGCAACTCCGACTTGTGGGTCATCATGGAATACATGGAAGGAGGCTCGTTGACGGAAATCATCGAGAACAACGACTTCAAGTTGAGCGAGAGACAAATTGCAACCATCTGTTTTGAGACCTTGAAAGGCTTGCAGCACCTCCACAAAAAGCATATTATCCACCGTGATATCAAATCAGACAACGTGTTATTGGACGCCAAGGGCAATGTCAAAATCACCGATTTCGGTTTCTGTGCCAAGTTGACGGACCAACGCAACAAGAGAGCCACCATGGTGGGAACTCCGTACTGGATGGCCCCTGAGGTGGTCAAACAAAAGGAATACGACGAAAAGGTCGATGTGTGGTCATTGGGGATCATGACCATCGAGATGATCGAGGGTGAGCCTCCATACCTTAACGAAGAGCCATTGAAGGCACTTTACTTGATTGCTACTAATGGTACTCCCAAGCTAAAGAAACCTGAGGCTCTTTCCAACTCCATCAAGAAGTTCTTGTCGATCTGTCTCTGCGTGGATGTGCGCTATAGAGCATCCACCGATGAATTACTCGAGCACTCCTTCATCCAGCACAAGTCTGGCAAGATCGAGGAGTTGGCTCCTTTGTTGGAGTGGAAGAAGAACCACGGCTCCAGCATGCACGATGACGATGCCATCTAGACGGACAAGCCAGTTTAGCCACGAGGCTGTCCCACCAGAACTGTTTATTTATGTACTGTTTAACACTAACTACGGACTGAAAGATGTGTACTGTAAACGACGAAAGATGATAAAACCAAGCCCAGATATATTGGGTCGCTGTTAAAGGAAGAAAGATAAAATTAACTATGAGTAAATTACTATAAAGGACTAAAGATTAACCATGGCCTACAATTGGGCAAAAATTAAATACATGGACTAGAAAGATGTAAATTCAATATCAAGGGAGATTAAAGTGAATTTATCAGCAAGCATACCAACATACTCTTGCTATGGATAAATAGATGATATGCGTATCATTATCAATCTCATTCAAAAAATTGTACTTCCCTTGGGACATTCCATGGTGAATGGTGCTTGCTAAAAGGACCAAATTGAGATGAATTTGGGTTTAACTTCAATTTCTATGTTGATTGATATGAACGTCTTCAATTCTTCGTTTCATACTTAGTTATCTGTCTGTTAGCAGTGCTTGCTCGTCTTTTGAGGTGTACTTCACGACCAGAGTATCTATCTTAGATCTCTACATTAATCAATATGATCTTTTTCTTCCAAACAAGTTTTTTCATCTTCAAATTTAAATTTCACTAGTCAGATCTCGGTCTGTTAACAGTATGTCTTATTTTCAGAATATCTATCTTCAATTTCTACGTTAAACGATATAATCTAGACAAAAATTAATTCTACCAAAGTTTGTCCACCTTCAATCTACGTTCGTCTGTTCAGGTCTCGGTCTATTAGCAGTATGTACACTAGTTTTTTGGCAAGCCCTGCTCGTTGATCAAGCTCTGGGTTGACTTTTGAGGACCCTGGCCAATGCTGGTCAAAATAATCTTGGAGACACCCTTGTAGATCTCAGGATCCACGCCGTCGATGTCAACTCCGCCGTTCAAAGCAGATGCGTCCTTCTTGTCCCAGCCTTGCACCTGGGCGAAGTACTTGTGGAGGGTTCCCAACACCTTGGCCTCGTTGGCCTCGTCGTAGTAGATCACGGCATTGGGGCCTGCGTCGAAGGTGTAGGCAGCGATGATGTGGCCCTCGAGCTCGTTCAACTTGTGCACCAACTTGATGATCTTCTTGGAGGTGTCGTTCAAGTAGAAGATGGGAGGGTAAGAGTCGAGACACACGGCGTGGAACGAGTTGGAGTCCTTCATGGTCAACTCGCCAAAAGTCTCGAAGTCCTTGTTCACGATAGCCTTCTTCATCTCCTCAAAACGCTTGGGGACGACCTCGTGGATTCTGTGTTGAAACAAGTCGGAGGTAGCCACAGTGCTCTGCATTCCTGTGGTGGAAGGAGTATCCTTCTTGTCGTCACTGACCACCAAGATAGCAGCCTTCATGGTAGGCCAGTGGGCCAAAGGAGCCACCTCGACTGCCTTGGAGTCCAGACCATCTTCCAAGGCCCCCATTTCCCAGGCAACAAATCCGCCGAACAACGATCTGCACGCAGAGCCTGAGCCCTTTCTGGCGATCTTTGACAATTCGGACATGTCCTGAGGCAACTCGTACAACGAGGCAATGGCACTGACCAAAGCAGCAAATCCAGCAGCAGACGAAGCCAAGCCAGCAGCTGTGGGGAAGTTGTTTTCTGACACGATGTGCAAGTGGTACTGGGACAATTTGGGCAAGGAAGCATCGGCACTCTCGACAGCAGCTCTCAATGCTCTTAAGTCAGCAAGACACGCCTTGGTTCTGGGCGAGTCCAAGGACTCCAAGGCTCCGTTAAGCCACAACTGGTCCTCCTGGAAGTCGGCAGAAGCAGCAGCGGACGTCAACGTTCTCAAGTCGTCTTGGGACAACGTGACGGAGATGGACGAGTTGGTGGGCAAGTTCAAGGACTTGTCTCTTTTACCCCAGTACTTGAGGGTCTGAACGTTAGTATGGCTGGAGGGAAGGTTCTGTGCCTGTTTGAGCGCTTTCTTCGGTGCTGGAGACCTGCTGGAGCCTCCTCTGTCATGTTAGCCTCGGCGGCTAACGTGTCTGGGACTGTAGAGGGCGCCACGACGCGTAGAAGGATCCAGAAAAAGGCCTGTAGGTAATTCGGGGGCTTACGTACTGCTATGTTGACCGGAGCAGTGCATGTGGCGGTATGGACGGTCATGGTGGTGGTGGATAAATGGACGTAGTGTCGTATCGGACGCAGAAGAGTGGTGATATTTGGTGGGTACACGACATATGCTAGGTGCAGGATGAACGATATACGAGGAGAGGCAGGCGATGGGACGCTTCGACTAGGAAGAACACGGAACTCAGGCAATGGCAGGGAATGGCAAGACAATGGCGAGTATCTTGCGAAAAGGCTGGATTGCCTGTGAAATTTGAATTTCGGTAATATTAGAGGAATAAGTTGTAAGGAACCCCCATCGTAGAGCTATCTCTTTTGCACCTAAAGATGTAGGCATTGCATAGAGTAGATAATAAGTAACTCCGATTCGCGTGATCATGAGCTAGCTGTTTACAAGAGAAATTAGTCTAAGTTGAAGTAACTCCCAAAAAGCAAGTTCTTTTACTACTGTTAATTTTAATTAGAGAATAACGAGCCTATGGTGTATGGCCATCCCTAAGCATCTTTGAAGTGGAATGTTACGATTGTTCATCGAAATTTTCAACATGTACTCGAAGGCGTTTTGGAACAATAACCCGTTTTCGGATATTTATTTGAGCCTGAAGACATGCAAGATATGAAGTATACGTAAAGCAACGCTAGTGGAGGTTGGGGGTGATAGACTAAACCACATCCGGTGACAGATGGCTGGATAATTTCATCAGAAGTATGGATGTTTTATCGAGCATGGAAGGTTTTCTCTGGCATAGGAAGATTTTCTCTGGCATAAGTAAGTTTTACCCAGCAGATGTAAGTTTTCTCTGGCATATGTAAGTTTAATCTTGCATACGAACATTTTGCCTGGCATATGTAAGTTTCTCTTTACATGGGAAGGTTTTACATGGCATATGTAAGTTTTGTCTGGCATATGAAAGTTATAGTTAGCAAATGAAAGGTTTTCCTGGCAAGTGTAAGTTTTTCCTGACATACGAAGCTTTACCTGGTAATCGATTTTTTCATGCATAAGAAGATTTTACCAGACATCTGTAAAAACATCCATACTTCTCTGGGAAAATTCTGCTGACTCTGATTTCAACATATTATCCAGAAAATGAAGCAGTGGGTCGTCACTGTTGTAAAGTGGCATGATGGATATACAGTCGCTCCTGAGTACAGGAAATGGTTAAACCAACAGGATGATAAGCTACCTAGGTTAGATTAAATATCCTCCTATCAAGCACAATGTGCCTATCTGCCTCAAGGTCTCTATGTCTAGTGTCTGATTTTGTTTTCTTTATTTATTCACAACATAGCCGCAGCTACCATTACACTCTCTCGTTACAGATACTATTACATACATAAAATAAACACAAGGTGTACCACATCCACCCCCAATTAGGCACGGCTTTTTGGAACACGGGGATGGAATTAATAATATAGGCAGGCTCCCGAGGACTGTCAGTGGAGCCTGGCCGGTCATACTGGCGTTTTGTCCCGTCTATGCTTTTCTGGTCCACTTCCACAACCGTGCTTTGCAATCACCAGAACCCGTGGCGAAAATGCCCTCGGTTCCCTGCGAGTTCAACGACACCGCCACCGAGATCACTGAGTTGCGGTGGCCCTGCAACATCAACAACGGGTTGCCGGAAAGCTGGTCCCAGAAAATAACTCCCCTGTCCTTGGATCCCGAAAGAATATATTCGTTTTTGGGGGTCGAGCAAACCGACAACACGAAGTCCTTGTGGCCGATGTAGGTCACCTCACAGCTGGACTTCTTGGCTCCCGATGCTCCGTGAGGGTTGTGGGGGTCCTGTCTGCCTTCGAGGTTCCACAACTTGACGGTTCTATCAAGCGAACCCGAGGCAATTTGCTTTCCGTTGATGGAAAACGCTACTGAGTACACGGAGTCGCCGTGTCCGTTGCCGTTCTCGTTGCCAGAGTCCAATCTTTCCACGAGAAAGCCGGTGGTGGAGTCCCACACCCGGACGGTTCTGTCGAGAGAACCAGCCGCGATCAAGTTTCCGTCTGGCGAAACGGCCACTGTGGTGACTCCGTCCTCGATGGAGAGTGTCAACGAGCACTGGGACGATCTCAAGTCCCAGATTCTGACTGTGCGGTCTCCCGAGCCGGAAACCAACCGGTTTCCGTCGGGGAAAAAGTCCAACGAGTAGATATCCTGCTCGTGGCCGCGCAAAATCTTGATTATCTTCTTGGACTGCAAGTCCCAGATACGGATCAACTTGTCTTCAGCTCCTGTGGCCAAGAGCTTTCCGTCTGGCGAAAAGCAGACTGAACGGATGTACAAGTCGCCGTTGGCTGCAGCGGTGGCAGCTGCTGCTGCTGCTGCCTCTGCGCCTGCGTCTCCGTTCTTGGCGTCGCCGTTGGTTGCGCCAGTTTTCGCAGCTGCATCCGTGGAGTTGTTGTCGTCGATGAGCTTGGCCACCAACTCACCTGTCTCCACGTTGAACACCTGGGTGGTCTTATTACAACCAGTAGCGATGAACTGGCCGTCCTTGGAGAACCGCACGCAGCACACTACTGACGAGTGGTCCAACGAGTGCACCAACTCCACGTCCAAGTCACGCTGGAACGCAGGGTTGTAGAGCACGTAGTAGTCCAACTTCTGCTTCTTGAAGTCGGGACTGGCCTTTGCCACGTCCAAATCGGTCAAAAAAGGCGGAATTTCCTTGACATGGAGCGCCTTGTCGGCGGGATTGACCACGTACTGGGACTTGTCGATGACGGTGAGGGCGGTGGAAGTATCCTGGGGAGCGATGGTGGGGGCAGCTGCACCATTGACAGCGGTGGCTGCGGCGGGTGCAGGTTCCTTGACAGGTTCGTTGGCGGCAGGTGCAGACTCGTCGGCGGCGGCGGGTGCAGCGGCAGCTGCAGCCACCACTGGTTTCGCTTCCTGCGCCGCTGGCAGCTGCTTCACGGGCGCAGCGCCCGCCTGGGGCCCCGGTCCAGGGTAGCCGCCATAGGGCGCGTGCTGACCGTTAGGCTTGGGTGCGTGCGCCGCGTGCGCTTGCTGGTGCTGCACCTGGGCCTGCGCTTGTTGCGCTGCCTGCTGGTGGTGGATCTGGGCCTGTCTGTCGCGATTTTCCAATTCGGTCTTCAACCTCAAGATTTCCTCTTCATAGGCCTCCTTGATCTTGCGGTGGGCCATCTCCAACTCGTACACCGTCTGGCGGATCTGCTGCATTTCTGCAGTCTGCTGGTTGTACTTGAGATCGTAGTCCTCCTTGACCTGCTTGAAGCTGGACGCCTCGTTGAGCGCATAGTCGAACTCCTGTTTGACGGCGTCTAGAAGCTCGCTGAGACGCTGCTGGTGCTGCTGTCTCTGCTGCACCGCCTGCTGCTGCTGTTGTTGCTGTGCTTGTGCTTGTTGCGCCTGCTGCTGCTGGGCCTGCGCTTGTTGCGCAGCCTGCTGCTGCTGGGCCACGGCGGAATTGGTGGTGTAAACTGTCATGATGCCAGGAACACGGCGGGAGGGGATAGATTAGGGCTGGGCTCGGAGGTGGTGGTGAACAGGACGAGTGGCCAGCTGGTGTGGATGATTCCTGGACAAAAAATGAAGTTGCCGGTGGATGTTTTTTCTCGCAGCGTTTTTCGTCGTTTTTAAAGGGGACGGGGTGGGGCAGATAGTTACGTAAGCGAGATAGGTGGGAGGGCGAGATGGCGATTGTGGGGGATGGGATGGAGCTGGTGAATGTCGTGGCTGGAGAAGTTGGACGTGGCTGTCATGGCTGGTGTGTCGTAGTCATTCTCGTGTCGTGGGTGTCTGTGGCGTCCCTCTGTGTCGTCTGTCTGTGTCGTGGACTCAGTGTCGGGCTGCGTGTCCACGTCAGAATCTCGTGGTAAAATCGGTGATAGTTGTCGGCGCACCCCATCCTTCCTAAAATGGATTAATGCACTGCGGTGGACGACGGCGAGACCGCACCCCCTGTTGCGGCGGCTCACAACAAAACAAACAGGAGCCAGGGGGTGAATCGGGGGTGTGGCTATGCGCCCGGACACATGCGCACACACGTGACATCCCCTCCGGGTCCCGGCTATGGCCTGGATTCATTGGTTTACGTAATCGGCGGTGGAGGGACTACATAATAGGCTGTAACACGGCCTGGATTCATAACAGCTTCGGTCAATTGCTTCGATGCTTCATATTATGTAATCAACTACTGGTTGCGACAGTCCTACAGATTGTCATCGACGGTGGGTCTTCTGCATTCACTTCAAATCGACTGGTACCTTCACATCCAATACCCAGTAGTAATAAGAACAAGAAATGTAAAGAAGAACATGCTTGCTATTGTCTACATATAATTTTCTATGGCTTCCTGTTAAAAACCTGTAGTCCTCTGCATCAAAAGAGATTCTGGTGGTGACGAATTTCGATTGGACATAATGGGTTATGCGAATTTAAGTATTTCAGTAATGAAATATTGCTGATTGCTCGGATCTATTGCTAGCCTACAAGATACCTTTAAGTAGGATTATTAAGATATACTTGGTTATATGGTTTTGAAACTATCCGTACACGATAACTTCAAACGAAGAGAAATTAGCTAAACCAACCAATAATATTCACTCTAATGCCATTAGAATTTGTAAAATATGCAAAATGATACTGATTCCTATCTGTAATACTAAAGCAGCAGCTTCGATACAATTATCTTTACTACCACGCTCCGGCAATCATGGAAGGTGCAATCGAATCAGAATCGCGGTTAGACCTTCCCCCGCCGCCCGAGGCAATCCTCTCAATACAACCTTCGGCAAAATTTCGATTCTTAACCCCTACCCAAAATCAAAACCCGACACAACTGCCTGAAGCTTCTCTGAGTCCCTCACACATCATCTCTCTAGACCAACCGGGGCTTCTCTGACACGAAATTTGCGAGTATATTGTAGCTTCTATCCAAATTGGGTCAGGCGCGGAATTCCACAGTCATCTCACATCCGTCATTGGAAACGCGGAATTCATCGCATCACCTGACGTCCTTCATTCTACAGAAACACTTCGCTTCTATACGTAGCAGTCACTTTGAACAACTCGAACCAGCAATTGCCTTATTCCTACACTCTCTGCGTCGCTATTGCTAAATTTGCGTGCTAGACCAACATTTCTATATACATGAATTTTGCTCATCTCAGCCCATTGGCTCCTAGTGGGCTCCCGGCGTTTGGTCTTCCTGAGCATAATGTCGCCTCCTGCTCCATCTTCTATCTGATCACCACACTGGCTCGTCCTCCTTCTTTCTCTTGACACGGACGATTTCGTAGTCATCGTTGGATTTGACTTCCTTCTCCAAGTGATCAGTCAATAACCCTTGCAATCTGTAGTAGTCGTTCTTCTTGTCCACGGGACGCTTGTTTTCGATCAAGTTCAACATTTCGTCTTCTCCAAGCTGTCTGTACTTGTCGTCAAATCTCTCCCACTTGATCGAGGTGAATTTTTGGAGGTAGATAGATCCAGCAACTATGGACAACATGAATGGCAATCCAAAGTACAAGAAGTGGTTGGCTCGAAGACGCTTCTGGTAGCGTCCAGCAAACGTCTTGTCATAAGCTTCCTGCTCCTTCTTTCCTCTGAAGATTGTATTGCCCAAATATACCATAGTGGTGGTTAATTCTTTACCCTGTGCGAGAATAGTTCGATATTAGCTGTGTTGTGTGCAGGATTTTCGGGGGTTTGAAGGTATAGCTAAACAATTCAGAAGGTCAAACATCAGTGAAAAGTCATTTCCTGCTAGTGGTGTTTATTTCTGTTATCAGCTGGAGATATGGTGTGGTGTGATTCAACGAAAGTACACGTATTTCACCTGTTTCTGATAATTTTTTAGAAATTTATGAAAATGACAGGGAATAGGATGGAATTTTGGAAATATTGGGCTGTCTGTGTTGGCTGGTATATGGAATTTAGTCTACTTCTTGAACATTAACAACAACTAATCTCACAGACACCCCTTTCTGGTGCTTAGAACGAGTTGAATTGGAGCTACAGCAATTCCTATTTCGTATCACACATCCAATATGCGACTTCTTCCTCAATAGGTTCATTACACTGCAAAGTCAACAGCATCGAAGAGGCACAGGGGTAGGCAGGATCGAACAACGCCATAGTTAGATATCAAACCTGGTCTTGGACGCAACTTACCATTGAGCTCCGAAGTTCGGTAAATGTAAATGATAATTAGGGTATTAACAATTGCCCTACATGGTTTCCGAGCCATAACCTCCAGTGCATTGAATGTCTATTACTTAATCATACCCAATCGGCAGGATGCGCGCGTTTAAGGCAAACCCTTCCTGTGAAATATAATTGGTGCCACATTTCGCAATACTAATGGCGAGATTAGTTGCGAAATTCTAATCTCGGTATCTGACATATTATCTGAGTACACGTGATTGTAATTATCTGGAGAAACCTATAAATGGATCGTAAACATCTTTCGCCGGTCTTGAAGGGTCAATTGCGATTATTTAAAGCATTATTGAGATGACTATCGACAAGAAACCAAACTTCATAGTAATTGTGGCCGATGATTTGGGTTTCACTGACTTGAGTGCGTTCGGAGGTGAAATTGATACTCCCAACTTGAAACGTCTTGGGGAAAAGGGATATCGTTTTACAGATTTCCATACTGCTTCAGCATGTTCTCCCACAAGGTCAATGTTACTTTCGGGTACTGATAATCACATTGCCGGCTTGGGCCAGATGGCTGAGTTCGCCAGAGATTTTCCAGACAGATTTGGGGGAAAGCCCGGCTATGAAGGTTACTTGAATTTTAAGGTGGTCGCACTTCCTGAAATATTGCACGACGCTGGATACTATACATTATTGTCGGGCAAATGGCATTTAGGCTTGACCCAGGAGTACTGGCCATCAGCAAGAGGCTTCGAAAAGACGTTCACCTTGTTGCCAGGTGCTGGGAATCACTTTAAATACTTCCCTAAAGATGAGCAAACTGGTGAAACTGCTTCATTTATGAAGCCTTTGTTCGAGGAGAACGGGAAATCTATTGATCCATACTCACTCCCAGAAGACTATTACAGTTCAGATTATTTTACAGACAGGTTTATTAACTATTTAAATCATGATGATAGAGATGGAAGACCATTTTTTGGATTCTTGACATATACTGCTCCTCACTGGCCTTATCAGGCTCCAGAAGATGTTATTGAAAAATACAAGGGTGTTTATGATGATGGCCCACAAGAGTTGAGGTCCAAAAGATTGGCCAATGCATTAAAGCTAGGAATTATTCCAGAGGGAGTAGTTCCTCATCAAGTCGAAACTCAGAGAGAAAAGGCATGGAAGGACTTAAGTGATGAAGAGAAGAAAGTGGAATCCAGAATTATGGAGACCTATGCCGCTATGGTCGACGTGTTGGACCAAAACATTGGAAGATTGCTTGATAACTTGGAAGCTACCGGAGAATTAGACAATACATTTATTTTGTTCATGTCTGATAATGGCGCTGAGGGAATGTTGATGGAAGCATTGCCGTTGAAGAATGACAATTTCAAAACAAACCTAGAGAAGAATTACAATAATAGTTTGGAAAATATTGGAAAAAAAGACTCCTTTGTATGGTACTCTGACCAATGGGCACAAGCAGCTACGGCACCATCTTATATGTACAAGATGTGGGCCAGTGAAGGTGGAATTCGTTGTCCTTTAATTATTCATTATCCAGATTTAATTAACAATGAAAAGAAGGGACAAGTCAAGCATGGGTTTACTACAGTAATGGATATTTTACCAACTATTCTAGAGATTGCAGGCATTGAACATCCAGGTGAAGAATTTCAAGGAAGAAAAGTCGCTAAAGTTAGAGGATCTTCTTGGTTGAAGTATTTAAGAGGAGACGACGAAACAGTCCATTCCGAAGATTCAGTTGTTGGGTGGGAATTATTTGCACAGCAGGCAATAAGAAAAGGCAAATACAAAGCTTTGTTCATCCCCAAACCCTTAGGTCCCGATAGATGGCAATTGTTTGATCTCTCCAAAGATCCAGGAGAGACCCGTGACTTGTCGGAAGAGCAGGCAGAAAAGTTGAATGAAATGCTTAACCACTGGACTCAATACGTTGCAGAGACAGGATTGGTGGAGTGTACTGATCTTTTCAATCACGAGTACGAACGCAAAATATTATATGATTAACGCTAGTTGAAATACACAGAAAAACAGATGACCATTGCGTAGCTAAGGCAGTTGTGCTAGGTCCAAGTGATCTAGGAATCGAACAATATGGTAGGGCGATCACTATTGATGTAGTTCCGCGTGTGGAAGCTGAGGGAGACCTATTAACTCCAGCTGACGAGCCTTTCCGCTCATACATAAATGATCTTGGCCCATTTCCCTCATACAATGATCTGCTATAGTCACCTCGGTTCATGTTTCCACAGTGCATCCTAGTGCATTTAGCATCTCGAACTCTCTCCTAATAAAATGTGGAGAAAGTAACAATACAAGCAAACATATACAGGATCTATTATGAGCACCACGTAAAGATCTGCACACCTACAAATAGCACTGGTAGGGCAAGATTACCCACAGTGGCGGAACGATAAAATACACTCGAGATCCTCCCCATCCAGTGGATATCCATATTGCTACTTCCATAATTGCACCTCATAATGTCCACCACTGCTCTTGTTACAGGTGCCACAGGTTACATTGCTTAGCACATCGTCAAGGCTCTTCTCGAAAAGAACTATAAGGTGGTTGGTACAGTCAGTTCCGAAGCCAAAGGCCAACATCTTATGGGGTTGTACCATAATCCCAACTTTAGCTACGAGATTGTTCCCGACTTCATTGCTCCAAATGCTTTCAGTGCTGCTTTCCAAAACAACCCCTCCACTGTCGACGTGTTCCACACTGCATCCCCAGCATCTCTTGCCAGTACCAACTTCGAAGAGGCTCTTCTAAGTCCAGCTGTCAAAGGAACCAAGAGCATCTCCATCACGCTCCGTCACGCT